ACTCTTTGACTCAACTGACCTACCGAGGTCAGCATCTTTCAACAGATCTCGATGTCTGTCTTCGACCATCTTTGCAAGACTTTCAACAAATTTATTCCTTGCCCGTTCTTCTGCTGTGCCTCTCCATACAAGCGCCGATTCCTTCAACTCCTGTACTCTTTTAGCTGCTGCCTCTATACTATCAATTGTATTATCTCCAATCAATAAATCTGCAATTTCATCACGTATTCTCTTTGAGACTTCTTGCCCTTTCTCTTCAGTGCTGTGTGCTTCTGACCCTGGCTCGGGGGCGGAAACAGAAAGAAAGGATGAAGTGACCGACACTTCTGACGGCGGGAAAGTCCATGCCATTGCATCTCCAAAAGTTTTTATAACAGTGTCCAATCGTGATCGCACGAGTGTAAGAGTTCGTAATTGCGTTACATAAGGGGGGTCAACAATTTTGGCGCTATTGGTGTCTTTTACAGTAGGTGTTTTCGGTATCGTGATTGTGGCAGATCGCGTCCTAGAGGTGCCATGCGCGTCTCCTGATCCCATTGATCTTTTTGCCAGATCATTCTCAAGCCCCCCCGGAACGAATTTTGTGACGTCATCATGTAGTCCCTCGGTCAATGCTTCTGATAGACCCAGTGTCTCTCCTCGTAGTACTTCCACCTCATAAGCCAATCGGCTTCCGCTTCGCAATATTTCATCAGTGAGTTGTGTAAGAGTAGTCGTAAGTCTTGTGGTGTGGGCGCTGAGATGAGAGAGAAGAGTTTGTGTTTGTGTAGATAGTTCAGCCAAAGGTACGCTAGATTTAGAAGATGACGATGTATTCGAAGACTGTAGAGAGGGCAAAGTTGAATTGAGGTAATCTGCGGGATCAAAAGACGGATCTAAAAACGGGTGAAGGGCAGGGTCTGCAACGTGGGTAGATTTCGGTAGCCTGTTTGATTCTAATGTAGAGTCGCCATTTTTGAGATTGAGGTTGAGATTGTTTGAGTCTAGAGTTACTATTTTTGTGGAAAGGGTGCTAGATTTTCGAATCCCAAGGCCATTTTGAGAAGTTAGATATGAAGATTTGTTTGTTACAATAATGAAATGGAGGATTGGTCTTCTGTTATTTTTGGGGACAAAATACCTAGTACTTGGACACTCCACTCTTACAGATGGATATTGGATGGATGACTAATAAGAAGATGGGGTCCACTAGTCCCAATGGCGGGGACAGCTACTCCGTACAGCACAGCTCCCTGGAAGTGGTAGGTGCGTTTATTATAGCTTCACGCACGAAGAATGTCATCTCGTTTCTTCTGACTTTACTCAGTAACATGCGAGTACAGCCTGAGATGATGAGCTTCACTTCAACTTCACCTCAATATAATTTGAACCGATCCCCCTTCAAGTTCACTCTGGGTTCGTACTTACTACTACTACCTCCCTGTTTGGGTTGTACTTTTAGCTTCCACGCCCGTTTTGAAAAGTTGAGAATTTTCAACAACGAAGCTTTATCGTATCAAAAGCTTATTATTAAAGGATGCCGAAATCCGATTGGGAGGCAGGCGGTGGTAGATGCTGTGATAGAGATCTAAAGAATCTTTCGATTTAATAATAATAAGTCTTTGACTTTGACTTTGGCTCCATTTCGAATATTCACTTATAATCAAGTTAAAACCATGTGAAAACATTCAATTCGTTCAGTACATTCACACCATGGCTAGCTAGTACCTTTTTGGCTACCAACCAGTGCTCTCCAGATTTTACACTACCTACCTAGGCAACCGTCCCATCATCGAAAACATCGGCCAACGACGAGCTTATGTCCAATCTCAACTACTTAGTACGCCGAACCAGGCAGCTAACAAAACCATACAAGGCTGCAGGTCGATGGGTGATCGGTCATCATACGGTCCTTAGCATACATAGTACGCTCGCTACCTGAGATCGTTAGAACCCTTTACCCTTTACCTCTCAAAATCATTCTTGTTATTTCAAAAAGACCACTATTTCCGACTTACACATCAGCTTTCCTCAAACTTTGAAAATACCATCTCAAGGATTTGGTTTACAAAAGCTCAACTCTCAACTCCTTCAAGTCGGTGTCATTTCATTAATACATCCTCGACGTGCTGTCAGGTCAAAAAAACCTGGACTAAGAGTACATCCCGAGACCCGCATCGTCACAGGAATCAAAATCTCTACCATATCACAACTTGGTAAAATAATATCCCACAAACTTCCCGCATAAAACTGCTTCCCAATATCAAACTTGCCCCGAAAGATTTGGTTTCCGCGGCAAGTCTCTGACACCTCGATAGCTCAGAATCAACAGAATCAGTCACCTATCCCATAATTGCGCTGCAGGATGACTCGCAAACATTTCCTAGCGGATGTGATAGCGGCATCCGAAAAAGGAATCTCTAATGTTGTTTCCATCGGTCGAGAAGATGACGATGGCGATGTAAATTTCTGCTTAAAAAATGATTCTACGGAGCCTATAGAAATTGGTCTCTTGGCACTAGGTATGTTCTGCTATACTCTCTTTAGCTATCAATTTAACGTTCCTACCACATGGACTTTATCCAATATTATGTACACGACCACCCTTGAAAGGTTTTTCTGTCACCCCAGAATACCATGTTCAAGCAGGAAAGAAAAGCCTCTCTTTGGAGTATCATCTACTTCTCCGACTGCTCTGCCGATTACCCTAGTGGGAATAGCTTCATGATTTTCACCAAGTCGGATGGGGCTCCCAAAGCTGTTATCGAAGCATTGAATCAACTAACACCCTCTCCAAACGGGGTACTTTTACCAGATTTGATTAATAGCATTTCGCAAAAGCTACAGAAGGCACTTTCGACAGGTTCGCGAGATTCTCCTATCATACTTGACGATAACGATGAGGATGAGGATGATGTGATGGTAGATGTGGAGGAAGGAAGTGGAGATGACTCTGGGTTTTCCGACGAGGAGGAAGAGGACTTCCTAGACGAGCCCATAACTTTCTTGACTGGACAGACTGGGCCAACATCGACTATTGGGCTCTCACCAGAAGCCGCTGCTGAGCTGAATCGACGGATTCGGGCAGACGTGCGTACTGCCAGAATGCTCGGTTATCGGATTGGAGTATTAAGTGGCATGAAAGCTGAATCTCAGAGTAGCATTCTCAGCATATCCATTCAAGCTACTAAGCTGAACCTTTCAGAAGAGGCTATGCAAGCCTGGGACATTGAGCCGGACCAATATTTGACCTTACTTATACGCTACTCAGACGGATACAAAACTTTTGAGAAATTGGTAGCCGAGCCAGCGAAAAATAGTGGAATTGATTTCCGTGTCGGTGTCAGCAATGGTTATAAGCCATCCGCAGCTGCAGCGTTCTCGGCCTTTTCAGACTCGAATAAATCTGGTGTTAAAGCATCCAATGACTATAGTTCAGCGTCTGAAGCAAATATAAAGGACGAGATTAGAGGGTTTTTCAATATCTTTATCAGCAGCTCCTTGAATGAATTTTTCAACACGAAGATGATATCAATTTTGAAGCTCCGCAACGCAACTGGTCTTGGATGGGAAGATGCAAAACAGTATCTTGATGAGCGACAGGGACGATCACTTGAGGAAAATACAAAGCTGCTTTCTGAGAAGTTTTACCCGCACGCAGATACACTTAGAGGCCATGCTTCACGAATCCTAACCGATGACCACCTCACAGATAACAACGGTGGCAGCCTATCATTTCCGCTCCTTGCTGCACAATTTGCGTTGATGTATCTGGTCCGCTGCACCGAATTTTGTCTCGTTTGCCACGATAAGATTACGGCGGAATTCGAGGCGCTGAAACCTTACGTCTGTGATAAGCCCTTATGTCTGTATCAATATATGGCCTTAGGTTTTGGACCCAGTGTCGAACATGTAAGTAGCCTGGTGCTGTGTGTGCCCAAATCAGACATCCATATGCTAATCTTGTGTAGGAAATACGGAGTCAGCCGTACGTTGTCGATCTTCTCCTGAACTTTTGTTACACTAGTGCTTGTGTAAGTCTGTCCGGATGTAATCTCCCCGACCTCGCTGACTTTTGATAGGGCGGTCGAATTCGTGAATACCCCACAGGTATGAGTCTATCTGTCCCTTTTGCCATCGCTCAAGCTGGAAATACCGTACCTTCTGGCGTCTCGCCAGCCATGATGAATGCTTCCGCTCCCCAGGCAAACCCACATACTCGCGATAAAGAGTTTGATGTCGAATACAATGCCGAGGCGTGTGAAATTAGATTCGAGGATAATTTCGAGAACAAAGGCATTCCGATCCGCAGAGGAGATTGGGTCCGCATTCTGGTTGGGCCCGCACCTGGAGAGTTCATGAGCCAAGCTATCCACTTTAGAGTGGAAGATATAACATCGTTTCCAATAGCAAAGCTCTCACCACCAATTGCACAGAATCCACAAGTAAGTACAAATCAAGTACCATCAGCTGGTCACACGCCAGCTGTCGATCCCCCCAACATTGCTGCAGCTCGGCTAGCTGTTTACAACTGTAACTTTGACGAGATGTCTGTCGTAGAAAAATGCAGCACCATAGCAATGCTTCTTGAAACATTACCAACCATCAAGGAGTTAAAGGAGTATATCGACCGGCAAAGCCAGACGGAAGAACCGAACCTTCGCAAATGGACAGAGCGTATATCTCCAGCTGCATTGGGATTACTTAGATGGGTTATAGCTTCTAATCGCTCGTGCCTTGTTCAAGTTGATAGATGCCCTGGCCAGGTTGAGAGCGTTTTTGCTGACGCAAAAATCAGACCGGACCAAAAAGTCTCCCAGATTGGGGAAAATTGGGTTCAATTTCGATTTGCACAAGGATCACCAGACAAGGAGCTACGTTTTTTGAATGCGCTTAAAGCACAACAAGCACATTTGAATCCGAAGTATCCTACTATGTTTGCTTTTCATGGTAGTGCGCTACAAAACTGGCATAGTATCATTCGGCATGGGCTGGATTTCAAAGAAACCTTGAACGGACGAGCATTTGGACATGGTGTTTATCATGCACAAGATCAAACTACATCATGCACCTATACTGGGCGAAACAATTCAGTAAGTGTTAGATTTCTCTCATATTATCTATGGTCTAACTTTAACTAGGGTTGCTGGCCTGGATCACAGCTCAATGTCACAGCAGTGATGAGCATCAACGAAATCATCAATTGCCCTCAGCAGTTTGTTAGCTCAAATCCACATATCGTAGTGCAGCACATCGACTGGATTCAATGCCGGTACTTGCTTGTTCAGATTGACCCTGTACCAAATGCACCCGATGAGCCTTCTTCGAATTATAGGTATGTTTCACGTTGGAGGAATTACTTTATGAATAATCAGGTATACTAACATTCTGCTTACAGTCATCTCGCAGCTGCCACCCAAATAAAGCAGGACCCTAAATATACAGCAAGATCTACGAATGCTATGCCCATAGGCGTCCCTCACTGTGCTGCTTCAATATCTAGAGCATTTTGCACCGATAGCGTTGATAGCACTTCCCAATCTAAGAAACACAAAGGTCTATCTTCTTCTGTGGATGGGCCAACAATTTTTAGCGACGAAGAAGACATTGAGGACACCAACTTCCTGCTCTTCGAAGATGAGGGGAATAGCGAAGTATTGTAAGTAAATAAACTTCCTACATATTTTATCAGTTCGGTCATTGCAAGCGCAAATAGCCTTGAAACGGCCCATTGAATGTCAAACCATTGGATCCTACAGGCTATGGTTTACGATCCTCTGTCATGAGTCCCTTAAATTTTTAATGAGCTCACCTGATCGTTTGTACTAGATTTTCTACTTCCAAAAAGTCAGAGGCTGTAAAAACAGATTTTTGTTCCTGGATCGCTTGATCAAAGCACCCTTCCAATGCTGGATTCTCCGGCCTATGCCACCCCGTCTGCAACCATGCGTCTTAACAGAGAATTACAAACAATACTCAAGATACAAAAGTCTACGCCCCTCCACGAACTAGGATGGTACATCGATGAAGCTCTCGTTGATAACATCTACCAGTGGATCGTCGAGCTACACTCTTTTGATTCCACACTTCCGCTGGCTAAGGACCTTAAAGAATCTGGTCAAACAAGCGTTGTCATTGAAATTCGCTTCGGAAAAGAATATCCTCACAGTCCTCCATTTGTACGCGTTGTGAAGCCACGATTTTTGCCATTTATATATGGCGGTGGCGGTCACGTAACAGCCGGTGGAGCTTTGTGTATGGAGCTGTTGACAAATACTGGCTGGAGTGCCGTTTCTTCGATTGAATCTGTTCTCTTGCAGGTCCGCCTTGCACTTATGAGTACCGAACCAAAACCTGCACGCCTGGAACGCAGAGGTAAAGAGCAACAAGGTGAGTACGGAACCCAGGAGGCTATGGCAGCTTTTATTAGGGCTTGTAATATGCACGGATGGGAGATACCTAAGGACTTCCAAGACTTTGCTGCAATGCCGGGATCTAGTCGTTCTTGATCACCCGCTTTCAGAAACACGATATTATGGCGTTATGGGAGGGAGGGAAAATCATACGGTAATTCTAGGTTTACTTTTGCTGCTTTGCGAGTTTTATTTTCTGATTGGCGTTGGGGAAACTAGAGAGAGGAATATCATGATGAGATGTCCTAATGAACAAATACTCAAAAGGCTGTGAGAAATTTACTGTGGGAGGATATTAAGGCTTCATAGGTGGAGTGGAAAGGAATATTAATGGTTTTTGGGTCAACGAGTCCCGTTGTCACGGGTATTAGATTTCTACAAAACCAGTAACATAATTAGGTTAGATAAATGATCTCTTGCAAATCTCTCTTCATAACCGACTTCTTCTATACGAGTATTTACGGAGTATCAATATCATTAACATATCTACCAAAATCTCAATCCGCATACAGCCTTATCTCAATTGCTCACTTGGACAGATAGAGAAAAAAAGGGATATTATATTAAAGCCACATGCAGCCTTATCTTGATTAATAGTTTAGGTTAGGTTACTTGGGATTCGGAACGAAGTGGAGAGGCGGGAGAGAGGGAGAGAAAGGACATTATATTAAAGTGGTCTGAGGTTGTAGTAAATAATAATCTTAAATACCTATCTATCTAATCTTGAGTTTGTAGAGATCAGATCATCAGATTGATATGACTTTTTCTTTTTTTTTTCTTTCTTGTAATAGTTTTTGTATGGCTTATTTAGGTAGAGAATGTAATCTTGAGTTAAAAAATCTGAGTTACTGTTGTTTAAATTTATAATATTTGTGTTTTGTTCTTTTGGATGGATGGATGGGTAGGTAGATAGATCGATGAATTAGATCCTCGTACTCGTAGTCACCAAAGAACATCCAGAAAATTATGTATTCTTAGGTATTTACCGCAAGATACTCGAGTATTATAATAAGTAAAGTAAGGCTTAAAAACTTACAAGCTTACAAGCTTGTGAACTTAAGCGGAATGAATACCGTAGTAGCCGTATACATCTATATGCACGCATGGCTATGGGGGTTCTGGAGGTTACTTTCCTGTGTGTTTGAGTGTTTGGATGGTACATGTAGATAGTAGATGGATGTTATATTGTGTTATATTACACATATACTTCATGTAGTCTTACCATAAGCTTGATATCTTCGTATTTTCCGATATAGATATGGATATAGATATAGATATGGATATGGATATGGAGAATGGTAAATCTACAGTGTTCTATTAGATTCTTGAAGTCTTGGAGCCTTGGAGTCTTGGAATTCCGGAATTTCGGAATATATTTCGGAACATTGAAATCGGGTGCTATATATCTACATATCTACATACCGGTAAGTAACCTTATTTTCAGTTACTTGGAGTCTAGAGAAAGTTTGCATGCATGGGGAAGAATGTTCCTGGCTAGGAAGACCACGGTGGACTCTTACTTTGTAATTTCCGGTAGAGGTAGTGGGACTGGGATAGGGACTGGGATAGGGGTTTGGGGGTTTGATTCTGATTTGAATTGATTTTTATTGGCTTGGGATGAGAAAAGTGTATTATGTATGTTTTATTGAGTGGGTAGATACATAGGTGGAAAAAGAGAGGGAGTTCATATTTGTATTTATGTTTATAATAATATTGATATTTGCCATACTTACCCTCAGGTTTTGCAATTCGTGATCTAGGCTTTCGTTTAAAAAGAAGGAAAGGAGAATGAAGATGAGGAGTGGACGAAGAGAGTGAGGAAGATAGAGTAATGGAAATAAGAAGCATATAACGTCTATTTATTTATGATAACTGAACTTCAAGTAAGAATTCAAATTTACAAGCTGAGATGTAAAATTGTGGAGATATACTACATTTGCGCAAGAGTAGATAGATTTTACAGGAAATACAACCAAACAGAAACCCTCCAAATCCAAAAACCACCTTTGCCCATCCATCTCTCTCCCAAAATCAAAACCCCCCTGGGCCTATACATACATAGTACAATAAGCGCTTCCTCCTGCGCTCCTCAAACACCAACCTGCCTTTTCACAAAACACAAAACTATATCTCGCATCAAATCAATCGCTAATTCACATCACAAAACATCCGACCATCTATTTGTTGATGTTGTGTCCCCAGAGCTTTTGCTCTTCGCGCGCACTATATGTGCTAATAGCCAACAATTGTTTCATTTGCTCAGTGCCAACCGTCATCTTCTTGCCTGCGACGAACCATCTCAAACCCTCGGTACATGGTGGAGAAGTAAGACTTCCCTCATAAGTCCAGAAGTCCTTAGCGTTGTCGATTTCCGTGAGTGCTTGCTGGAGATTGATACTCAATGGGATTCTGGTAGTCTGATCACGGAAAGGCGGGACGGATGCGAGGGGGAAAGAATTGAAGAATGTAGAGTTGCCAGTGGTACCATAAGGGACGGGATCGATCATGAAAGCGACGACGGCTCGTTCTTTGCCCGTGGCTGTTGCGTGCACAAAATGAAGCTCGGCTTTGGAGCGCGTGGAATCGATGGTGTGATCGGCAGGTGCGTGAATGTGCCATCCTTTAAGATACACGGTTTCCTGGTCAAAGGTCATGGATGGGTTGCCGCTGAGATTGGTGGTGTTGGCAGTGAGGGAGAAGGCGGCGCCATATCCCCAGTTGTATAGAGAACCTTGGGTGGCGGTGGGATACTTGAAAGTTGGAACGTGGGTCTTGGAAAAGCCAGTTGCGGTCTCCAAGTGGATAGGAGATTGTTGAGAACCGGTTTGGCAAGTGGTGTAATCTAGTGGTGAGATGTCAGGGAATGAATTGGAGTTTGAGGTTGGGAAGAAAACTTACTCTCGTTAATCATTCCCCAGTTATAGGCAGCATCATATGCCCAATCTGAACCTTCTGCTCTCTTCATAAGTGAGTCAGAAAGATCATGCTGAGGACAAGCCATAACAGCTGATAACAGAGTAGCGGCAAGAATGAAGGCAGACATGATGATTGAATGAATGGAACTGGATAATTGAATGAGTGGAAATGGATGATTGAACGAATGAGTGAATGTGATAGCTGACTATGGGAGATGGATGATTTGATGTTGTGCTAGAAGAGTGACTCTACCATCTATATATAAGAAGAATTCCCATGATTGCCAAACTGGGATCTCTTTTCTTGGGCAATTTTCATAGCCATCACAATAAGCTTGGAAATTAACATGATCAAACGACTGCATAAAACACTAGCTATCTATAAGCTCTTATTCAGCAATTTCAAGCCAGCAATAATCTTGATATGTACAGGCGTGTGAAAATGTTGATGGGTGTGGCATGCATTTTTGAAGATATACTTTTCTTAGCGTCAAATTCCAAGAGCCAAGGACAATTGACATTTCTATCAAACAAGCGAGCATTTAGCTTGTTTTGCCAAACAGTAACCTAACTACCGGTAACATGCTCGTGAAACTGGCTCTTTCTAGCCAAAGTTATAAATGGGGGATTTCGAGGCGCTTGCAAAGCCACAATTTATTATCTCATGATCCTCTAAACTCTAATATAATCTCCTTCATGCGATTCTAACATTAACGATGGAACGAAGGGCTGTGCACACTGGGCGCTTGTTGAATCGGACTTTTCAAGCTCAACACCAACCGTGTGTATGAGCACGTGTAGCTGCTGTATCAAAAAACTTTTAGAAGCCCAGAGTCTAGATGGTATGGTGTCAAAACTTTAAGTCTACCACAAGTATGAGTTTGAGTATGATGTTTACTAATTGTTCCTCTCCACAACGACCATCATCTTTGGGATGATTCGATTCCTCGTGATATTGGGATAATCCGAAATATTGAAAATCTTCAAAGAATGTGAAATGCTTGATTTACTTTTTGCAGATCACAACTGTAGAGAAATTGGTTCATGTAATTTTGATAACAGGAAGATCAACAATAGATATCACCTTGGAAAAGGAAATTGAGTATCCAATTAATAATTGTCCAGCGTATTGAGATAGTTTGGAATATTGAGAGATTCAAAGAAAGTTGAGAAGTTTGATGTATTTGTCATGAATCCAAACTCTAAAGAAGTTCATTCGATACATTCATTGGTAACAATGACGTTTCATTGCTCTGATGAATCAGATCAGGACAGTAGCGGGCATCACCTTGAAAAAGGACTTGGATGTTTGGCCATGTTCGGTGTACCAAGGAATGTTTTGATCCCGTTTAGTATATTGAAAAGAAAGACTCAAGACACTAAAGAGCCTCTGGAGTATCTTCTAGAACAAAGCCAAAAGGCATCCACGTGCAATGGCCAGCGGAGCCTCATCCATTCAAGTTTTCGAGTTTATTACTTCATGTTCAACTCTATTCAATATGGATGAGAGAAAGGCCTTGAGGATGAAAGAGACATCGAAATAGGTTTGAAATGTTCATCCAAGGAAGATTGAGTGTTTGATCTTTTGAAAGAACAAGATATTAAGGTTAAGATAGAGAGGAGTATAGAGGATTGGATGGGGGATGTATAGAGCATTGTATAGAGTGTTATAAGGGGAGATGGTTGAATGTCCAGAGCTATTATTAGGGTGTCAAGCAGCCTTGGAAGGTACTGAGGGGGTGGATTTGATTCAAGGCATTGAAAAGCATTGAAAATACCAGGTACCCAGGTATGTATGTATAGTGACCTGGTTCTTAAGGCTACCACAGACACATCCGCGAAGCTATCCCATACAATGATTAGCGTCGGCAAAAGATGTGATGAACTCCGACTTTCTTCTGCAGGGATCCTTTATCGTCATGCGCATACGGAGTATCGACCGATTACCTACTGATTGCCTACCAGAACCATTTTCAGTTATTTGCTTCATGAGGTATGCAAATAATTCAATATTCAATATCAATATCAATATCAATATTCAACAGTGAACAGTGAACATTCTTCAATCATTCTCTTTCCAATAGAGAAAAATTAAATCAGCTCAACAAACAACCAGTACGCATAGTGTGCTCAACTAAGCCTCATGCTAAAATTACCTAGCTACTCATGTTGATATTTTTACATCTTCAAAACCCTTCTTTCTACTCATTTTTATCCTGTTGTCTCGAACTTCATTGTCCCTAATTCCCACAAAACAGTATAATCAACGGAAAGCCACCACGCCATTGAGAATCCCACCACCCAGTCTCCATTCACTGCTCCCTCATTCACTTGTAACAAAAAAAGAAAGAACCTTTGCTGATAGGAATTTGGGAAATCCTTCTCTCAGTCATGGCTATGAGTCCTTCTCCCCAAATGTCCCCGACAACGTTCGGTAATAAAGCTGAGAGACAACGGTCCAATTCTCCGCCTCCGCATCAACTATCCAAAAGAGATAAACGTCGCTCTATGTTGCAAGATAAGCTGGCAGAAATGACGGTCAATTTTGCCTCGAACCGCGATCATTACTATCGCGATCAGCTCAAAGGGTTACAAATCGATATGAATCTCATTCAGGAAGCGGACGTCCATGGCAAATTTCCCCTCCCAGATGGCAATGAAGTTGAGGCATTAGTTGTAGATGGTATCAAGAAAGTGAAAGGGATTGCTGGCCACCATCCATCTGCTGCGGGAAAAGAGTATGAGTCTTTTGCACGAGAGATCAACAACGCCATGGAGGAGCGAGACGTAGCATTGACTACACACATGGTACGTGAAATTGTTTCCCTTTGAGTATTCCTCTCTCTACGAAAAGCTAAAGCTAATTTTTAATTTTTACAGAGAGATTACGAGGTCAGGGCTAATGAAATCGAATCCGCCCATGCCTATCGAATGCGACTCGCAGACTTAGAATACCAAGCTTTGAAGACAACTTTGAGGGATCGTTTGATCAACAAGGTCATTAGCAAGAAAGCCCATTTATCGAAAGATAAAGAGTCAATTGAGATTGGAGAGAATAATGCTTTACTTCTCCATCCAAGCCAATTTGGTCTCGCTAACCCCGCTAGTCCTGGTGGGATGCATTCCAAAAGAGCTACGAGGCACCGCCGAGAAGCTGAAGAATTGCCGAATATGTTTGACGGCTCTAAACGCAAAAGAAAGGGCATTGATGGTGACGAATCTCCAGCTCCCTCACGTCAACGTATGGACAACGGTGGTAGCACTCCATTATGGAGCTCCGAGCGGAACATTAGCGCATCTGCACAAATTGACGCATCTGCATACAGCATTGAAAAGCTCTTCACCGACAAAGAGCTCGCGATGAAATACAATGAGGCAGCCCAAGCAGCGTATAGTTACATGGTTCGACATGCACCATACGAGGATGAAAACAGCCCTCAAAATGGCAGATCCGATTCCAGTCCCGACACGGACAAGATGAATGCAACATCTGGAGATGTTGAGAATGATGATCCAGATTCTCCCCCATCCGCACCTACAATGGAACGTCAACCTTCACATCAAACCAGGAGCACACGCGGTGGAGCCCTTGCAAATTTCAATACGGGTACAGGAATTGATATAATTAGCGACTTAGCATATCCTGGCAATATGGCAGCGATCACGAAACAAATCCCTAAACTACCACCACTTCTCGCCTCAAATATGCAGAAAGGATATGTGAAGGGAGATGCTGCTAATCAGCCGCAAGGATTGGCTCCTGATGAAGTTAATGCCGAATTGGAGATCATCAGAAGGGGTCGCACGTACAATGATGAGCGGGGTTACGGGAAAAATCTTGAATTAGAAAACGGTGGAAGAAGTCTCCTTGAGGCAGTCAGCACACCGAGAAGAGCTCAAACTTATTACGTTAGAAGCGACAATAAAGGCTCAATGCTCAGCAACTTACGAGAAGAACTTGGTGCAGAATCAATATCGAAGCAAAGTTCCAGGGGAGGAAGCGAGGTCGGAGGAACGCCGATGTCAAGACAAAACACCAATGAGGGAGCATCGAGAGCGGGTCGAGCGAGGAAGAATTTATTAAGTTGAGAGGAGAAGTTTATTCATCAATTGATTATCTTTACATTCTTACTTATTGGGTATTAGAGGGCGCCGGCGTTGGGATAAGGGACATCATGAGGAAGATTAAATTCCGAAGATTCATAAGGCGATCAGAGGGATATTGATTATATCATGGCTGGTTGTTGAAAAACGACAATTATGGAGTTATATTATATCTATGCATTTTCATCGTTTTGAACGACCCGTCTTTACAACTACTCTAAAGAGATTATACTTTCTAGATCAAAGGCGATCAATTCAATAAATTTTAACATCAATTTCACATCATACTATCTATACATTCATTAGGTACCTACATACCAATGATCACGCACTCCATGTCGCTCCCGTCCTAAGTAGAAAAGAACTTAAACTTTATATACCTACCTAGGTACTCGAGACTTCCCAAATATTCTCTACTCTCATGAACCTAGATAACCTTATATACGCCCCTTAACTCACAGTGAAAATGTAACTTGAGATCTTATTACTTGGTAAGATTACATACCTACTTTAGTATGATATAATTAATATCTAATTCTCTATGCTCTTCACTTTATACTCGTATAATTACATAGGTAGATAAATAAGTAAGCTCCTACTAACTTGGAAAGAATTACAAGTAAGAGTACCTAAATAGATAGGTAAGATTAGAATATTTATATATCTCTTCCCTTTTAATCTAATTCAATAATCTAATAATCTAATCTAGTATATCAAAACTCATTAATCGAATCGGGATCAAATTGTAAGACCTTATTAAATCGATCTTCTCGATTTTATACTCGTGATATCTATCTTGATATATTACTTTCTATTACTTTCCATCACTATTACTAGGTATCACTACACATGTGAAAAAAAAAACTCCCTAGAAAGAGAATTAAATAAAGTCTTGTTACAACTAAAATTTGCAGAAAAAAAAAAAAAAAAAAAAAAAAAAACTTTATCTCTTCCTAGGTAAGTCTTACATACATAATCATCTAATCCAGCTTCTGATACTTTACCCCAGATATAGCTAGCTGGTAGGTACTCGAACAGAACAAGATCAATAACCATCCTAATACATACGAACATAAGATCTTACAGTACATCAAGTCAACATTTCGCTGAAGTAATCCGAAACTCCGATATCGTATACTTTTCGAGGTTTTGAGCGGGAGACACATATATATATATATCCTTTCTAAAAAAAAAAAAAAGAATGAAAAAAATCAGCCAGGGAACAGTCAGTCGTCAAGGCCGTAAATACAGACCTGGTTTTTACACCCAAAAACCTAGAACACCTTCTCTTATTCAATCAATGTCTTTCACTCGTAACCCAGAAATGATTATCCTATGCAGACACAGACCATATAACGCCATTCTTTCCGAGCCCCAAGTTATATATAAATCATGGCTCCCATGAAATGATGTACTCTCCGAATCCCAGTGAAGGAAATCTTACATGTCCAAAAGAAAACCCCTGCTGACTCGTGATAAATACTGGAAATCAAAGGTCGTTCGTTACCACCAATTTCCCGCACCTCCCAAGGCATTTGCATCCGGTACTTGTTGACCCGTCTGAATTTGGAAATCTCTAGCCAAATCGTCCCAACCTGTCCAAGTAACATCATCACCATTAAGGGCACTCATATCAAGATCCAATAATGCATTATCATCCATTATCCAAGGTATTTGATTTTGGCCTTGTAATTGCTGCTGTTGTTGTTGCATCTGGAGTTGAAGTTGTACCTGCTCGGGAGCTAGCATACCCATACCCACTACCTGGGGAGAAACATTGGTGTCGAAATTATTGCTATGGCTTTGTTCTCGGTCTAGGTAATTTTGAGATTGTTCCGCTTCTACTGGTGGTGATTCGGCCTCGCCATCTAGGAGCGCTTGAGTTCTGCGTAAGGCGGCAATACATTCGTCAGGGGCTCCTTCCCAGTGATCTTTATCAGTTTCTTCTTCCATCGAAGTCATGTTCTCTTCTCGCTTTCTACGAGCTCTTGCCATGAGCTTTCGCATGGGTTGCCAAAACATGCCGCGTTTGCTGCTGCCGACAGCGTCGCTCCAGTCATCAAATGCACTGTCAATTGCTTGCCAGGCTCGCTCCACAAGCGGGGAATTTCTCCGGACGGAAAGTTCACCAAGAATGAAGGCAATCGCGTGCCATTGTACCTATAGACGCGCAAGTTAGTAGTGTTTGGTATACAGAGATTTAAAATATTCAATACACATACATAAGTGCGGAATAGCCAACCCCATTTCTTAGTACTGGCTTCGGTTTCTAATATTCTCGAGTACTCAATGATTTCGATAGACGACGTGAGAAGACGATCCTTAGTATGCGGAGATAAGCACTGGGGCTTACCCGGCTGGATCAAGGGGTGATAGATTATTAATGACATCTTTGCAAAGATGAGACGTGCTACTGTGCCCGCTACCCACTACAATTTCCGATATCAGTAAACAACCAATGGAATAAAATTATAAGAATATGTGGGGAGCCACTGATCTGTATAGCCTTTATGGTTCCACCAACTAAGATAAAGCATCAAGGAAGTCATCACTTACATACAGAGGACCCGCATTTTCACAGTATTTGAGATATTTTTCCTCTAGTCGAACAGAGGTTGCCTTGATCAACTGTTCTTTCTGTTCAAGTGTGAGGCTTTTTGCATTTCCTGAAGGACAAGGACCACGACCTGGAGGGGTGTATTGAAGGCGTTTCGACAAAGCACATATTTCGAATCTAATAAGAACGAATGTCATCTCTGAGACTCCTTCTCGAGGTTGTGGCGGTTCTTTTGCATCAGGATCTAAGTCTGCATCATTTACCGAAAGTGGAAATTTGGTATCGAATGTATGATCATATATTGAAGGGTCAGAGCCATGGTCCTCGGATGCCCTTACGTCTAGAACACATATTTGCCACCAGAGTCGTCTCCGCATTTCCGTATCATAGGGGGATAATCCAAACTTCTCTCCATCACGATGTAAGCCTGATCATCATGTTAGAAATTGTGCCAAAGAAAAAAAAAAAGGGCATAGGAGCTCACCAAGCGATTGACCGATCCTCATGACAAGTCCAGTTAATGACCATGCAAATCGAGTATCGTCATGTCTGCGAACGCAAGTCAAGAATAGTACGAATGCTTGCACAGTCATGATTTCGTTTGTACTGAGGAAACTTGCCCTGGCAAGGGCTTGCTCAGTGCCAAATCGATACTTTCTAATCAAAGTCTCTTTCTCAACCCCGAAATTTATAGCCACCTTATCAAATGTCAGCCATAGCTCGCATCAATGGAGTTTATTCTAGAGGTAGAAATGAATACTACAAACCTCTTCATCTGACATAGATGTGATAGTTGCAAAGTATATAGAGAACATCAAAGCTTCTGTGCTCCTGCTGATAGTATCTAAATTATGTTGAACCTCCTTAATGATCTTCCCCATCGTAGGCACATGGAGAAGCTTAACCAGTGGCATCACGTTTTCCAGAAATGTTGACCAGTAGAAAGGTATTTGAGAAGGTAAAGGATGCAAAGCCTTCATATCGACATCTGCAGAGCTATAACCCATCACAAAGCTCTGATGATCTGGTTGGGTAATGGAAGATGGTGCTGGAATCGGGGAATCTCCATCGCTATCCTCTTCGTCCTCATCGAACATGGCGCGAAGCTCGGCTATCTCCTGAGATAATTCTGCCCAAAAGGGATTTGAAACGTATTGACTCTTCCCTGAATCCAATACCAATCGTCCTATTCCTTCTTCCACGGTAAATGCATTTTTCGGAAGTGGAAGGTCCATGTCGAAAGGTCTTGCAAGAGCTCCCTTTTTGGTGCCATTGTCTCCGTTTATCCCAGTCGTTTTGACTTTCGAAGTTTTATCAGTATACCCGCCGCCGTTGGATTCGATATTGTTGTGCGGGGAGGAATGATCGCTTGATGGTGAAGCCCTCGAATGTTCCACCTCCACTTGTCCACTGAGTTCCTCCACAACCCCTTCTAATCTTCTAAGTCTCTTCAACAGTTCCGCTTCTCGATCGCTGACGGGCTTCCCTCCCGCTCTGGGGCGTCTAGGGGCGCGCCCCGGTGCTGGAAACACACACTGTGATTGCGCCTTGGTGCAATTCGAGCAAGGCACCTTTTTGTCGCATTTAACCTTTCGTCTGCGGCATGTAACACATGACCGCGCATTCAGTCCAGTAGGAGCTGCAGCAGTAGCCGATGTTGATTGTCTCCGAACATCAACGGGGCCGCTAGGTGGGACAATGGGAGGGGGAATCGATGACGTTGAGGGGTATGTTGAATTTGGCGGGATGGCTATTGCTTGCTGGTTTTGATAGCCTGCGAACATGGCGTTTTAGTTGGCGATGATTTAAACTCCCCCCTTCATTTAGTAAAATGCAAAGTATAGGACTTAATGTAATAATTTTGTTCAAAGAGGTTGAATTGGCGGATAGAGTTGCATGAAAGAAAGGAAATGTCAATCTAGAAAAGGTTCATAGATGATGGGCAAGGCTATGTCTCATAATGTATGCAATAGACACACCCTGAAGATGTCAATATTTTGGGGCATGCACTTCAACGTTGTTAAGCTCCGCCATGGCCCATAATTATATGCTTTTATTGCGACTGACTGTCATTAAGGTTACGAAATAATGTATCCTCTGAACTTCATTCCGCTCAATTAACTCTGCTGTACTCCATAGATGCATTGGAGATACATATTTTTGCCACTACTTTTTGATGTTCAAGCTACAAATGTTCCTCCACAGCTTTTCAAACATCAAAGGTCCAGATCTTGATTGTTGTGCGTCATGTATCCTTCTACCTACTTTCTTAATAATCGTGCCACCATGCTTATTTGTTTGCCATAAAAGTAACATTGGGAATTACGAGTCTTATTACTCCATACAATGTCCACAACTCAAACCATTACATGCTGACCCCTTCTTTTAAATATCATCGAAAGCCCAAAGGGCATACATACATATATGTTCTTTCTGGAATAAACCAGAAACTACTCCATGTAAATTCGTGGGTCACTGAACGAGTCATACTTCTCAATGAGCGCCACTGAAGCACGTAAACAGGACAGATGGCCGAGTGGTTATGGCGTGTGACTCAAGCTCAACAGCTTAATTGATTCAATCAATTAGCATTCTCATGGGCTTAGCCCGCGGGGGTTCGAATCCCCCTCTGTTCAATGATACGTTTTGTCATTCTGTTTGTGGAAAGACAAATGGTGATTTTTTGGAAATGTGTGTGGGGCTGAGATGTTGTGGTACGCGGTTTTTTGGGCGTGCAGGCGGTGTAGGCCGAGGAGAGGAAAATAGAATGCAGGAACTCTTTCAATGGATTATCTGGTTGGTAGGTAGTGTTGGGGATGCTGGAAGTTTTATCAAATTTGATTGAAGCTACAAGTTACCGAGGGAAAAGGGGGGCCTTTCAACGGACGGAACTCATTTCCTAGCTCTTTTAAACTTTACTATCTATCTATCTATGGTTTACTTTCATGATATTTCTTTGAAAGATTCAATATTTTGATCGAGAAAGAATCAAAACCTAAACACACATATGAAGCTCGGTTCGATTATCTTCTCCGAAGTTATGGCTAAAAGAACTGCTTGGCAAAGGTACTTACTTATTCATCATCTCGTGTCCTATACTATAATCAGTGATCACATAATTGAACAAGGAGAACACTCAATGCCATCACCAAATTCTAGCCCTTTTAGAATCCTCTTTCCTAGAGCCAAGTCACACCCCCGATCTTATCTTCCATGCGATCACCACCGTATCCTCCGTAAACCTTCTCAATCTTCCCCCCACATAGTCTTTTTACGCGTGTTTAATGTGGATACAGCGTGGAGTCTCGAATCAACACTGAGCCTACACAGCCCTAGCCATTATGCTCGCCCCAGAGTCCCAGACAACTAGAACCCTGCTAACAAACGCCCTGGATTTCCGCAATCCCAACCACAGCGAAATATCAAACACGATCAGCAATATGCCAGAAGATCAATGCCATGTTCTATATCCCGGGTTCTCCGCAATGTTGTCGCACCATTCGCTCATCATTTCCATCCGATGTCATGCATATGGACAGATGGGTTTCTAATATAAGAACCAAGAAGTAAAGAGAAGTATATCTGATACCAAGTTATCAGCCCTCGAACTCGAAACAAATTTCTATCTCGCAGAACTAAATTCTTGGATCTTTCTTCTCTCATATAATCAAATTCCTCCAAAGCATTCTCTCTCTCAAATATTATAAAATCATGAATATCCCCCGGAAACATAACCCCTATCTCGATCCTACCAATAAACAACACCGCGACTACACCCGTTTGGACGTGTCTCACTCCCCAGACAACGTCCCAGATACCCCTTTCAATTCGCCTACCGCCATGTCTCTCTCAAACACCGAATGGTTAAGTCCAAATCTGAATACGTTTTCTCTAAACCAAATCATGATGGATGAAAACAAATCATCGTCAACATCATCATCATCATCACACCAATCACACCAATCACATAAAGTGCAGCCTACATCCGCACACTCAGACTGGAGACCCATATCACGAGATCGTGCTGGATCATCTGGATCAGAAAGATCAGAAATTACCCGCGATAGTAAAGAATGTCGCTGTAGGAACGGGGGAATACAAAAAAGAGACAGTGGAGATGGACCTAATTCAGGGTTTGGAAGTTATAGTGACAGTCATTGCGAGCAGTGTATTCTACGAGATGAGGGTGTGGAGAGAGGAAGATGTAGGACGAGGACGAATTCTAGTAGTTCGAGGGATAAAACGAGCGGTTCTAGAGAGAAGAAGAGGAGGTTGGATCTCTGAGGTGTGGGGCGTCTCTTGTATATCCAAAGATAAATACGGATAGTGGAATATGATACTTGCATAAAGTTTAGCAAAAGTAATATCACAAAAGAAGTGACGACCACATCAATATGTGCTCGCCTTTAGCAGACTTTGCTATTCTCCAATTTTTTTCACGTTACCGTCAGTGACTATGTAGAAGTCCCTAGCTGATATGCGGTAATTATCTAGCCATTGAAAATCTCTTGAATATTTGGCGTAAACCTAGAGCACCCGTCCATGTGGGCTTTGTATCACGTCGTTTTAACATAGCCATGTCTCGCATTTACATCTTGGATATGTTATTATGTCACTCGCACGACGCTCACGTCAGTTTTGTAACTCTACTGTAAATATAGAGCTCAGTTTCTTTTCACCATCTAACATCGATGAGGGAGGTAATTATTTATCAATAATCTTATATATTCCTACAGAACTTGATCTGGAGACCTCCATAATGTAAACTTGGATTCCAATGTGATTGGCGTCTCTAGCATTAAACAAAACCTTAGTGCGGTGATCGATTAGTCTCTTCGTAAAAGAAGAGGTTCATTGAAACTTGCCCGCCAGAATCTCTTCCAGAGTAGTGTATGTATCAACTTTGTACCGCATCCTCTGTGTGGAAGACACTTGCGAGTCTTCCTTCAGTGCCGTGGTGTCCACCTGCAGAAGTTCCGGCAGTGTTGGAGGTTCAAAGGGATATGTACTACTGCCCACAAACACCGTATCATCTTCCTTGCATGATAGATCCTCCATTATCCTTTTCAGTAATTGATCTTCTTTGCTCCCTAAAACCATAGCTGGAGCTTTTAATACCTCTTCCATCATGGGATTGTTAACTCCGAAAAAATCACGTATATAAACCGGAGCTCTTGCTAACACGGAAAGGGCTGGAATTCCCACCATATTAATCGTATTTGTCAGAACCAGGTCTAAATGACCTTTCAACATTGCATCACCGCTATCCCCTTCGAAGTCAGCCATAAAAATAACTTTCTTTTTGAGAAGGCAGAGAAGAGCGATTAGAGGTTGAAAACCACGTCCGTCGTTGAGCATGATCACGGGGACTGTCCTATTGCTGCATGTTACAACCAGTCTGTGGCAAATATCGGGGATTGTCATCGGATCCAAGTGAAAATGTTTAAGTAACGCTGCGTTCCGATATATTAGACGATCCTCAAACGATTTTCCGTCCATAGCAGGGTCGCTCATTTCCATCTGAACCATTGTTTTGTATGTACTGATAATGTCTTCCCGCTTGACTGTGGGCAAAATTTGATTGATATAATACAAAACGTAAGAAAGAGCAGTGGCATTTAAATTACTGTAGCTGAGGACAAAGCCTTTGTCCATATGAAAGACGAAATAATTCCGCGAAAGAAGCTGGCCCCGAAGATCAGACGCCAGGTTGTGTCCGTTTCCAACTCCCAAAGCTTCATCATTGTTTGACTTTGAAAGGGGTGCCGAATTATCTCCAATGTGACCGCCCATAACTTCGGCATTATTCGGTCCTGGGAGTTGCGGCGAATTCTCCCCATTGCCCTTCTCCATAGTTTCAGTATTGTCCGAGTCTTTTGTAGGAAATCGTTGCCTTTTTGGCAGCGAGGACGAGTCAAATGAAGCTGAGGGACGCTTTAGCGGCGAAAGATTCGGACCAAGCTGCTCGTCATGTCGATTTAAACGGAAAATTATCTGGCGGTTCATCCCAAAGCATGTTATGAGACATGTCAAAACCTGGAGTAGGACGGCCTTCCAGATGTGACTTCTGAGCATCATACTGTTCTTTTGGTAGAGGACCATAGAAGGAGCTCTGAGCTCCAGAAACGCTCGGTGTAAAGTTTTGTGTAGGTTCTTGAACTTTCGATTGAGCCAGCGACTCTTGTGGCTTCATCCAATCCGAGGGATGACGACGGGGGGCCAGTGGACTATCTTGAAATAAAGATTGAGGCCAGGGTGGATGACTCATTAAGGCTTCAAACTCTATTGTGTTCAGGGCTCGAGGCGCTGATTGTGGGCCGAGCTGTGCGTATGGTTGTGACCATTGTGGTGCAAATTGGGGCATGGGTTGTCCTATGGGTGATGGTGGCAGCTGAGGGATTACGGGGTATTCGGTGGTTGCCTGCCTTTTCGGAGCTAAGCGTCGTTGTGATTGGGTATTAAAGGTACCGTGTTGAGAAAATGAGCTATTTGATACATGACCTTGTGGTTGAGGATTAAGGAAGTTTTGTTGAGAAGGTGAAATATTTGGTTCATCCATCGGTAGAAAATCCAAGAATCCGTAAAGAGGGTTATCGTGAGGATCGTTGCCATGTTTAAAAGGATCCATTTTCGTAATGTATTAAGCAAACAAGCAATTGAAAATATATGAATGAATAAACACTTGCCACATCTCACAGAATATGAAGTATTGATTGTATGTGATGCAAGAGAATGTAGTTTGGCAAGACCTGTGGGTGCTTATACCAATTTCATTCGAATTGACTTGGGAAAGCACATTGGGAGACATGTTGGGTAGTTGCACTTTCACTCTCCCAATCCTGTGGTAAAGTAACGAAATCCAACTGTGCTTCCCATATTCGAAATCAACTCCAGATATTTACAATACCTACTAGAATATGCCGTTTAAAATATGGGTTTAGAATTGGTAATTGTAATAACATACTTAGGTAGATTGTGATGAACTCGAACTGCGAACCTCACTTCGTACAAAATATCCTCGGTCTGGATGAGAAAACAACACTTGACACCATCAACGCAACTTTGTTGGTAAAGCCGACACAAATTAATATCAGCACACTTGCTATAAGCTGGAATCAAATACAGCGGCCCAGGGGCATCTTCCTATTGGTCAACTAATCGAAATTGACGCTCAAAATACAATATTGGTTTGATATAAGTTACTGCAAGTGCGACTCTCCTCCCGAGAATCAACGTCTAAACTTTGGAAAAGTATCTTCTTCCGCTGTAAGGAAATTCTTTTAGACTAGGGTATAACTCCTCAAAGCTTCAATTTCTCTGCAAACCATTTCTCGGCAACAGCAACAGCATCATCGATCTTATCAGCATTGGTTCCTTGACCAGTGCGAGTTGGCTCCTTGCCACCAGATCGACCTCCTATGACCTCCGAGACTGCTGCAGCCCATTGCTCCGCGCTCACGCCCTTAGAAGCAGCATCCTATATAGCGTTAGTCGACATGTTCAAAGTATGGAGGAAATAGTTGCACTTACTGTACCGACGTAAACTCCGTGCACGACAGCACCCTCACTAGCACTGCCTCCAAAGAGATAAACTGTCTTCTCCTTTGCTTTGGACTTGAAATGGTTCATCACTTCAGCGATAGCCTTGGAGTTTGCAGAGATTGGTAATTGTGCAATATACGCGATGCTGTCCTTGTTCTTTGGATCAGCAAAGTGAGCAGTAACAGTATCCAAAGCAGTCTTGGATTCGGCCTTCTGCTTCTTTTTTTGCTCATCAAGAACATCTTTTTGAACCTTGGTGAATTTCTTCTTCAAGTCCTCTTTAGTCAATACTGAAATAGTAAGGTGGTTCAAGTCATTTTGTGTTGCTTTGACCTCCTGTTCCTTCTCTACGCCGTGAGGCATAGCATCTAAAGCAGCAATACGTTTGCCGAATTCTGAGGCGACTCTCTGTATCTCATGCGCGGCATCACCAGTATAGGCGATGATTCTTCGAATTCCCTTGGCAATACCACTCTCCTCGACAATAACGAGGTCCTTAATAATGCCAGTCTGATCGACATGAGTTCCACCACAGAACTCGACACTGACTTTTCGCCATTCTGGGTTCTTTGGTTCAGCGAGTAGAACGTCGATCTCGACACCCACCGACACCACTCGAACGGGATTCGGGTATGTTTCGCCGAAGACAGCACGGACACCTTCAATAGCCTTTGCAGTGTCAAGATCAACATCTTTCGAGTAAATCTTGCAGTTTTGTTTGATGTAAGAATTAGAAGAGTCCTCGATCTTCTTGAGTTCAGGTAGAGTGACTTGAGCTTTATGCGAGAAGTCAAATCGCAATTTCTCTTGGTCGACAAGTGATCCCTTTTGGTTGATATCTTCGCCTAAATGCTCCCTCAGCGCATGATTGAGAATGTGTGTACCAGTATGATTGTTCCGGATAGGTTGTCTTCTTAATTCGTCGTATTCGCAAATGACCTCGTCTCCAGCCTTGAAGTTTCCATAGTCCATGTAACCATTATGGACAATGTATCCACCATATGCTTGAGTATCAAGAACCTTGAATTCTGCAACACCATCAATTATGATTTTGCCTGTGTCGAAAACTTGACCACCTTGTTCAGCGTAGAAGTTAGTCTTATCTAGGAGAATGCCAAATGGCTTATCACTTGGCAAATCTGCCGTGCTCTTGAGGAAGCTCTTGCCATCGTAAATGAGCTGGACCTTGCCTGTTGAATCGCCCTTTGAAAATTTGGCGTCATCATTGGTTCGAGCGATACCTATGTTGTCAAGCTCGGCAATTTGATGTACGTCTAATTTCGCGAAAGTGTGTGCAGCCTCCTTGACGGATTTACTAGCCTCACGCGCCTTCTCTTTGGCAATCTCGATCTCCCCTTCATCTGTCTCAAGGCCTCTCTCCTCAGCCATGATTTTGGTCAAATCTTCTGGGAAACCAAAAGTGTCGTATAATCTCCATACGTCTGCACCTGAAAGTTTTTTGGTATTCGTCTTGATGGCTTGGGCGGCGTATTTCTCGAACATCTTCTCACCACGATCCAAAGTTCTAGCAAAAGCCTCTTCTTCTTCATCTAGAATTTCCTTGACATCTTGTTGCTTTTTGACTATCTCAGGAAATTGCTCGCCCATTTGTTCAACTAGAGCTGGCAGGATTTTGGAAAAGAAGCTACCAATCTCGGCATTGAAGTATTTTCGCGCATAACGGGATCCTCTTCTCAAAACACGTCGAACAACATAGCCCCGTCCTTCGTTGTTGGGAACACCTCCATCGGAAATAGCGAAAGTGAGTAAACGAATATGATCAGCAATAACACGATAAGCGGTATCGATCCCGTCGGTATCGTCCTTACCATATTTATCGGTATATGGTCTGGCCTGTGTAACTTCTTGAATCTTGGCAAATAATGGAGAGAAAACATCTGTGTCATAATTTGACGATTTATCCTGCAATACCGATACCAGACGTTCATAACCCATACCAGTATCAATATGTTTGGCTGGTAGAGTCTTCAGCGATCTATCCTTCTGTCGGTCGAATTGGATAAAGACGATATTCCAAATTTCCAATACGTTAGGGTCATCCTGATTGACAAGATGAGCAGCATTGCGCCCTCCTCCTATTCTGTCGTAATGGATCTCACTACAAGGTCCGCAAGGTCCTGTCTCCCCCATCTCCCAAAAGTTATCCTTCATGTTTCCTGTCAGGATATGGTCCTCCTTAACTCCAGCCTTCAGCCATAACTCCTTAGCCTCTGTATCCGCCGGTACGTTATTTTCCGAATCGCCTTCAAAATATGTGACGTATAATCGATCTGGATCTAACCCGTAAACCTTCGTGAGTAACTCCCATGCCATCGCAATAGCATCCGACTTGAAGTAATCGCCAAACGACCAGTTCCCCCAACATCTCAAAGAAGGTCTGACTCACTTGTTAGAACTGTTCAAATATGGCATATAAGGGGTAACTTACATGATGGTAACTATCCTTTCCGACATCATCGAGATCCTATAAACAATCAGATTATATACTTCCCGATGAGAGTTATGTAGCAAGTCTCACGTTGTGTTTTCCTCCAGCTCGAATACACTACAACTCCGTTAGCGTATATCCATGATAGCAGCAGCAACCCAAGCATTACCTTTTGTGTATCCACTGCTCTCTTCAGTTGTGCCATATCATCAGTCTTTCCCACCGTGCCGAGAAAAATCGGCTTGAACTGGTTCATACCAGCATTCGTAAAGAGGAGAGTGGGGTCATTGTGAGGGACCACAGAGGACGACGGCACTGTTTTTTGTTAGATATACAGCTTCAATAGACTGTTCGAACTCTGACAGATGACTGCTAAAGCAACAAGAGTTTTGTCCAATTCATGGAGGTAATCCGTAGTTGAAGTACCCTAATAAAACCCCTTCATCATAAAGAATTACCCCGCCACTTACCAACAGAATGAGCATGCTTCTCGAAAAAGTTCAAGAATTCTTTCCTAACCACCGGGGCCGTCCATTTACTAGTATCTTGAGAAGTCGCCATAATTCTTGAGGTCCCAGAAAATTTGCGATCCAAGGTTGTGTTGTAAAAACTTATCGAGGTGGTGCGCGAGTCGAACAAAGAAAGTCGCGTCCTGTCGGAATCGTAGAATATTCTCGAGCAGTGACTCAGTGGACCTGGAACTCTTGCGATGTTCAGATTCAACCTTCCACGCAACACATTCATTCGCCCGATTCTATAAAGATATCTTTTTTCCCCTAGGACGGTTAAGTCTTCAATTGACAATTACCTTCTGTTTATACAGATCGAGGATTTATCTTATCGTGCATAGACTAAGTGGCAGAAAAGAAGCCTGTGATTAGGGGAGGGATGGGTCGTTGGGATGGATCAAGCGACGCGTATTAGGAAACGAAAGGCAGAAACCCAAGACAATGGACGACTCTCCAAACGATTGAGCTTGCTTAATCTCGGTACATATCCTACATTTATCTATAACTTCTTCATCCCAATGATCCATCCTCACAGACTGACAATTTTCCAGAGAACAATGGTCAGAAACTCTACGTTCCAGTTGAACAACCCATCTTGAGCTCAGATCTACCTGCCACCAGCTCCGCAACCACAACGAGTAATTACAGATCCACGAAATCAAAAAAGATAAAACAACAAGATGCAGACGATGTAATGCAGCTAGATGACTCCAAACACAAAGTCTACATTTACAATCTCGACGACGAGCTATCTGACAGCGACGCCTCCGACGATGGGCGGCTAGTATTTCTCCCCGACATTTCTAAACATCTGCGAGGAACACGGATACCACCCCATATACTAGCAAACAAGGATGGAGAATTGGCGGGTGTGAATAATCAGCTCATCTTGTATGATACAGCAGTTCCAAGGAATCATAATGTGCCTGAAGAACAGGATTTAGTGCGGAAGGCATTCTTGGACGCGAGGGAGAAGGCGAGAGCTAAGTGGGATGAGAGGGCAAGGTTGGAGGGGAGAGGGGGAGAGAGAACGATGGGCGAGGTTGTACCAGATGGCGCATCTGCTAATAGTGTGAGTGAAGAGGATGCTGGCGTAGAAGATATGATAGTGGAAGATGATCCTGATGCTATGGACCTCGGATAGTGTCCAATGCTTCACCTAGCGGTGTGTAAGACTGTTTAGTGGGTACTAATATTTATGGATGTGCTCTGAATTTCAATCTTTCATTGTTCTATCCTGATAGTACATTTAATCGCTCGTGAAAGTCCATTACCAGCATACCCAAACATCAATATTCATTAAATCGCTCCTCCCCACGACTAACCTCGAAATGGATTGTTGCTCGCGCCAGTATTAATTGCTTGAAGATTTGGAGGTGGTCCTGGAGGTGCCTCATAATCGGGGGCGGACTCTCCACCATCATCTGCTGGACGTCTTGTTGGTTGTGATCCCCATTGTGAGGGATCGACTTTGGTTGCTCCCGCAGGTGGTTGATATGTCGGTGGCATTGGCGCATTAGGATCGTACATTGGCGGTGGCATAGGATGCATGCCATATTGTCCTCCTGCTGCTGTTGGAAATTGATTGTAGTATACGTCCGGGTTCTGGTAAGCGGGGTCATATTGTGCTCGTTGTCGTCTATTCAACATCCACTACTGATTGTTAGCACTGCCTTCTCACGCAACCTGATTGAAGCTCCTAACCCTGTGGTATGCTAATGGTTTCAAGCCCTTCCTTAATCTTCTCTTCGCATGCCAATATCCGACAATGATCCATAGCATGAAGAGAAGAAACAAACCCCAGAAAATCGACCATCTGATTATTCGACCCGTCTATTGAACATAGTTAGCAACGAGCATAACTTTCCATCATGACCCAACAAACCAACCTTTGTAAGCCAAAATGGAACATCATCACTTTCAAAACAATTTCCAAATCTATCACACTCGACAATAGGGTCGTTGTCCGCCCGCTCCATAATCATCGACATATGGCCGTCCATGCTTGTGATCAATATCCAATGCTCTCGCGCTGTACTTCCCAAATCGACTCAAAAGCTCAGTTCAACTCTGTTCGTCGGTGCCCAAACTTTCAATATCGTTTCGAATATTATATCCCGTTCGTTCGCCCGTATAAATTAAATTCAAGTAAAGTAGCAGGTAGTACCAATATTCCGGGCTTCTTACTACAGAAGTATCCAAATCCAACGGGGCAGTGCTCGGGTCTCTTGTTACGGTATCTCAATACCCGATTTTAGAGTTTCATGCGATGTTACAGAAGCGTATCCAACACCAACACTTTGTTTGAGATTCGATGTATGATGTATCCTTCCAAAAAGTATTGGTTGAGAGCTGTGTCGGATTCTTCAGATTCCCAATCACGAATTCACAGCAAGTAGAAAAATGTAAAACAAAAAGTATTCTTAGGTGAAGGATGAAATACTTTCAAACATCAGATTGCATGGGCTGTTATTATTTATTAATAACACAGATATTGGGTGGCTTGGAGCAGAGCAGGTACGGCCAAGATCCCTCCGAGTCTAGAGTAAGGTTTATTACCGTCCCAATTTCCAATACAAAATAGTGATCATCATCCTTCAGTCAATATCAAGAAGATGATTCGTTCCTTTCGGATTAGTCATGTAAGCTAAATTCAGGTACCCGTCTAGCGTGGCTTGGAATGTAAAAAGTGTGGCTGGAAATGCCGGATAGTCTGGAAGTTACTGCATTATTGCGGTGGAGAATGCGAACTTCGTGCTAGTGCTAAAGCTAAAGTGCGTGATTGTTTTAGGTTGCGAGTGAAGTCATTGGGTTTCAAATCAATAACAATTTGCTTGACGGAGTTTGTCCCGCGAACACTTTGAGACGTGCTTGGTATGAAGAGATCTTTGCGCGGTGGAAGTGGTGATGCGAGTGGTTAAAGATTCACAGTGAAAGGAATCTCATCAAGGTGGCTGGGATTTTGGCGACTTATGAATACGAGAATATAATAAGTACAGTAGTAGAACGCACAAACTGAGCCTGGCTCGTCAAGTTTAGACTAGGCCATCATTAGCCAAGAGTTTTTAAACATTGAGGTTAAATGGCCAAAATGATCATTTTAAGTTCAGAGATGAAGTTAAGGACAAGACAGAGAGTTGTGCAGAATATGCTGACCAAGCCGGATATTGTACAAAAAGTACCATTAATGTATTCCTACTACTACCCATCTATAGGACACCTGAATTCCCTATCATCATGAAACCCATCCTTCGCCGCATTTTCACCCCTCCGCATTGTCTCCAAACATGACCGATGGTAAATATGTCTACAAGCGAACACTACCAATGGCCCCGGTTCTTGCCGAATCTTGTTTTCATGATTATTATCGTCGCCCTGCTGACCATTCATTCCACCTCCAGAATCTCCCGCCGATTGTTCGTCCATGCCCTTTGCTTTACCTTTGCCTTTGCCATTCCCACTGCTCTCTCCGTCGAACTTTGGCAAACTATTACTGCTAGCGAGAGCTAGCTCCTTTCCTCGTTCTGGAGCACCTCCACTCAAAAGAATTTGTTGATTTTTCCTTTTCTGCCCTTCACGTTCCTGTCGCTCCTCCCACTGAGAAAATACATCACCCGAAACGCCGGGTCCCCATGCCCTCCGACCACAACCCTCACAAGTGGAACCGCGTGGCCTCCATCCTCTTTGACGAAGATTTGTAGCAGACTGGACATTGACGAAAAGGTCCTTATCGAGTAGTCGATTTGACAAACTTAAGATATTCTCCTCATATGCGTAAGCAGAGAATACCGAGGCTAGTACGGCGCGTAGATCACTAAGATTCGGTGATGAGATCGATGCCTTCGTCAAGAATGCTCGTAAAATACGCAGGAAAGATAAGTTTGCACCCGAGGGTGTTGGTGTTGACGTCGAAGTTAACAGAGCTGTAAATGTTCGTTGAACAAGAGTCCGAAGCTGGGCAGTTGGCTTCGCGTCATCTAGTTCCTTGGGCTTCGATACTTTCGCGTCTTCCAGAACTGGAGATATTTTGCGGGTCATTTGTACCGCAACATCTATAAGATCTAACCAAAGTACCTCTTCGGCAAGAAGTTCGAGTTTTCCGGAAGACTTTCGTCCATTAGTAGTTGCGTTTGGGTAGTTAGATTGTGGTGACGTCTGGCGTTGACATAACCAAATTCCCACATTGATATATTTTTGAAGCGCAGTGAGAAGATCCTCCACGGCTTCACTTGCCTTCATAGATTGCATAGCCTCGGCCGGAGCGCCTAGTATGCCTACCAGAGTAGCTTCTAACATCTTCAAATGTTCTATTAGCCGGTCCATACCAGCTCTTATTCGACCTTCACGAGCCATCAATACCACGGCAGCATCTATGACGCCACTCTCTTCCATATAAGGCAATACATAATCAAGCCGTAGATCAGATGCTTGCACCAATTCAACATAGTGCACTACATGTTGAGTGTCATATCTGCACATAAGTTGAACGTATTGCTCGGTGAACTCTTGAGGGGGTGGGCGTTTAGAAGTTTCTTCTTGTCCGGTTGTCGTTTCCATAATACTGTGCAAATAGACATACTGCGCCTCTGAGAGTTCAGGAAGTGAGCTCAACATCTTTTCGTGGAGAGCGGGAGCATAATTCTGGATCGTTAGAGCAGCCTTCTCGGCATCGAGCTCAACCAGATCACTGGCATGCTTCTCGAGAACTTCATGCAGCTCCCGAATCTGGCGTTTGGTCAATCCAGACCGAGGTCTCAAGCAGTCAGATATGCAATCAAAAATGTTTTCACGATCCTCGGGATCCTCAAAATATGCCTGAACCAGTTGACTATATTGCTTGTCTGCTTTGTATATACTTTTGAGGACTCGGTAAAAACCAGCCTTTTGAAATAAAGGCATCAAAGATGCTAGATCGGTTGGATAGTATACTGAAAGTAAGTATTCTGCACTAAGTTGAGCATCATCCGCAAGATCTTCACCAGGATAATTACACAAGCCCGTCAAAACTTTGTGCAGAGCTGTCCCAGAAAGTAGTAAATATTGAGGAAATTTAGGTAGATTTCGAGCGATAAACATATCCAAATAGATAGTATCTTCTGGTGAAAACTCATTGGCGTTCATAACCTCTAGGAGTATCGTGACGATGTACTGCCTGTTGACGGAAAGGCCAAATACATGCTCCTCTAACATATCACGACTTGAGCCACCATTCACAGCTCGCTCTAGCGTGTCGTTAAGAAAGGAATCCTCGAATGCTTCGTTTAAAGCACTGAGGAAACTTGGCGCATCAAACTTAAGGACCATCCTTAAGTACGGAAACGAAGGTTCAACTTCGTTATTGGGCTTTGTTAAGAATGGCTCAGTGTTTCCTCTGGGCCAAGAAATTGTCTTTCCAGAGAAGAGAAACCAATAAAGTTCGGCTTTAGCATTCATAGCTTCTTGATCCTCGAGTTGATCGCCGGTAGGGTAGACTCGGCCCGTAAATGTGTATGACATGTATGGGAACATCTTCAGTGCATTAATGCCAAAAATGGGATCTTCCACCACATTCCCAGCTGGAAAGGATTCTCCGTCTTGGACAAAAGGTACCAACAATGTGAGGAGATCAATGAGAGGAGTTATGTAATCGTGCAGCGCTTGATTCCAGACGTATATGAGGGCATCGTAAAGATTGTGTTGTTTGCATAACGTAGTGACTTCGTCGATGTCTAATGTTGTCGTCTCCATGTGACATATCATTTCTTCTAGACGACCTTCAAAACCTTTACTAACGAAGTAAGAAACCATAGATTTGACAACAGTAGGTGGTATTGAGGTAATGCGTTGATCCAATATATATTGTTCCAAAACCTCGAGGAAAATACCCTCCGACTCCCCGTCCTCGTACCATTCAAAAGCCTCGTCGAAGAGGAAGTCAATATCGTCAATGCTTAGAGATGCTTCGAAGCAAGCTTCAGCCAATCGTTTGAGGTGATCATCTGTAGCAGCTGGGTATTTCTGTCGTTGACCGAAAGCAAACTTGAGAGAAGCAGTCATAATCTCGACCAGTTTGTCTTGCACCATAGAATGCCGTAATGCAGTATCCTCGGGTAATCCAATAGTCAGCTTGTCGGCATCACCTGTGAAATAAGACGTCGCCAATTGAATAGCTCCAATGTAGTCACCATCTTCCATCAATGCGATTAGTCGATCTGCCCAGTTTGATAATGTTCCTATTGATACATCATTGAAGCCAAGTAGGAACATCCGACTTTTGTAAGCTTTGAAGCTCATATAAAATGCATCTGCCACAACACCATGCATGGACGGGTCTTCTTCGTCTAATTGCTCCACCAAGGTATGTAGTTGTTCGGAAAACAAATCTTGGTGGAAGATATGCTTATGTACTAAATCGAATGCTTCAGTCATCCGCATACTTACATCTTCCAAAACTATTAGGCGCTGTGTGATTGTCAATACCGTAAGCACGGATCGACTGAGCCACTGAACGGCAACAATAGCTTCTTCCGCCTTCCAACGATTACGAGGTTTGAAGGATAGACTCGATGGTTTATCTTTGTTATCAGATGGAGTTTCCTCCACATCCAATACAGTCAAAATATTGGACCAACAATAAACAAGCTTGACTTTAGAGCTCTGGCTACCATCTTCAGGGTCCGGAACCTTCAGCTTAACGGCAGGAAACCATGCAAGACATCCACTCATGGTACTATGGGCAGCAACCTCCTTCGGTCGAGCAGCTTTGTGCTGAGTTTCAGCGATTGGAGTTGTGGATACGATCACGAGTAGATAAGGAGTCAAAATGGCAGTCAAACCTAGGGTATCAGTCCCCTTTTCTACATTTCCAAGTGGGAGAGGTGAAAATGCTAAAACAGTGCTTGGCTTTCGCGGCTTTCCGGAAGGACCAACATCGTTAGGATATCTACCGAGTATCCTAGTTGTCCGAACAGTACGTCCAACCGCACCCATACCTCTTGTTGCAAGATGCGAAAAAGCCATTCCACGATCATCTGCAGACACAAGGGCCGTATGTCTAGTGCCTAAAAACCCCAAATGTCGGACTGCAATGTCTGGAGCATGGCCATCGGCACTGCGATTCGCTAATTGAGAAGGTTCTAGGGACGGAATATGAAGAAACGGGCGGGCTGATCTTGCCGTTTCCCACGTGAAGATACTGCCATTGGCATGGCCACCAGCAACCACAAGATGATCAGCAGATACGGTAATAGATGTTACCGCACCAGATTCCACAGCTAGAGCGGTCAGCTTTGGACCGAAATACAAATCTTTGAATACTTACCTTTAGTGCCTGGCCCAATTATGGATTTAAGGTTTTGATGGTAATCAAAAATTAAAATTATTCCCTTTGATGTTCCTAGCACTATAGATGCAGAAACTGCTATGCATGTTGTTGTACCAAAATTACGTCTGCCAACTTCGGAAAATGCTTGTCCGCTAAGTTTCTTCAATTTCGTCCACCGTACAACCTCCCAAGGAGGAGAGGGTGTGTCTGTCTCCCCTGCATCTTGAAGCATCTGGCTATTCATTGATATCTGCCGCGAATGCGGTCTCATGAAACCAGGCGAACTGGAGCGAGGAACATTCAAGGAGGATATAGAAAGACGCGAAGAGAATCGCCGGTCAAATGGACGAAATGATGGAGTAGGGCTATCAAGACCACGCCTAGATGCAACAGATGGCAATATACCACTGCCAGCAGGAGAAGACAGCACGGAACCCTACCAAGTATTAACAAATTTACATTATCCTCATAATTTGTCCTACCTGAACGGAGGGAGAATCGTCTGGAATGGATAAGATTGAGTCTATAGGACTATTAATCCTCCTAGGAGGTGCTCCCACAGATCCATCCTCAGACATATTCTCGGTATCTTGAAATTTCTTGTACGGGTTCGTACCATTTCCTAGCTTCTGCGGCGTAGAGATGCCTTCATCTCTCTCCTCCTGTAGCAGCTCAGAAATTCGACCTCCAGCCAAATGCTCTACGTCCCCTGCACCCATATCCTTTGGCGTATCTTTATATCCATTTGCAGGAACATCGTGTTCATCAACTATATCTTCCTCCCCGCTATTACTGTTTTCCGAAGAGGGGCTCATCGAAAATGGCTGCTCTGGCGCATCATTCCACACAGCTCGACTCGTTTGCGCCGCAGTCCGTGGACTCCCGCAGGCTTGTTTTCTTAGACCAACATTTAGTAGAAAACAGGTTCAGGGACTTCGTCGTCCTGCTCTTGTGAAATCTTTTTCGTAATCGTAATGACTTGCTTGGTGAGCTCTAAATTGGTTGATGTAGGTGATAGCTTCAAGCTTGTGATAGGACAACTCGCTTAGAGCCGGCGACAACTGCTTTAACCTTATGTACTCGCAATGTTTAAGCTTTAAAACAACAATCAAGCATTCGCAAGAGAACGCAAACCCGCTGCAACTGATAATAAATTCGTGAAAGTAAATATTCGGGAGGAGAGCACCCACCCACTGCAGACACACAGCCTTCTCGGATTGTGTGGCACGGCTCGGAAATAATTATCCAATTGAATCGCGGCTGCATAAATATCCAAGTATTGTCAACCATCTTCGTGTACAGACAATTTCCTACCACCAAGCTCGACATTTTATTGTTCGATCAAGATTAAATCGTTCAATAGAGCCTCTATATAACCTAAGGAATTCTAAGACGACAATGCCTTCTTTAGGCCCCGAATTACCTCCACATCTTCAAAAGCGCAAGCGCTCAATCGATGATTCTGAGCTACCTGATTCACCACCTCGCAAATTACAAGCAGCAGCACCACCACCACCACGGATTCTTGGACCCTCTCTACCACCTACCATAAATCCTGATGAAGTAAATATAGAAAATAGTGATGATGGTGATGATTATGGACCATCAATTCGGCCATCGAAATCTAAAAGACCTGAATCTCCACCACGAAAAGTTATAGGACCTTCTGCGCTGCCGAAATCCACCTCTCCTCCCGTCATAGGCCCTTCACCACCATCCAAAAACCCAGATGAACTCGAAATCGAAAGTTCCGATGATGATGACTCTTACGGCCCTTCAATTGTTAATCCGCGGATGGCTGCCCCGCCACCAAAGCGCGTTCTAGGGCCTGCTCTTCCACCTGCCTCTCTTGCAGAACGCCCTTCACACCCCCCGAACTCTGACTCTGATAGCGACTCAGACTACGGTCCATCCCTTCCACCTGTAGCAGGCAGTACTGCCGCTATCGCTCTCGAAAATCAGCGCGCGCAGGAAGCCCAAGCAGCCGCCGCTAAATCAAATGAGCCCTCGAAGCCTCAACGTCCAGATTGGATGCTGGCTCCTCCGACCTCTTCTGACTGGACCTCCAAAATTGACCCCACGAAGTTAAAAGCACGCAAATTTGCAGGAGGCAAGGGTGCTAAAGCGCCGGGCGAGAAAACTGGTGTATCTGCCATCTGGACTGAAACTCCCGAAGAAAAGCGTCAACGACTCGAAGATGCAGTTTTGGGCCGTCAAGACTCTGATACTTCTTCTGCGCGCATACGAGTTGAGACTAAGGTGGATGAAGAGACAGACAAGAAAGTTAGGGAATACAATGCCAAGAATCGGGGAAAATCTCTATACGAAGCACATGCAGAAGGGAGCGTGGTTGCAGGAAAAGGGAAGAAGGAGGAGGAGGATGATCCGAGTAAGAGGGGTTTTGATAGGGAGAAAGATATGGCCTTGGGGGGAAGATTGGGACATGCGGAGAAGAAGGAATTGTTGAATCGAGCGGCAGATTTCGGGAGTCGATTTCAGAAGGGTAGCTATCTGTGATGCAGTGATTCAACCAAGAATACAGATTGACATAGAACATAATGGTATGAGTTCATGAAGTTACATGATGGAGATCACTCGCATAATTTACAGCCTTACGGAATTAGATATACAAGCATGGCTTCGAAGACCGGTAGAAGTCAGTCACATTACTTTAAATACACGCTTTCTATTGCTTGTTATGCTTTCCGTTTTTACGTATGGATACATCCTCTCAAAAATATTTTCATATGCCTTGCCACCTACCGAACCTTCATGTACTGACATCCGTTTAGCATAAATCCATCACCCGGGTAAACTCCATAAACAAAAAATCCTCCATCATATCCTAAATCATGTCATGTCATGTACATATCCCAACTCCGGACAGGCCTTCTTATCTACCAAACTTCCTAATCTCCACCCACCTCAACCCGCAATATGAAATTGCCGAAAAGGCAAAGGCTAGCTCAAATCCTACATCTCCTCCATGGTCCGCACCGCAGAGCTTTCCAATAGGTCCTGTGAACCACACCTGTGCCATCCCTAGCACAGCGCCCATAATCCCAAAGAGAAAAGCTACCATTGCCGCGATTCCCGGGGGAAGTCGACTCGCATCCATGTAATTCTCGGGTCTATATCCCTCGAATCCTCTCTTGAAGAATACATGTTCAGAGAGTGAGATTCCTTCATAGATCGCGAGCCAGTATGCGATTACGAGCATGAAGTTCTCCAGCACGGATGCGAAGTTTCCGTAGCCTGGAATGGCTATTGCGCAGTAGATAATCGTTCCGATGAATGTCCACACGAAGCGTGGTACGCGTGCGGTGGTAGAGGAAAGGACTTGCAGGGATAGAGACACGGAATAGATGTTTGGGCAATTATTTGCTATGATAGAGAGAGCGAGGACAACAATGCAGAATTGTCCGAATCTGCCAAGAGGAGGGACGAGAACTGAGGAGAGCAGACCTCCGATTCCGGAGCTGGTGTAGTTGGTCATGAATACGTTGTCTCCACCGTTAGCAGACATAGCTGTAGCAACAGCCGCGCCTAGCATTTCGGTAAACAGGAGAGGAAATATCAAACCAGCGAAGGTCCAAAGGAATATGGATTTTCGACTGCGATCAACAGGTTGATATACTGTGTAATCTGCTGCATAACTGGTCCAGCCCGTGGCAAAACCGAAGATACTTGCAGCGAAGGAGAGACATGCTCCTGCTTCGGATTTTCCCACGCCGATGGGGATATTCGAAAATCGGCCACTGTGGGCAAATTCTCCAAATACGATGAGGAATATTATGAGGCACGGGATCCATGAGTAGCGTTCGTAGGTATGTACGATTTTGTAGCCGAATAGCGTAACAATGCAGGTCGCGGTAGCGATAACTATTACGCCGGCCCAACCTGGCATGCTAGAGTTAACGGCGTTGAAGAGTTGGGCGCCTACTATTACGTTGACAGAAGACCAGCCGGTACACGCAAGAACGTTGAAGATTGCAACTAGAGATATATTAGTATGATTCTTAACAAAACTCGAGGTTGACAGTAAGAAAGGGGTGCAAACTCACTAATCTTCACCCCATACCATCCAAAATAAAATCTACTCAACACCATCTGTCTCAAGCCAAACCTCGGACCAAACATAGAAAAGAAACACACCGGCATGACCCCCACCAAATTCACAAACAGAATAATCAAAATCGTATCCACAAACCCCAGATGAAAGACAGGGTAACTTAAAGCCCCAAGCGCAAAGGAGGAAACTACCAAGTTGGCTGATAGCCATAGCGTGCCAATCTGGCTCATACCGGCAGTACTGCGCTCATCGCTGGGAACTCGTTCGATGCCGCGGGATTCGACGCCGAATCGGCTCGTATAGCGATGAGCTTTGGCGTACCAGGTACTGCCTTCTTGGAGGGAGGAGGTGTGGATGGCGATTTCTTTGGGGGTGAAAGGGAGGTCTTGGTCGGAGGAGGTGGTGGTTCGGCCTTGGGCGATTTCGGGGTCGTAGCCCCTTTCTTTGGTAAAGGACATATTTGAGGAAGTTGAAGACTTATGTTGTTATTGCTGTTATTTGCAAGTTTTGAGAAGAAGGTACGAGCAAGCCTCTCTTTGCTTTTGCTTCTTGATAGAGGTAGTGGAAGTTTTGTCGAAGTTGGCAAAATCGGTATCAGAAACAGAATAAGAAGTGTTTCCAACTTCAAAGGCTCAACCTTATGGTTCGATCTGTACTGTAGGCTGATCTTAGGAGGCCGGCTAGTTATGGCATCCAGTTTCTTTGAAGATCTCCGTGGAGGTGAATAATTAGACTTCAATACAGCCGTAATTTCTCTCCAGGAGTCCGTCCAATGTGATTTATTCGGGTTAACTGTATAATTCCGGCGGATGAACAACCCAAAGTATTTATAACTCCAGACTTCTTCATTCACAAACCATCTAAGTCCTGGAATGAGGTTGTGATTCACAAGAACACTAGATTTGACAGCTCTTTATATAGAATGGAGAGGAAACTATGATGCATGAAGTGTGATACCAAGGCCGACCTGCGGATACCGAATACCACTGATTCTCTGCCGGGAGGTTTCAGATAGAAGCTCAGAATGAGTGATTGCCAAATATTGCGCGTGTGGAAGATCTCTTATAGCAAACAAAATCAATCTCCCGAAGAAACGTAGGTAGCGCCGGAGATTTGGGCAGGAATACGAGATAACTGAGAAAGGGAAAACTAAGAATGAATAGAGAAGTATGCTAAGTATTGTAGATATTACCAGAATAAGAAGAATACAGTTCGCAAAATCCGGAAATCAACGTCGTACTTAAAGTACAAGATGACATTGTCACGTTAGCATGCCAGCAATGGTGATAAACGATAAAAGTACTGATTACTGCAAAGTGTATGCAGTAACACGGTGAGAACAATAGTAGAAAATGGCACTTCATGGATTCTGCATTGCGGTGTGCATATCGGGTTATACGACAGCTTTGTCGGTGGCATTTTGGTAGGGGAAAAATATATTGGAAAGGGGATCTTTGGGCCCATGTAGTATATGATTTGATAGTTTGTACCCCCAATCACTTCCCTGCGCCACGGTGCTTGATGAAAGCCACCCATCGGGGATGAACAATCATGGAAGATGCGAGGTTTGGGTTTGTCTTACGAATATTGCTGCTCTCGGAATCTGTCCTCAAAGCTGCAGAAATGTGTAGGGAAATATGAGCTGAAAATGCATGGTGAGTGAATGCAATTGAGTCGTTGGATAGGAAGGCAATCATCCCGGGGACTATGCGAGAAGTTCAAAAACATGAGCTTGGAGAGGAGAGTACCGAAAAGCTTTCACCGGTACTTGTGACAAGGACCAGGTACTTGCCTATCTTCCCCAGATAGACCCCTTCTCACATGTGCCTATCGCTGGCTACAATTTGATAGATCAATTGACAATTGATATATTCTAGTGTGCGAGCGGAAAGGATAACCGGTCGGAAATGTCCGGATGAACTAAATGAGTTAGGAGTTCGGCGTTTGCTTATCATGTGCAACGTCCAAGGTGAACTTGCTTCTTTCTTTTGACAGCTAGAGACAAGCGAAAAGTGAGGACTGGCGTTTAAGTACATTGGCTTGATTCGCCGAAAGCTGTATGTTTCAGCTAATTTTATCCACAATTCTGTGACATTTGCTTCAAGCCCCTTTCTTCCTTCACCTAGATTGAGATTTCTTTGTAAACCACGAAGTACACAAAATATAATCACAGCATCGCTTCTCAAGATTCAATTCTCCGACTCTCATCTCCATTTCCATCCCGCCTCTCACAACTGGGTATGTCTGCACCTATCCGGGCGGTTTTAGTACCCTTGGAACCTGCATATTTCCGTGACAGCACATCCACCAAACTATCACACGAGTATCTCACGTGCATTTGAGGCCTTTTCATTTCAGTAGAGGGGTACTGCGCCTTTCCGAGTTTGTAGATCCGGGTCGGTAGCATGGTATGCATGTCTCATCTGATGTATTTACGATGCGAATTCTTGGCAAGATAGCCGATCTGGGACTATGCTTTTGAAGGAAATTTTGGGAAACACTCAAATGAATTAAATGTTATGCAATACCCTTAGTACCATCTGACCTACGGAAGGTAGCTCGGATATTCAAAAGGCAATGCAACGTTTCAATCAACGTTTATTTCGGATGCGTTTCATGATTTGCCTATCAAGTGAGTACAAAAGGGTGAGTAGAGCACGTGTTTCTGCAGTGCATATATGTCAATGTCAAATGCATTTATATGTCAATTTATTCCTTGAAACGGCATGCATTGTAGCGGTCAAGAAGAAAGAAAGATGTTTCAAGGTTGATGGCTTGCATGGATCGCGAATCGAGGTAGCGTATTCTGCAGCTAGAGAACTGCCCTTGTAATGGCTGATGTACCAAGACAAATGAGGCTGAAAAGCCAATACTTCGCGAAGTACTCATTGTTCGGGTCGAAAGTGTAGTCTCGTCTCCTTGTTTAAGGTGCCATAAGTCCGTACCTTGACTCGTCATCATTCAGTCAATAGTCATGTATCACCCCTCTTTTCACGTCAGTCTCTTTCACTGGAACCTTGCCTGTAACTATTCTCCAAAATAAAGCTTGTACCTCGAGAATTGTCACTTCAGCATCCACTGCATATTTCAAATGGCTACAGCCAAGTCCTACTCTTAGTTGCCGCTGTCCCGGTCGGTCCATCTAGTAGACTAAGATCAGAGTTTCCACGTTTTGTAAAAGATGAGCTTAACTTAAGCGATGTCATCTATTGAGTCCAATCGCCTCCTTCCGGCGGAAAATCTTTTGCGGCTTGACTAGAAAGTAGATGAGGACTTTGACCGGCCGTATCTGGAAACTCGGATATGGCCGGATTTCTGCGTCTTGTGTAGAGAGTGTTCCCAACAAACAAGTAATATTCTTCGATATCACACCGGGCAAGAGAGTCAGCTGTGTGCTGACACCAGGAAATCAGCAATTGCCTATCAAGGATCGGAAGAAAATGGAAATTGGAGAGCATGCACTACATAAAACTTCAAAGCTGAACATCTAGAAGTGCGATATGAAGTTCAGCGGTCTCACGCCTGGAATTTTTATGAACGGGATGCGAAAGTGGTCATTGTGCATCTAGAAGCATTATACTTGACGATCCCAATGAATCGTAACTTTGGTTCGATATATTCATGTAGCTGCAAAGAGACTTTGTTGGTAGGTCTCCAGGAAAGAAAGATTTATCATTCTTTGATGCTACAATGGTAGGTTTTTGACGATAGAAACTATGGAAGACCATGGATGTGATCGCAATGACAATGATTGCGCATTATGATGTATTTCTCTCGCCATCCGGGTTAAAAGTGCCATTGTTGAAAGATGGCGTTGGGTGTTCTTAAACGAATTGATGTACGAATGTAAGTTTGGCGGTTATGTCTCGAGGAGGTTTGCATTCTTTATCCGTTGTACTCACGTAGTTGGAATACAACTTGACGTAAATATTCCCCATATAAATCATCTTCAATATGATAAATGTAGAAAGATTTAACCTTCTGCTCACAAAGCTTGTTGACCATAAGCTTAGGCGATTCATTGTTCTAAAAATTCCCAGGTAATGAGAAATGCAGGAGGATATTGTTTAGAATCTCTCTAGAGAAAGGATAGATATTTTGGTACCAATAGTTTGGCGACAAATCATTAGCCACTGCTGCTACCTTTGTTGTAGTGATGTTGGAACTGATGGCTATCAACAAGTTCTTCAGGGCTGTTGCGGAGGAGAGGCAGGGAGGATACTCAGCTAAAGAAATCGTCCGTTTGAACTTGATTGTATGTGATGATTCAGTTCTCGACCCTCAGGCTGGCCTACGTGAGTTTTGTCTGCAGGTGACACCATTCATTCATTCCATTTGCTGTCCGCTAAGGAAAGCTAAGGGTATCAACGTTTTGATTGAAAAGGTGGAAAAGATGAAGGAAATTTGTGTACTCATGGCTCGACAGCTAGTCGAATTATATGAGGTAGAATGCGATGTCGTGGTATAGCAAGAATATCCGTATTATCTAGTTTCAAATATGATGCGGTTCGAAATTACATTGGAAATGATACTAACTACCTAATTGATATACTCATACTCGAACAGTTGTTGTAGGAGTTTGATAGTGGGGCGCTGATCTAGACTCTGGAACGGCCTGTGCGTGTTAAGAGGGCTGATCTGATAAGGTTAAAGATCTGAGCTAAGATCCAAGATCTCGTGCTTGGGGTAATTGTAATCTTAAAGCCGCTTTCGCTTCTCTTTTGAATATTTTCTTTCCCCATCTTCTTTTTACCTCTCTTGCTCCTTTCAAGTATTTATCAGTGTGTCCAGACAATACCATGTATTTCTATTTATCAAGTACGCTGAAGCTTTAAAGATCACAATATCAAGTATCTATTCAGATCCTTTAAATATCCGACCAAGGATCAGAAGTTATCTATCTACCTACTCATATAGCGTCCGTGTTTTCTCCGACATGACTCGAAAATGCGCTTCCCTTTAGCTACAACTTGTCAATTAGTTGTAGGCAGCAAGTAGCCCCTAGAGCCTTCTTTCCCGTGTTACATTGTTTCTCCCAAGTTTGAAACGATGGCCGCGATAATCGATCATTCTTCGTTACAGATTGCCTTTCCCTTCTGCTCCAAAGAAGCCTACGGAGATTTTTGAAACACGACATTGAGTACACGCCCACAAAAACTTACCGCTTGAACCTGTCCAGATAGTTTATTCGAATATTAGTAAATCCGATCTCAACATTTACACACCTTGTCGCCCGCTGAATCATCTGTAAACCTCAGATGGGACAGGACGACCTGCAAAAACTCTATCGCATGATCCCCAAAAGATCAGAGGATTTAGTATTACCCTAATATGAAGGCATTATCTACCAGGTACTTCCCTACATCAATACAAATTATATGGTCTGAACATCGAGGTACCCGTACTCCAGTGTGGTGATGGTGAGGTGTTACAAGAGGTCAGCGGTTATTCCACCCATTCGAAGTGAGGCCACTGGTGGGCATCGTCGATGAATACTTTTACGCCTGGACAGTTATTCCACAATCTCTTGGTTATGCGCCTATTAAAGCCACCTGGATTGTCCTAATACCTCAAATCTCCGACCCTCCAGACTACGAATGTGCCACAGATGATTTAAAGTATAATGATCGGTTGGCGATTGAAGCAAGCCTTACGGTTTCCATCCAAACCTTGCAGGACTCTCATGATTGGTTGTGGTTATTAAGGGCCAAAAGAACTTTGACCATCAACCAAGCATTTCACCATGTCCGTTCTTTTCTCTCCCGAATACCCCTTGCATGATGACCCCGCAAAAACGCATCCCTGAACAACATTATCAAAAAAATGTTTCCAACATCAGAATATTCATACTTGGAGTCGATGATAGGACCTCGGTCGTTCTTTCCTTACAAACTTTGCTCCACTTTGAGGGTACTTGGAGGTTCTAGTTACTATCGAAATTATCGAGCTTTCCCGTGTGCCAATTGTTTAGTTTCGATTCTGTCCATTCATCACTCACAAGAAACAGTCCTGAGAAAAAACTTGCTCTCTAATCATTGTCCACTCCTTCCAGTTGCATCAGTCAGTGAGTGGGTTGTAATACTTTCTTTGCATTTTCCTTTGGTCTCTGCAAGTACAAAGCAAAAGAATATGCCAAGGATTTTCACCTTTCAATTCTCATTGATGTCTACTTTGCTTTGCTTTGTTCCATTATTCCTCCTCAAGTCGAAAAAATTCACTCGAATCCGCTCGGGAGTTACTCCATTGTTCTATTGTCCTCTGTCACAATAAGCTTTGTCGATTCATACAATGACCTTTGTCTAGTCACAACAGCCATTATTACTCCAAGTTATTTATTGTTCATCTTTTGTTCAGTCAGTCATACTAAACGATGTTCACGCTGGTCGGGAATCATCTATAAAGTTCTATACAATAACCTTTTTAAATTTTTCTTCTTAAATCAGCCAACAATTACTTATTACAATATCACACGTTTCCAAAGCAAACAAACATTCATAAAGCATTCGATCAAAAATCGCACAGCTCGAACCCTGAAGTGCATATCAAACACAACTTTCCAGGCAAAAAAACATCGTGTCGATTAGTCAAACACGAACATTTCAAGAACATTATTTTCAATATGAAATCCACAGTTTCAGTCAGCATCGCAGCTCTTGCGTTGCTTTTTCAAACAACCACCGCTCACACTTGGGCAGACGAACTTAGGGTCATCGCACGAAATGGAACTATGACTACAAAGGGTTACCCACGTGCTTACGTTCCACGATTGGCCGGATACAATCCCGACGACAACCTCTACAAACTCTTGAACGATGTTTCCAGTGATACTCCAATCTGTGGTCCAAAACAGACACCAGGAGCAAAATCTGTCGACTCAGCGTACCAAGCTTTGAGCGCCGCTCCAGGAGACTTTGTCGCCGTCAGATACCAAGAGAATGGGCATGTTACTGAACCTACCCAAGCAGACACTCCCACACAAGGCAAGGGATTCGGTAGTGGGCTCGTATATGTATACGGCACGGCAGACAGTAAAGCAACTGACAAGATCAGCGCCATTCACAACGTATGGAACAAGGATGGAACTGGTGGAGACAAGCGAGGAAAGCTTCTTGCTGTTCAGTACTACGATGATATGGCATGCTTTCTCGCTGGCAATACCAACGGCCATCTCTTCGTGGACACTCCTACTGGCAAAAAAACTCTCGCAGAAGTGAGACAAGAAGCTTATCCTTTTACACCGACGGATCCCATGGGCGCAAATCTCTGGTGCCAAACGGACTTTCAGATCCCGAAAGAAGCACAAGCAAATAAGGACTATAGCATCTACTGGGTTTGGGACTGGCCTACCATGGACAAAACCACTGGCCAACGCGTTGTCAATGAAACATACACTTCTTGCGCCGACATCGCCATTACCGGCCCTGCCAATACTGAGGAAGTCGCATATGTCGCACCTCAAGATCTCAATAACGCCGCGCAATGGAGTCAGATGGTCAATCATTTTGTCGTCGATCCTACCGCTGCTCAAAAGCCATTCTCTCTTCGCGTAACCACTGATCTCTGGGCTAAACCAACAGCCATTGCTGGAGCTCGAACAACAGCCCATGTGCAACCGACCACCGCATCCTCCGTCCCTCAGCAACAGTCCTCCACTACGCAGGAAGTAGCAACGGCTACAGCCGTTTCTACACAACAAAGCATCACCACTGTCACCGTTTATATCACGCAGACCTCAGGCGTTGCAAAACCAACCGGTGTCGCAACTGCTGCGCAAGCAGGCGTAGGAGCTCCTTCTGGCTTTGCGTCAGCAAGCGGCTCTCTCCCTTCTGTTTCACCTTTCATGAAGCGCTCGATCCAGATTCGAGGACGCGCAGTGAACTAAGTTCAACTACAAGCACGAGAATCGTCGGCAGAGCTGGACGATACAGATAAATAGATTAGATACCCCTTTCGTTTTACGCAACTCAACAACACAACACAACAGAATTCTTAGATAGATAAGATACCCTCGGAGTTCAGTTTTATATCACTACGGAGCTTGCAGGCGTTTTTTCTTTTCACATTCTTTCGGTTTAACCTTATAGAATACACATTTTTTCCTTTGTTACTTTTACTTCTTTTTATGACGACTTTTTTCTTTTATGATGATATGATGGATATGGAATTGCATATGGATGCGATATTTGGTACATGGAACGACTGGAATGGTCATGAATTGATATGAATATGGATGATACCCACTGGGCTTGCCTGCCTTTTTACTACATACGTTTTTGTTTTTTCTCCTTTGGAGATTGGTGTTTAGGTGTTTAGGTGCTTAGGAGTTTAGGTTCTTAGATATCATATCGCAAGATTTGCTTGTAACGAGACAGAATTATATGGAATCAAATCAATACTTTGATATTACTCTTTTTCTTTTGGAAATAATATTGTTAAATGTGACTTGGTTTTTATTGTGAATGGTGGTTTTATAGGTAGGTGATTAAGTTATTATACAATTATGAAATATGTATAAAGGAAAATACTTAGTTTATTTAATTTATACTGATTATATCATCGTGAAGCTACATAGGCCATAGATATCTGCAGAGCTACAGAATCGTAGAACTTATCATATATTTATATGGAGAGGAGATACTTATAGTTAGTGTGTTAATTGTACGTGAGGTGTGAGAGGCGTGAGAGGTGTGATTAGAGGTATGTGAGAACAGAGAGGAGGAATGTGAGATGAGAAAAAAGAAGATAGGAATTCATGATTTAATCTTTAATATCTCAATACCTCACTATCATATTCTTGAATCTGTATGCACAGCCTACCCCTTAGAAGTAATTTCTCTGTCCTGCTTCATCATATACCTGCCCCTTCAGAGCAGCCTTACTTCCATCCATTCGTGCATTCCCATCCTCACTCATTCCCTCCACCATATACTAAATCCATCTGTCCCAAGCGCCAAATGCCAATTTTACATTTCTCCACAGAGAGAAATGACAACTGGTAAATTAGGTGCATCCTTTGGGTTAGTGCGCGTATTTTCCATCTTGCGAACGACATCCATTCCATCGACGACTTTGCCAAAGACGACGTGTTTATTGTCGAGGAAGGGTGTTGGTACTGTAGTTATGAAGACTATATTGCAATTAGTGATTTGGCCGTTGCTGTGAGGATAGAGTGGGGAAAAGAGAGATTAAATGAAGTTGTGTTGCAAAAGTGTTTGAGAAATCGGGTGTTTACATTGAGAGCCGTTGGTATTTGGACCGGCATTCTGTATGATGGTTAGTTTCACGTTCAGGGAAGGTCAACCGCAAAAATGAGCGTGAGAACATACAGCCATTGACAAGAGTCCCGGTTCTGTGTGCTTTATGGTAAAATTCTCATCGTCGAATTTACTCAATCCGTAAATACAAGTAGAACCAGTGCCATCCCCATTCAAAAAGTCACCACCCTGGCACATGAAATCCTTAATCTACGTATAATGTCAGAAGTAGGTTAAGAAAAGAGAGGAGTACAGTGAGAAACATACAATTCGATGGAATTTACTGCCTTTGTATCCTTGTGGTCTACCGAGATGGTTCTTGGTTTCTCCAGTACAGAATTGACGGAAATTCTCGGCCGTCTTGGGAACTACATCGGCAAAGAGCTCGAATTGGATACGACCGAGTGGCTCACCTGGATAGTGTTAGAGATTGACTCGATACCTCTTGAAGACAACACGTGATGAACTTCCAACAGACACTACCTGCTCGGAAACTTAAAAGTCAAGGGGAGTAAATCACGTGTGACGAATAACAAAGAGATCAACACGATATGTAGTGGAACGACCCGAAACTATCGGAATGCTAACTTTAGACGCCGCCGTTTCCGTGTTTAATAAGTTCCCGAAATAGGGATTTTCTGAACGGGTGATGCCGTGTACAATGACTGACCTCCAATTGTGATATCAAAGAAGACCCTATTCACGTATATTTGTCAGTGAAATGGAGACCTTCCTCAAATGATGAAGCTTGCATAGACATTACTGACAAGGGATTGCCCGAGGCGGGTAACTGAGTTGGAGGCATGTTCTAAGATGATGGTATTGCCGAAAGTGGAAATCTTCTATCACTTTCAAGGTTCCAAGGTGGCTACTGCAAGCGTACCGTTTTTCCGAATCGTATGAAAATGGGCTGAATATGGGGGTCTATGATAGATCTAGAGTCCGGTGGGTGAATAAGTCGGTTGAATCTGTATGATCAATGGGGAGACGAAGATTTTCTGGTCGAATCAAAAGTTTAGAGAATGATTTAGATGATGATGCGAGGTCCGTTAGATCAGTTAGATCAGTTAGGTCATTTAGTCATTTAGTAATTAGGTCTTCGTTGTCTGGTGGGGTTATTTGAGAAAGGCCTTTCTTTTCGAATTTAGCGTCATTTGCTTCCCGTACATGCAGAATTGTACAAGGATTTTTCGAGGGGAAATATAGAAAGCTTGATTTCTCATCAAATATTCACCAATACTACAGCTACTGCTTGTACTCCGTAAGACCCAGATTAAAACAGATTAAAACCAAAATTAACCTGGTACGGCTGAAGATACCCGTGGACGGTGCAGATTTGGGGTGTGCTGAAGGGGAGGTAAGGTCAGATCTTACATAGGGGGTTCTTTATGGCCGTCATGTATCATCATTGATGATCTAACACTAGATGTCTGCCAAATGCTTATTGCTCCTATATTTATGCGATAGGTTAAGGTCTCATTAAATCCGATACCTCGCCACCAAGTTTTATCAGGTAGGAACTCTGACATGTATCCAGATGGATCAGTCATTGGCTGCATGGACGAGTCGCCATACGGTACACGAGACGAGATATGTGAAGAGTGGAAGAGAACCGAGATGGAGAAGGGAATCATGCCCAGTCCTGGTGGTCGCATATTCTTCGGAAGGAAAGGAAAATGATCATTCAAAGTATCAAAATGATCATTCGTAGTGTCAATTCGGTTTACCTTATAATAATTGGCAAGAGAATTAATACGAGTACCCTCGAAGCTGTTGATAATGGAATGTCACCTAACCTCTTTGAGATCCTCCAGAAGTTGTATGCATACTACTGTTACTGTAATGATCTCATTTGCTTACCCTTTCGAATTCCAAAACCCTTCATATCCAAGGAAGGCAGGCACGTCTCAAACATTAGACGTTTTCGGAAAATCCATAGTGCGATCGTTTATTACTCATGAGAATATTCGGGACTGAGAACATCAAACCCCCAAAGTTCGAGGACCAAAAAGAATATTAGTAATTCGGATGAATGTATGGGTGGAATAGATGGATGGATGGATGCATCTTTGAGTAACTAGGAGAATTCCGTTTTGTATATCGATGTCTATCTACAGTAGTGAGTAGTGTCTAGATTTCATGTGGCTTGAGGTTACCATTCGGGACTACTTTTCTCAATAGCAGCAATTTATCACGGAAGGGCCCTTTTCCGTAACCTCTAACCGTTACCAACCAAATCAATCTTCCAGGACCCGACTCTTCTTTTATTTGGTGATGTTTGTGCTACATAAGATGGATTCTAAATACTCAGTACCTTATCCTTATTCATACGAGGAAAGGGGAAAGAGAAGAAAAGAAGCAAGACGTTGTACCACGGCTACAACCATCGGAAATATCCAGAGATACATATCATACCTACCATCTACCTACCTACACATACCATACATAATACATACATGATTAGTAAAACTCACTGCCGAACCGCATTGATCTTTATGTGGTGCTAATACTTGAAACCCTCAATCTCTCTTTATCGCCGCATTTTGCCATCGATCCATTCCCTTTTACCTGCTTCTTTGTTCTTGACTTTCTAACATCGGCAAAGTGCGCAGTTCTAGAGTGAGGCTAACTTTTATTTTCCTATGGATTTCTTCAACTCTATTGCTTACTTACCAGACTCAATCTTCTTTGTGCTCACTCCTCACCACCAATAATATATTCCTGCTCTTCCTGGTCTTCTTGGTCTTGTCTCTTTTGATCCACAATTCCTCCGCAAAAAGTAATCCGAAAACCTGCATGAGCAACCAAAAAAGGTCATCAAATCATCATTTGTTATCATCGCACATCAATCACCATCCATCACATCACATCAATTCATCCTCCTCAATACCCACGACCTCACACCACCCATCACATCACCCACTCAATTCCCGTCAAAACAAAGAACACCGCGCACCTTTACTATTGTTTAAATTATTGACTCGATTTGATCTGATCTCTAGACTTGTAGCCCTTAGCCTCTGGCCTTTAGCTTTGTGGCTTTGACTTCCTTATCAATCTTTTTCCAGAAAACAAAAGTCTCTCAAAGCCTTTTTTTCTGTTCTTTCTAACCTACTTGATTTCTCAAATTCTCGAGCAAGGTAGGAAAAAAAAAATGTTTATACTTCCAAGATCCATTTTAATAACTTGCTGACCCCATCTTTTCCACTCCAGCCTCCGCCCTGTTATTGTTACTAGTGACTAGGTTATTTATCCGCTAAGACAGCCTCTTGATTTCATCCATTCCCCCATTACTTGCACATTACATTATTGTCGCACTCGCACTCGCCCTCGCACCCGCCGCACCCACTTCCGCACCCGTGAATTGGTTCACTTTCTTTCACTCCCGCTTCAGCTCTAGTATTTCTCTCTCTTATATTGAATTCTTGAACCTTGGATCCTCTGTTCATATGCCAATCACTGCGTTACAAATGTTCTTGGGAAACGGATTTCGTTAATCATTCACGATAATAAGTGGCGATCAATAATCTCACTCGACGCTGATCTACCTTGCGGCTCAACCTTAGCAATTGTGTTTTAAGACAACTTGAATAAAGATGGCGGTGGTCAACGGAATAGTAGAAGTCTTGAAGGTTGTTGGGAGGCAGGCTACCATCGATCCGTCATCAACAGCAGCGACTTCGTCCTCAATGTCTACAGCAACCCCCACTCCATCTCCATCTCCAACATCAACCTCCAACAGTAATAGCCCGACTAGTTCACCACTTTTGTTCTTTGTTGCGCTAGGATTTGGTGTTGTGTTCACGAATCTATGGTGAGTATCTTGAGGATGTTGACTGGTCTGTCTGTCACTAACCTCCACAAAGGATCATTGTTGGTGTCAAGTACTGTTTTCGATATAATGCTAGGAACCGCGCTCTGCGGGCTGGGGAGGCTGACCCAATTAATCTCGAGAATATGCCGGTTCGGCCTCACCGGAGACGACGAGAAAAGAAACTCATGAGTATGGACGAAGTGAACGAACGATTCCCCTTGATAAAATACAAGAACTGGGTGGCCAACCGAGCCAGCGAGGGGCTACCGACTAGTGGGGGTGTCACGGCACCGCCTAGTCGAGCTGTGAGCGTGCTAGAAGTTGAGGGTGTCGAACCATCTTCACCCGTGGGGTCGAAGCATTCTGTCAACACCAGACCAGCCACAGCTACTTCGAACAAAGAAGAGGGAATGGCATCATCACCAACACACACTATCGAAGGTGGGCATGACGACCGAAAGAGTATGGATGCGGTAATTTCGGAAAAAGCAGCTGCTTCAAAGACGGAGGAGCATAAGGAAGAGCTACATCATTTGGAAGAAGTTCCAACCCGAGCCAGCACCGTTGATAACAAGAATCCTGCAACAGTAGAAGAAGAAGTTGAAGATGACGATGATGATGATGATCACATTCATACCGCTGTGCCTCCGGAGCTCCTTAACAATCCTGGCGATTCATGCGCGATCTGCATTGATACGCTAGAGGAGGACGATGACGTTCGTGGTTTGACTTGCGGTCATGCTTTCCATGCCGGATGCTTGGATCCATGGCTCACTAGTCGTCGTGCTTGTTGTCCACTTTGCAAAGCCGATTACTTTACACCGAAGCCCCGACCTGAGGGCGAGCAAGAGCCTGAGCGACAGTCACGTAGAGCGAATGCCTCGAGAGCAAATATGCCCCAGCAGCCGCAATCAGCATGGACTGGTATTCGGGGTATGCCAGGAAGATTCGGGGCATCGGCTAGATCGAATGTGGATACCCAAAATCGTGATGAAAGGCAAGCGAGGCGGGCGCGCCAAGCTCAAGGTGATGGACCAATGAATGTAGCAGGTGGCGCGGGTGCGCCTGAAGTCAACACTGCCCCAGCAGCAAGTAGATGGAGGCCAAGAATACCGGCAGCTTTCACAGGAATTCGCATGCCTGGTAGTAATAGAGCCACAGGAAATGCTTCGGGTCAACCGAATAACTCCGAGCCATCACCTTCTCAACTGGAGGCAGGTCACCGTTTTGCCTAGGGATAAGTGTGGTACCGCTTGAGTCGTTGAGAAGTACATGGAAATTTCAGGCGTAACACAGTGACGTCGTTTGCAGTATTACAATGAGAATTGTATTGGGTTGGCTAATCACGATCAACCATTCACTATGCTGCCCTTAATTCAAGGGCTGCGAACTTCACGGGAGCAGCTGCAGGTCGCCTCCACTCTACTGACTCCGGTCACCGCCGTCGATCGAATTTACACCTGTCTCAATTCAGGAAATGATCTTACCACATCCCCCTTCTCGACCATCTTCATATCTAACCGCAATACATCATATCACATACGCATTGTACATAGATTCTTGCTCGATGATCTCAAGCATTTGAGCTGTTCTCCAGATTTCTTAGTTCATCACAGGTCTTGCGATCTTGTGCTCCTTCAGCGAGGGTTTTTTATTATTTTCTTTTATCAACATATTTTTTGATCCGTCTCTGGTTTCGGGCCTGGCATGGCTCTACTTGGCTCCGGGGGCGGCCATATGAATGGGATGAATGAATGCATGGGAATCATTGGTGGGAAAGGACGACCGGCCGGCAATGGTTTATAGGAAGGCAAACGAGGTCGATTCAGGCTTCGGGGTTTCATAGGGGTGATGAATGAATGGCTACGTCGGTCGGATAAATATTGATACGGACGATCTCACTTTTATCTAATCGCATGGAATGGATGGATGTATATGAATGATAGATGACGGGTAGGAGGCAGGGGGTGAGGATATGGACCGGTCGACGCTTGCAAATAAATAGGTTGGCTGGCACATAGCAGTGCACCTACAGTCTGCAGATGATCCATCCGATTTTACATACTATAGCGCATATCGAAGGGATGAATATTACATGTTATATACCTACATACCTACCTACCTACATATCATTGTATTTGTATTTGAAAAGATTACTGACCTACTTACCACTTTGAATAATTGGGCGTGAGAGACCTTTTGAGCAAAGGCGCTAATTAAGTAGGAGTGTCCATGTGCTATCTATCTTTCTCTTCGAATTTATGATATACTCTTACTATTTCATATAATCTAGACCAGAAAGATGCATAGGCAATAGAATAAATTGTGAAGTATTAAGTGATTGACTACCTATGTGAGTTAAGTAAATAAATACCTTGCTAGCAAAGCAATGCAATGCATTTCATAAAAATGACAATGGCATACGCTGAAGAACTCCCTCCACGGAATTTTAACATTACGTCCTATCCCCATCCTATCCATCCGCTTTTGCATGCATCCTCTTTCTCATGGTATATTTCATCTCATTTCATTTCATCTCTTCTCAGTGATCATATCATATCATATCAATTAATCATTTCCCATCCACGCCCCAAAGGAAATCAAACTCAATCATCCAGACAAGCCGAGGTAATGATTAATTATTAGACCTATGGGTCCTCAATAACTTTCCATCATGTTTTATCTTCAATCATCTTCCAACACGGATGACTCCTGCAGCGATAAGCTGCTGAATCTTAGATCGGATCTGGGGATTCTTCATGTGTTCTTGAAGAGCGGCGGGGTCGTTTTGAGCTTGTTGGAGAATGCTTTGCATGACTGGATCACCCATGATTCTTTGAATCTGTAATACTGTTAGTAACGATTTTCCCCCAAAAATATCGGAGTTTAACTCACCTCTGGGTCTCTTGATAGTCTCTCCTTAGTCTGCTCCTCGGTCTCATTTTCTCGGGCACTGTACATAGCAGTAACAGCCTTCTGTTGCTGTTGCTCAATCTCTCTAGCATTGGCCTTTGTAACATCGGCCTCGGTGGCTTCGTTACATGCATCAAGACATTTAGAGTAGTCTCTCATGCCAAAGTATGCTTGCGCTTTTCGGATGTATGCTCTCACGAACTTGGAATCTTTAGAGATTGCCTTGTCACAATCTTCCAAAGCAGAAGGGAACTCAAGAAGCTTAATGAAAGAAGCTGCACGGTTGCTGTAGCCTCTTGGATCCTCTGGAGCACGCTTGATCATCTCACTGTAAGCCTCAACTGCTCCAGGCCAATCTGACTCCTTGAACTTTTGATTTCCGAGTTCACGGGCCTCTTCAGCCTTTACCGGGTCGATGTAAGCCTTTTTGGCGCTTTCGATCTTGTTCTTCTCGGCAGCACGGAGCTTGTTGACCACGTCGGGGGTACGATGTTCAGTCAGTGATTTGTTGTAATTTTCAATGGCTTTCGGTAAATCTCCCATCTTCTCATATGCAGTTCCAATACGAGCGTATGATTTAGCGATCATCTTAAAATCGGCGTAAATTTCTCGTCCCTCCTCAACGGCTTTCTCACATGCCTTGATAGCCTCTTCATACTCTCCCTTCTCGAAATGTGCGGCACCAAGATTGTTAAGATAGGTAATGTCCTTGTATAGTTCCCAAGCCTTGGAGTAATGCGCAATCGCCTCATCAAAGTTCTTCTTCTTGTACTGCTCAGTACCAAGTCTCTTCTCCTCATCGGCCTCAGCTTTTGCCTGCTTTTTTGCCACAGCCTCCTCATCCTCTGGCTCTGGCTCTGGCTCGGCCTTTGCCTTCTCGGCTTGTGGTTCTTGCGCGCTGGGACGCACATCTGGCATTTGAATGTCCTCCTCAGCTTCCGTAGGTGCAGAGGCGCCCTGGGCACCGGGAGCACCACCAAAAGCACCCGAATCAGCGAAAGACATATCCACACCCATCAGAACACCCAAGACTTGAATCATGCGGGGGTCTGAGAAAAGTTCTTGGGTATTGTTTGGGTTTGACTTGATTTGTTGAAGCTTCGCCATGAAGGTTGGGTCTGACAGGAATTTGGCAGTCTTGGGGTTTGCTGCCAGTTTTGCGACAAGTTGTGGATCACTAAACATGTTACCTAATCCCTCTGTTGGATCACCCTTTACACCATCTGTAAACATTTGTTAGCACATGTTCCATACAATCTTGAATTTACAAGAACAAACCTGCTTTAGCCTCCGCATCGATAGACTTTTTAACCTGTGCCAAACCCTTAGTAGCCGCCGCATAATTTGGATCAAGCTTTAAAGCCTCCTCATAAGCATCGTGGGCTCCCAAGAGATCGCCCAAACTTTGCTTAGCGGTACCAACTCTGCCCCATCCCTTGGCCCAGTCAGGCTTGATGCTTGTACACTTCTCAGCATCCTGTAGGGACTTTTCGAAGTCTCGTTTCGAGGCAAACGCAGCCGACCTATTAGAGTAGAGAATGTGGTTTTCTGGTTCGATAGCAATGGCTTCGGTGAATTTTGCACTGTAGGCTAATTAGTAAATGCTCCGTAAATACATTGTAGCCAGAAAAGGCGCAGTGCAACGACACCAAAAAGTAAATCCTCGAGGTTCCAGAGCTCAGAGAAACAAACAGAAAACTTACACAGCCTCGTCGAAGTTCTTCTCTGCAATGGCTTTATTGCCAGCAGCTTTCAATGCGTCCGCCATTATGTGTGAAAGGTATGTGAAAAGTTAAAACTCCAGGAACTTATGATGGGAAAGTAATGCTCAAAGTCAAATATTCAAAATCCAAAGTAGAGTTGGAGGTTGGGCAAGCAACTCTTTATTTTCCCTCCACTTGATTCCAGAGCTTTCGATGCCCGCCTTGGTGGTCCAAGCGTCCATCCATCAAATCACATGAGTGATTAATTATTTTACAAAAGGTAGAGGGCGGGGACAAGGCTCTAAGTATCATCCCTTTTGGTTGTTTGTAACTCGAGTATTCATTTCATTGAGTCTATTATATTTCATATTGAATCTACAAACTTAAACATCCTTCTATTATACAAAATTAAATTCTAACATTATACTTGAATCTTTTGGGAAAATACTTTAGGTAATCTTCGAAAACATCTAGCTGTCGTACTTCTGGAACAAAGCAGATTCTCATCTGATGAATATATATCTATATCTATCTAGGTAAGATTACCTAGGTACCGAGTGTACAATATACTGTAGTACACCAACAACCATTTCTTGACTCCTCCTTACTAATCGATCTCTCAACTTTGATTAATCCAAATCTCATTCCAAATGAATTACAAATATCTTACAATCATACAAGTATCAACATTCATTCTTATTCTTTATTCTCATTATCTCTTTCCTTTCTTAATCACTATCCATTCTTTCTCATACCATCTCAATACTTCGTTTTAATTTTGCCAATTGGCCCTTCTCCAAAATGAGTAAGTAGTTAATCAGAACTTCCTTCTCCCGTCTTATCTTTCCCTTTCCATTTCCATTCCCATATCCGCCAAATATATACACAAGTATGAATGAACCCCCCCTTTATCCAGATTCGCTTAGGCACTGCATTAATAAGTGTCCATCCCACCTTATTCTTATCCCATCCTTAAAATAAAACTAGTAATTATCTTCTCATTAATGATCCAGCAAATACGTATAGTGCTGCATACAATTCCACCCCCCCGGTTAAAATTAGAAAGTCCAGCGAGCTATCAGGCCGGCAAAAAAATCCCCTTCCCAAAACCATAGCATAAAAAGATATACATCAATAATGCATGCGTGTGTGGTAAAGTAGCGGTGCGCCACCACCTCAGAAACGTGTGTTCCCATTCAATTAATGCAAATCGTCAATTGTGCGCTCGTCCAATGGTGTTTCGTCGTATAACAAGAAAAGGTAGAAACACAAAATTGAGTTGAATGCAAAAGGGTGTAAATTCCAAAGCCAAAACAACAGAATTTGGGAATAGGGCGTGAATAGAAATAACCGTCCGTGGCTATGCAAAAATAAAACAAACAGCAAAAGACCAAATCAACGACGATATTTGGGTACCTGGGTTAAAAAAGATGTCCAAGGACTAAATGAGGTGATTCATCATGAGAAATCATCATCCCCACCACCTTCCCCATCAAGAACATCGACTCGGAGAACCAACTCTTTGGTTTCTCGAGCGATTTCAAACGCGATAGGCGGTAAACTTTGGTTCCAGGCTCTCCATTCTGCATCACCACCCTCATCCCCTCTCACCTCATTTGCGATTTCTCTACCCTCTTCTCCTGCAGCCATGATACGTCTTCTGCATTCAGAAAGCTTCGCCAAGACCGGTTGACTTTGGGAGCGGAGAGCTGGGTTGTTTATCATGGCTTCCTCAGTCGAAGCGACAACTTCGCCGACAACGTTGGCAATTGCGTCGATCTGGGTAGAAATAGCATCTATACCACCTTCTGAACGGATAGACGAGACTAGAGACTGGATGTTCTGGACCAAGAGTGCAGTTTGATCTTCAAGATATATCTGCGAGATAGATTAGCTGATGTTAACTTCAGGGGAACATTTAGTTTAATACCTTTAGATCTTCAATGTCACTATCTTGCGATCGGATACCAAAACCTACACCCATTGGAGCTGGTATGGGGCTTGGAGGATGGCTTGGAGGACCTGGGGGTGTTTGAAGTGCTAGTGGAAGTGGTTTAGCATTTCCAATCATAGGATCAGCGCCATTGGTCATTGGGCTCAAGGGGGTATCCGCAGAATTAGGTTGAGCCGCATTCAGAGAGACCATACCGGAAGTTTGCGGAAGAACAATAGATTCGCGAGGAGAATTGATTGGGCTATACATAGATGAATCGGTGCTAGCACGACCGTTCCGTAGACCAAGGAACGGACCAGGGACGTAGCCGTTTAAGCTCTGCCTCTGTGAGTCCTCGCTTTGTCTTTCATCGGCGCTTAGACTTTGTCGCGGTGCATCCATGCTCTGCCTGGTATTGCCTTGCTGTGGCGGAACATTCTCTTTTTGTGGTTGAACTGCTTCTTGCTGTGGCGGAACGTTCCCTTGCTTTGCTTCACGTGACGTGAAGAAACCGAAAATGCCCCCAGCTTTAGCGGGCTTGGGTTCAGTTGTTGCAGGCTTAGACCCAAAAAAGCCTCCTCCCGTAGAAGATTGAGCTGTTACTGAGGCAGGTACTGTTGCTTGAACTGGAGCCACATTACCATCATCGTTATCTTCTAACTCTCCTGCCGGTGTAGGTTTGATCTTCACCGTCCGGACAAGTTCTACTACTGCGGTAGTTAGATGAGATGCAGCTGCATCGAGCAATGAAACAGGTGACAGCCCCTTAGCGCCAACAAAGTTCTTGGATGCGGTGATTAGATTATTTGCTGTTGCTGAGAGCCTGGACTTAAGCCTGGCCTGCTTTTGGGCTAATTCCTCATTATTTGGCGGTGCTTCATCAATATCTTGAGAGATTTGTCGCACGGTCATAACTACATTTTTCATGGATCCGATGACTCTTTCAGGGTCGCTGGAGCGCGCTGTCTGCAAAAGTTCGTCAATCGACAGCTGAAATTTAGTAACATGGACATCCTTGACAAGGCCGTCCTCCGCCGTAAACCCATTGTCCTTTGCATAATTGGCTGCGTCTTGTATTGGAAGGCCAATAGAAGATGTTTTTAAGCTGCGTAGCTGCGTCTTCGTTTTTGCATATCGGTTCCTCCACTCTTTCACTTCATCTTCTAGCTTGTTGACCATAATTTCGAGTTGTTCCTCCCGGTTGTAAGATGCAGTACTTCGTTCGGACAACACCCTCATTTCGCGAAGAAACTCCTGAGCTTCACCTCTGACTTCCTCGGTAATTTCTTGTTGCTCTCTGAGTTCGGCTTTGAGCTCTTCGTTTTCCCGTTCCAGATCTGCATCGCTAGATCCGCCTTTGCCAGCATCTACAAGAGCAATTTGAAGCTCTTCAATCTGGGACTTTAACTCTCTATCTAAACTAGCCTGTGATTCCCGTACCCGGTCAAGCTCTGATTGCAGAGTATCATTGAGATTTTGTGCATCCGCAAGCTTGTTCTCGAGATCCATCCTCACCTCATCCCAATCCTTCTTGTCCGTATCTACTGCAACATCTCTCTCCCTTTGCTGATCCATAACAATATTTAGTTCGTCATCCTTTCGTTTCAAGTCGTCCTCCATGGAATCGAGCCGCTCTCGAAGTTCTGCTATTTGAGATTGGTAATCATCGATAATTTTTTTATCGGCCTGTTTTGTTAAAAATAGATTCGGGAAGTGAGATATATGGGACTTACGTCTAAACTTCCAGTGCTCTTCTTACGGTCTCGATTCCTAGCAGCTCCCTCTAACCCAAAGGCATCCCCATCATCGTCGTCATTATCTTCTGGCCCACTTTCATCATCTTCAACCATAGTGCTTTTGTTCGGTACAATCGTGTTGCTTTGAAAAGTTTTTGGTGTCGGCCGACCGTAATCGTTAGGCGGCATGCCAGGCGAAGGAGGTACGCCCAAACTACCATTCGGACCATTTGGCGGCGGCATCCTTGATCCATTGCGTGATTCGCTCCTCATTGAGTAAGGCCCTATGGAGCTGGCGTCCGAGGGCCGGCGCATACGACTTGGGCCTCTGGGTGGCAGATCCATAGGTGCGCCATTTCCATTCCTACTTGGGGGTCCTCTTGTGGAGACAGGACTGCCCATGCGACTTCTATCTCCTGCAGTAAATTGGGGGAACCTTCGCTCTAATTCATAAAATACATCCGTAGCAAGATCTCTGAACCTCGGCGGTGGAAGCGTGGATAATTTCTGACGGGCCTGATTTCGTTTGGGGTGGAACGTGTTTTTTGGCAACAAGTACGGCGGCGGCGATTGGTCATTTCTCTGTCCATTTGGAGTCCTACTCCCTGCTTGCTGCCTTCGTAAAAGTTCGTCAAAGACATCGGTACTAAGCTCTTGAAATTGAACGGGAGATAATCGCAACAACTTGTCTCGCGCTCTGTTGGGTCTAGGATTTCCCTTCTCATCTCGCAGGGACGCCGCCAGGTATCGTCTCAATGAAACGTAATGTTCTGATAGTATGGCCTCGAATTGTTCATCTTTCTTGTCTTGACCATTTTCGCTCCCTGCATACATACCCGTGCCAATACTCGAACGACCGACGGAGCTTGGAGGGGATGGGTTACCAGGGCTGCCGCCCCCTGAACTGCCTCTGGGTGGAAAATCTCCCCCATTCATTGTACCGTTGGAGTCGCTCGATATTGGCGGTGAAGCTAGTTGTCCGCGATTCATCTGGTAGGGTGAATCGTTATCTTCTTGATATTTTTCAATTCCTGACCATTCGTTATTGCTTCCTATTGAAACTGGTGACAAAGGTCCATTGCGATTGTTCATCGTTAAGTCGCGGTTATGATATGGAATGAGCAACCCTTTGGACTCGGAGAATAGTTTGGCACAATCCTTTGATTATCGTAAAAGTCACAATACACATCGAAAGCTCAATAGCTAAGTGATGAGTCGCGCGAGCTCGATATACCTGTTTGTGTGATCAACACATGCAAAAGAAGATATTCTCAAGTCTGGAACAGTTTAAAAGTCACCCTGAAACGAAGTCAATTGAGAAGACGGTTCGGTCAAAGCGAGATAGGGTAGCTGAAGGATGGGAAAATCGGGGCGTCGGGGATGGTCCTATTCTGAGGAATGAATTCGTCGTGGCGGTAGTGGAGGTAATGAACGTGTAACTGAATTGTTGTACAGCGACAATGAATTATACCTTGAGCAAGGTACGTAAGTGTAGGAAGGAAAGAAGCAAATAAAGTATACTATGACGTTTGAATTTTGTTTTAGAAATCCAAATGCATACTCGAGTAGTTTATTTGAGAGAAAGAACAGAGTATTTTGTTTGTGCGTAAATTGTTAAGTAAGGTACCGTTCCAATTCCGTTGCAGAGATGGATGGACTGGCTGCTGGCTGGCTGGATGATTGTCTTGATGCAGGTGACAAGCACTTTAGAAGATTTTCCTGGGGATTATTATTTCGACGGAGTAGTCCGTAAGTCGTTGTCTAGCCATTCAATCAGCCACTCACTCACTCAGTCAATAAATCAGTCAATCAAAACACACAGCCTTATTTTTCTCCTGAATCCTTGGGTTACGTTCGCGTTTAAGCTTGCCTTTTTCGGGTTCGGGTTCGGGATGTGTTTGGTTAGATTTCCAGGTACGCCCCAGCTTGCCTTCCAGTGAATTGGTGGCCGGGTGGGGAAGTATGGATATGGATATGGGAAGTAAGATCTTACAGTATGGATAAACGTACTCCGTAGAAAGAAAACGGATTATGGCGTTGAAATTAAATTTGATGGGAACAAGGGGAAAAGTCGATTCTTGATATATTGACACGATTCTTCCACACGCCTGGACAGCTTGAGATTATACAGTGAATAATTTTAAATGAGATGAGAGTCCAGCAAAGAAGCTGGATGCAGGTATATATACTATGTTCGCTGCAAATGATGGAAATCCTACCCGAATTTTCCAAATTCAGTAATCCTGTGGCACAACAGTATTTCCAGGCCTCCACAAGGCTGTTGTTTACTGTGTACAAGAATTGCGGCGTAGACATATATATGGCCGTATCGTGATACAAGACAGAACGAAACAAGTCGGGGAACAGGAAGGAATACCTAGTATGTATCTCCAAGTTCCAGCTTGCGCCTCAGCTCATCTCACCTTTATGGTTCAGACGATATACCTATAGCTAGCTACTTAGGTAATTATGACCTGAGAATTTCCAAGGAATCATAAAACTGGATATAAGATTAGAGTAACCGCAATTCATTCATCATTCATCAAATTCCATGATGCGCAAAGCTCCATAAAGTGGTATATTTATCACAAACTCAAATCAGGTGAAAGCCTGAATGTCTTTCGTATCTTTACGAAGGCTCGTCCTTCTATTTCATCAGTCCTTATTCCTCGATCGTTAAAGTAAGATGCAAAATAAGGGGCTAATCTACACGCGGCTTTTCTATTGGATCAATCCACAAAGGCCTTGTTCGGATTTACTTTATTAATTTGTGCATAGAAGCATATTCAGCTACCTGCCAATTATCCTTTCAAATTCAAAATAGTGATTATAATTACTGATTTCTGTTGTCGTTTAATCCCATACGAATTTACAGATATCTCACCCCGTGCAGCCCGTGTTCCATCCTTTAAAACAATCTGGAACTTCAAACCCATAATCCTCATGTTACAGGTACCAACCTAGTACTACCCCGTGAAAAGAAGAGATCGAGAAAGTCATCTCAAATCCCAAATCATGTAAGGAGGATTTCCACGAAAACATATCTACTGACTAGATTCAAAGCATTTTAAGATCCAATCTTATGGAATTCTTTCCTCAATTCTAGCTGTGTGCTTGTACATCTAGACGTCTTAGTCTAGAACTTTGAAAGCTTCACTTGTGGTATTTTTAAATCACAGGCCCCATACCAGTAATCTAATCCCAGAATATCAATTTTTGGGGCCTGTCTACTTTACTCTTTCAGACTAGTTCAGGCAAAACCTTTATTCTACTTAATTTCAACGGTTTTGGAGATTGACATCAACTAAGTATATTTGTAATTCAAGCTAGGATTCGAATTGATGCATGAATCATTTGCTGCGTGATGTAAGGCTTTTTATTGCTCCATCTTCGATTTTAAAGATGCCAAGTCATGCCAAAGCCCGCTCAAAGTCCGCCCAAATTTTCACTCTAAACGCCGCATAAAATGGGTATACCTCGTAGCCTCAACGCCATAATAAGAAAATCGTCATGCAAGTGTTCAGAACCATGCTAATGTCCATACTGCTGGTAGATTCGGCCATCTTTCCTGCCATTCCCCGATGATCTCCGGTACCCTTTCATCAAAACCAGCCCTACTACTGGCACTTCCACTGTCAAATCCGGTGGGGTTAAGTTCTCTTTCCTCGGCCGCAGCTTTATTGAGGGAGTCCGCAAGATCAAGGATTCCTCTACCGCCTACTAGAGCCTCTTCATGATTATCTTTGATATCAACATTGATGACATGCACGGGACGATTTAATGGGGAACCACGATTAAGAAGGTCGTCAACGACGGCATCCCAGCACCTTTCTTCACAGGTAATAACAACGTCCACGACGCCTCCTTCTACGCCCTCGGCACCTTGATCTGTATTGTGTTGTAATCTTGGAACACCAACTTGCCAATCTTGCCATCTCTCTGGCCCCCATTTTACTGATCTATTTCGTCCAAGCATATTCAAAATACCATTAGCCCGGTAGAGACGCGGATCCTTAGATTCGAGTTCTTTGTACATGCTGTCATATGAGGTTTTGTTAAATTGGTATACATTAGGTTGTGAGATGGAAGGCCCTGGTAATCTAACTAAAGAGCCTGTTCCAAAAGATATCACGGGGTAATGAGCCGCAGCGAGACGTAAGTGTGACTCCATTGATCTGAGAAAAGATCATGTTAGCCACAAATCAATGAGAAGTGTGATGTATCAAGCATACCTGTTATTGTTACTGGCGCAAACCGTGCAGAACTTCAGCTTAAACCCGTCTGAGTCAACTCGCTCACCATTCGATGTCGATTGAGATGTAGTACCGCCATTGACAGTTGATGTTGGCGCTTGAGACATGGTTGATGAAATATTGGTGTCATGTAATTGAGAACTTTATAAGGGGGAAAAAACTTCGACGACCTCTCCTCGTGACACGGATTTCAGATGAAGACCTAATTCAAGTTGTGGGTATTTCTGCTGAAGCTAGATTCATGTCAGTTACCTGCCAACACAATGTATGCGTACATAACATGATTTGTGCTGAAGAGCATTCAGAAGTTGTTAAGTTGCGTAATAAAAATTGTGTCATCAGTTTTTAATAAGACAGCTCCAATAATAGTGATCATCAGGTTGCTACGGGAGAATGGTGGGGGAAAGAGGGTTGAAGAGGTATTGGTTCTCACAAGAAGTTGTACATACCAAGCAAACATGTCATGTGCTGCATCTAAACTTGGCCAGTTTCAAGTGTAGTGGAATCACGAAGACATTTCAATTCGAGCGCGATATTGATGATGAAGAGGAAGGCAGTGTTGTATTGCGTTGTGTTGTTAACGTTGTAGAACTTTGTAGAGCTCAAAGCTCAAAGCAATGAATACACGAAGAAAGTGAAAATTTTCGGTTAGAGGTAAGCTAATGATGAATGGGGTACTAAGAAAGATGGGCCAATAACATTGAAGGCTGAAAAGCTCACCGTATTTTAGCTCTCACGGTAACACAAAGAGAAGGTGCTCCGGACACCGTAGTACAAAAAGCAACAACAAAAGCATATCATTGACTGAAGGCTTGAAGCACATGCTGATCAGGTAGTCCGTGTGGTTGGTAGGTGCATGCATGTTTAAAGTCAAAACAAAATTCGAATTTTCCTTCTTTACATTCCATTGGTTCTACTGCAAGTCTGAAACGCTGAAACGCTGAAACACCGAAACGGACTTTTGGATTATCGATCATTGCTTCTTGGCGGAAACTGCACCGGGAAAACAGAGTTCAAATGAATGCGAATGGCGTTGTTACGGAAATAGGAATAGAAGTAGAGATAGATTTAGATTTAGATTTAGATTTAGATTCAGATTTAGATTCAGATTTAAATTTTGTTCTGTAAACACCATCAGACTTCAAACCGAGAAGAATGCATATATTTATGTATTTCCGTCAGCCACACATTCCCAAAAGGAAACTCTAATCTGTTACCTCATATCTCTCTCTCCCTTGTTCAGTCAAATCTTCCATCTTCATCGAACAGGCTGTTCAATCTATAGAGAGCTGGCGAGAAGCAGAAACATCTTTGTATGACATTGAAACTGCCATACCATCAAATTCCTCAACTTCAAAGTTCCCCAGTTTCCCGTCTCCTTCCAAATCTTTCCATCGATTGCAACTTGCTTTTATGCTCTCGGGTACCTACCTATCTATATATCCTATATATCTCTTTCGGTCTGCATGTACATGTGTTTATAATCTTTTACAACCCATTCCGCAGATTCATCCATACTATCATACTATCTTGATTATCAATACTACCCAACTTCCATTGCCTAATTTCTATGTCAATAATCGCAGTGTGCGGGGTCCCCTTGTCAAATCCACCCAAGATAATTTGAGAAATTCGCAAAAGGACCTCGAGCCCTTGAACCCTCGGCGCTTCGTTGTAGACAACTCACACAGCAATTCAAAAGGAACATTAACATTGCTTTTCCTCAATTGTCTTGAACTCTAGAGCGCCATCAATTCACAGAAACCCCTTCGGCGCAAGAGCTACTCACTTTGTTGATTTGTACTTTGTGCATCTTCAAGTAGATAGTCTTCTTTGGCAATCACAGAACATTCCCTAGGAATTACTACAGCACAGTGTTTCGTTGGAGTCCTGTTGGTCTTGTTTGTAATTGGGTACAATTTGGGGGAAAAAAGGCCCTTACAATTAATTACGCACGAGCTTGATCCGATCTCTTTTTAACATTGCATTCAAACTTCAATCAACCTAGTCGTCCGCATAACCCACCTCAATTTATTGACAAGCGCTACCAAGAATCTGACATTCATTCCCTCGACATCTACCTTTTCACAACTGCGCGCCTGTTGCCCTAACACCAACTCGTCTTGAAAGACTTCCTCACATTCCTAATACACATCTACTCACGATATATTTCTTCATCTCATATTCAAGATAATTGAAAACAACCTCGGGCTTACTTGAGCGCTGGGACGATTAAAGCCTTCTTTCCGATTACAAATTTTGCACAGCGACAAGTAGCTCTCTTTTTGCCAGCCTTCTCACTCCAGCATATAAGGGAGATCGGATCGTCATATTGGGCTAACTCTTTTGAACCGAAACATACCATCTGGTCCTCAAAGCGCAGCCTTCAAGCTGATCGCAATCATATTTGCTTCAATATGGCAGCGGTAATTTCCCCAACGTCGTCGCCAGCAACGTCTCCACCACCAGTTAGTCCCCCCTCATCGAATCCTAACCATCCTCCCCTTCCACCTTTAAATACTTCACCAACCACAAAGCGACCGAATCTGCAACGTCCTACATCTCATGCCTCAAAGAATAGGTTATCACAATACTCGAATTATTCTGCGCCATCACGATCGCGACCTCCCTCACACATCTTCCCCGTCTTTCATTCTAGTCTCTCTTACACAACAGTCCGCGATTTTGCATACCCTTCACTGCACCCTATGCATTATGGGCCACCTCCAGAGCCGTCTCAACCTCCATCCGGCCTCTCAACGCCAGCTAGCGAATCGCATAAACGACTTTCAGATCCTCCCACCTCCTGGGATAGTCGCGGATCTTGGGGACCTGGTCCGTGGGGTGGTGATGGATTCATGAAAGGGGAACAATTGGCGCCTATACACTTTGGTGATGGTCCTCCATGGAGCGAAGATGAGGATCTGCAAAGTCCGGTTGTAGTCAGTTCACGCCACAGGAAACACAAATCATCAGCGGGGGAATATGGAGCAAATTCGCGCGGCAGAGGGAGGGCGCCTAGGGATGGGGAGCGTAGAACAAGCATGCTTAGTCAAGAGAACTTTGAGGATGACGCAGGATACTTTGCAGGTACCAGTGGTGAGAATAGCCAAAGATACTATGTCAATGAAGGGGACGAGGCAGACGGACCTGGCGGAGAATACGTTACATATCCTTCAGAATTAGCAAGGCGCTCAATGTTGGCGCCATATAATGTTCCAGGGCAACGAGATTCACATTTTGCTGGACTTTTACCCAGTCGCTCCTATACGGACGAGAGTGGTCAAGATTATCGGTCAGAGTCAGATGCTTCGAGTACTGCATCTTCGCCTGGCATGGCGAAACATGATGAATCGAGATATTCCCGCGATTATCAATTCACAATTGCATCACCGGATGAAGAGATGCACGGTAAAGCCGTTGCACTGTTTGATTTTGAACGAGAAAATGAAAATGAACTACCGCTGGTGGAAGGACAAGTCATTTGGGTATCATATCGACATGGCCAAGGCTGGCTTGTGGCAGAAGATCCCAAGACACAGGAAAGCGGCTTGGTTCCGGAAGAATATGTCCGATTGCTGAGAGATATTCAAGGGGGTTTAAACAGTTTAACGGGACAAGTTGAGCTTGCTAGTCCTGTGGGAGGTGACTCAGGTACTCCCACTCAAGCGGAGCACAATCAAGCATTTGGACACAACTCAAGTTCAAGCAATGGCAGCAATGGATATCAACAACCTGTTGTATCTACATTCTCAACATCTTCCAAAGATTTACATCCATACCCTCAACATCTTTTAGGCACTCAGGCTGGCCAAGCTCCACCTCAAGTCATACATTATCATGGGCAACGAGGCGGTAGTCAAGCCAATACTCCAACTCTACCTAGCTCACATGAAGGCCTTATAGAGAGACCCAGCAGTGGAGAAGCAAAAAATGGGAAATTAGAAGACTTATCGAGTAGCAACACGGTGCCCGTGGGTTCCACCCAAACAGATTCGGCAACAAAAGCCTCCCCGTCAATCGCAGTCCAAGGCCCCGAAAGTCCTCTCGGCCCTCCTAGTGATCCAGCAAACGAGATACACGAAACCGCGGCTCGATGACCAGACGGAATTTGCTCATGATTGATATGATTTAGTAGATGAGATGAAATATGGATTTTGATTGGGGTCTCGGGACATAATAGTGATACCAGGTGGATGGATGTGTTTGCCATATATGATACTTTATTATATGAAACGAATTGAATTGAATTGAACTGAATTGAAAGATGAATTTATTTAGGAAAGGGAGTGAATGGAAAATGGTTTCTAAAATGTCTTGTCTCTCCGTTTTGCGATGCAATTAGTAGGAGCAGGAGTGAAAGGGGAAAGGGAAAGGGAAAGGGAAAGGAAAGGAAAGCAAAGGAGCCGGGGTTTAATGATGCATCGTTTCTCTTTTCTTTTTTTTTTTGGATAGGGAAAGAAATATGCTATCACGTGTTATGTATGTATGTACATGTTCATTCATGCTCTACGCGTGTTGTTATTTCTGTCTGGTCTGATCTGTATTTATATATCATACCTATCGATTAGAAACTTTTTATTCGTGTATTCTTATCTTATATCTTATGTCTTTATATACTCTAGGATTAGTTCAATAATTTTTTTGCTTTATTTTACATTACTTTACTTTATGTTCAAATATAGCTACCTAGGTAGGTGCCTATTATTTACTGCTGTTTGAGATGTGGCTTGAGTCGAGTCGAGTGGAGGTGAGGTGCGATGGACGGGGTGTATCAATCGACTTGGATTTGTATCCTACATACTGATCATTCCTTGAAATTTTGGTGATTATCTTCTTCATTCTGTCACTTGGGGCCAGTTTGTGTGGCACGGGAAGAGAGCTTGGAATTACTGACATCACACATTGTGAGGTTGCAATTTTGGAGTGTTGATGATGTAGTAAATGGATTGATTTTTGATATATGATTTAATATGTTTGCAATACAATGCCTTCCCCTTCATAAAGAAGGTTATTGAAGTACGGGCATTGTAGTCGGTGTCACCACCTGAGATACTTGCATAAATTTGCTTTCAGCACATCTTCGGCACAACCAACAGTCATTAAAAGAGACCGAATTGTAATTTGACATCCGTGCTAGACCTCTCTCTCACTTCAAATTTCGTACTCGCCCAACTTCTTCGCCATTCACACTCACAACTTGGATTCCTTCCAAACTCGATCTTATCTTCTCCCATTCTGCGGGATCAACAGCTCGAGTCCCCTCTTCTAGAATAAAAGTATTAAATCCCTCTTTGGCGGAATCTTCAGCTGTGCACTTGACACAGTAATCGGCTGCTAGACCTACTACATAGACATCGGTAATGCCTTCATCTTTCAATTGGCCTGCCAGGCCACTATCACTACACCGAGGGTTCTTCAAGGGATCGTAAAATGCCGAGTACACTTCTACATCAGGATGTTGTCCCTTGAGAAGTGTCTTGGTGATTTGTGTTGTGTTTAGTTCAAAGGGGAACTCAGAACCGAGAGTATTCTGAACACAGTGAGGTGGCCAGAGACGAGTTTTATAAGTCTCAGAAGGATTGGACGGATTGATTATGGTAGTGAAATCTGTAAATGGTTTTGTACCTGGATGATTTGACGCAAAAGATGTATGATTTGAAGGGTGCCAATCTTTAGTTGCGATCTTAAGATGAAATGGAAGATTGAGGAGGTTGTTGATGATGGGAATTGTGTCCCGACCATTGGCTACAGCTAGAGAACCATTCTTAAATATGTTAGTATGAATACATGAATAAACATTGATAAGATATATAACATACTGGAGGTAAGAAATCTTCTTGAAGATCTACTATGATTAGAGCTGGCTTGAATGTATTAGTATCAATGTCAACAGTTGACATGATGAGAGGTTAGTTGACTTGATTTGATGTGATGTGATGATGTGTTGTTGGTTGATCTGATGTGAAAAGTTTTGCTGGATATACTAGATAGACTAGATAGATTGTTGGTGAAGTAACAATCATTAAATAGATTAAAGCCTTAAAAAGTTTATTCTTATCTAGAACAAAGTATGAACCAACCTGTGGTCTGTTTGTACTTGTTCTCCAACAATAAAATGTTGTACTTACCAAAATCAATGTATACCCCACCAAGAAAATATTTTTGATGTTGGGTGTTGAAGACTTGAAGTTGATGAAAATTTTGATATTTGTATGATGAAAGACACTGTAGTGATGAGTATCATGTGATTTAGCTCAATAGAATAAAAAGAAGGGTATGGAAGAAAAAAGGGGAAGATTGTGTCCGATGCTAGTTTGGAAAGCAGGGCCATTATCCAATAATATTGTCAATTGGACAACAAGTTCCATTATCTGCTTGGTGAATTGGTCAATGAAAAGATTTATTTCCGCAGATTAGATTTAGGACAACAGTTTGTACTCGGTATATGTATGTAGCATGTACCTAGTTAGTAGTGACTGGATCCAGTTATACATACAGAATACATACAGAGTACACACAGAGCTGAGAGTACACAATCTAGAAGTGTTTTCCTGAACATCAAATTATTTCTCATCATGTGATGTCCTTCGATAACAATGTGAAGATTATTTTGATGAACAATATGAAGTAATTTAAGAAAGGAATTGCATGTTCATCAAGGGAAAAAAGGTTGAACCTGCCAAAAGATTTCTATGGAGGACAGAGTCTAAAAGATCGACTTTGCTAATTTCCTTTATCCTAAACGCAAGCTTGATGCAGAGCTAAGCCACTTATCGTTAAGCTGCAGGTAGTGTCACCGCCTCACTAACGCAAAGTTGATACTTAATTTTCAGGGATCAATACAAGCAGAATGAATGTCAACAATATATTGTTGCTTTCCGTTCCTTCCATGGGGCTGTCCCTTATAAATTCTTCCTAAAGCTTAACTTTTGCTGTGGATTTTTATGAGATAATTATTACTTGATAATCTCAATCACAATCAGTTGTGACTGTAGTTGTGTCCATTGATCTTCTCTTTCTCTTAATCACAAAAAATCACATATCCCACTCCACCACCTTCAAGAAAAGCCATTACGTCTCTATCTTTTTGACATCCCGTCTTGTTTGCTTGGTCTCAACACCAACACATCACTCATTCTTTTCCTTTTCAAAAGTGTCTCCGATCATTCCCTCCAACTCTCTTCGAGTACATTTGCGAAATTCAAGACCAATACTTCATAGTAGACTTGTAGGTTGCATTCTCCTATGTCAGAACTCTCTTTTGGTAGAGGTTTCTTATCACTCAGCCTCAGCACTTGACCTGAGGAGTCCTTTCATCTCTTGTCTTCTAGAGTTTTACTATTTATTCACTTGACGAAAATTCTTGACTCATTTGCTAATGGTTACTTTGGATCCAGCTTTAACAGAACGAACTACATGCTTCATTTGTCGATGGCTTTGATATAGAATACAACCTAGCCTGCTTGTATTTCTTCCACCATGATCGGAAATTCATTTCTGCCCTCGCGGTTCAGAGGAACCTCCTCTGCCACCGACACCAATGCATCCCCTATGTGGCTCAGTAAAAAGGTCACACCACTTATCCAGCTTCTCTCTCGACGAGCATGCCTACACCCAATCCACACAATCGTTATAGTTGCAGTTTTGGCGAGCACAACATACATGGGACTTCTGGAAAGTAGTCTTTTTGATTCGGTCAAAGCCAGTGGTGCCGACAAAGCAACATGGAGCTCTCTTGTTGCAGGCAATCGTCAACTGCAGATCGGTCCCGAGACTGCCTGGAAATGGCAGGCTTCAGATGTGGAAACCGTGCCATCCAACGTGGATCACTTGGCACTTTTGACATTCGTCTTCCCAGACTCTGCTGCCGCCAATTCTTTACAGGCAGCGCCGTTAGCGGACTCTGTGCCGTTACCACAAAATCTTTCCGTCACCTCCCTTCCATCAACTTCAAACCCTTTGGCATCCTTATCTCAGGACAGTGCTCTAGCTTTTGCCGTGCCCTACAACCAAGCCCCTGAATTTCTCGCCAAATCTCAAGAACTACCTAATTCTGCTGCTACGGTTCCTACCGATCCCAATGCCCGTCAAGGACTCGAGGCAGAGCCTATTCAGGAGAAAAAGATGTGGATCATGAAAGCTGCAAAGGGAGATGAGACTCGACGAGGATTGAGGAGATGGGCGTCAAATGCTTGGACTGAATTTTTAGACCTTCTCAAAAACGCCGAGACTCTCGACATCATCATTATGGTACTCGGGTATATATCTATGCACCTTACTTTCGTCTCGCTGTTTGTCTCTATGAGGCGTATGGGATCAAATTTCTGGCTCTTTGCCACAACTCTTTTCTCCTCAGTTTTTGCCTTCCTCTTTGGATTGATCGTCACCACCAAAATGGGAGTTCCAATGAACATGGTATTGCTGTCCGAAGGTCTCCCATTCCTCGTCGTAACAATTGGATTCGAGAAGGCTATTGTTTTGACAAAGGCTGTTTTATCTGCATCTCTTAACACCCAACGACCCCACCACGAAGTAGGAGAGAAAAAGTACGGGGTTTCTCCTACGTCCATTCAATATGCAGTCCAGGTTGCGATAAGTGAGAAGGGTTTCGAGATTGTGAGAGATTATGCAATCGAAATCTGTATCTTGATTGCCGGAGCTGCATCGGGCGTTCAAGGAGGTCTCCAGCAGTTTTGTTTCTTGGCTGCATGGATTTTATTCTTTGACTGTGTCCTTTTGTTCACTTTCTATACTGCAATTTTGAGCATTAAGCTTGAAATCAACCGAATCAAACGACATGTTGCTCTCCGCCAGGCATTAGAGGATGATGGAATTAACCCACGAGTGGCCGAGAAAGTTGCCCAAAGTGACGATTGGCCGAAAGCCGACGGTTCCCAGACTAGCGAAGCAAATATCTTTGGCCGTAAGGTCAAGGGTAGCAGTATTCCAAAATTCAAAGGTTTGATGGTGTCTGGATTCATCATAATCAACATTCTCAACCTCTGTACCATCCCATTCCGGGGTGGCAACAGCAGTGTTCAGCTCCCAGGCGCAGCTATGTTTTCAGGATCGAGTTTTTCAAGTGTTTTAACACCACCACCAATGGACCCCTTCAAAGTTGCATCTAATGGCTTAGATTCTATCGCTGAGATGGCAAAAGCTCACGACAAGTCAACAATTGTCAGCGTACTTACACCAATTAAATACGAGCTCGAATATCCTTCCATTCACTACGCTGAACCAGCAACCAAACATCGTAAACATGCTGCTGATGATTTTGACGCTGAATTTGCTGAATATGGAATGGGTGGCCGAGTTGTGGATAACCTATTGAAGAGTTTTGAGGACCCAGTCCTTTCAAAATGGATCGTTGTGGCTCTCACATTGAGTGTTGTGCTCAACGGGTACCTCTTCAATGCTGCTAAATGGAGTGTTGGCAAGGAACCACTTCAAATGCCTCCACACCATGCTGTCGACCCTAAGGAGCTCGATCAGGCTGAAAGGTTCAACAACTCTGCTTCTACACCTGTCTTGAGATTACACAACATCGACCCGAATGCCAGCGACAATATACCGTTGACGCCAGCTAGAACACCAGCTACTACTGATGATGAGGATGATGGATTAGTTATGGCTCCTAAATCTCTGAATAATGCCCAACCGCAATTACGCCGAAGTCAACAAGAGCTCGAAAAGATGCTTGAAGCTAAACGTGCGCCGGAGCTGACCGATGCAGAACTCATCGAACTATCCATGCAAGGCAAGATACCTGGTTACTCCTTGGAAAAGACCCTCAAGGATACTACTCGCGCCGTAAAGATTAGACGTGCCATCATCTCACGAACCCCTGCTACCTCTGAAACTACCAGTCTACTCGAAAATTCATTATTGCCATATCAGCACTACAACTACGACCGTGTTTTAGGAGCTTGCTGTGAGAATGTCATTGGTTATCTTCCGTTACCTCTTGGTGTGGCAGGTCCGATTGTTATCGATGGACAAAGTTTCTTCTTACCCATGGCTACAACAGAAGGTGTTCTTGTTGCAAGTACAAGTCGTGGTTGCAAAGCCATCAATTCTGGCGGCGGTGCTGTTACAGTCCTTACTGGTGATGGTATGACTCGTGGTCCATGTATCGCCTTCGAGACCCTCGAACGCGCCGGTGCTGCTAAGGTTTGGCTTGACTCAGAAGCTGGCCAGCAGACTATGACAGATGCATTCAACTCAACCAGTAGATTCGCAAGACTTCAGTCCATTAAAACTGCCTTGGCAGGTACCAATCTCTACCCTCGTTTCAAAACTACTACTGGAGATGCTATGGGAATGAACATGATCTCGAAGGGTGTTGAGCACGCTTTGAAAGTGATGTCTACCGAATGCGGCTTTGATGACATGGAAATCATTTCCGTCTCCGGTAACTTTTGTACCGACAAGAAGGCCGCTGCCGTTAATTGGATCGATGGACGTGGTAAAAGCGTTGTTGCCGAAGCAATCATCCCCGGTGACGTCGTTCGTAAGGTTCTTAAAACTGATGTTGATGCATTGGTCGAATTGAATATTGCCAAGAATCTTGTTGGAAGTGCAATGGCAGGTGCTATGGGTGGTTTCAATGCTCACGCTGCCAATATCGTAGCTGCAATCTTTTTGGCTACCGGTCAAGATCCAGCACAAGTAGTTGAGAGCAGTAGTTGTATCACACTCATGAAGAAGTAAGCTGTTTCATATTCAAAATTTGGAGAATGCCACTAACACTATTCTACAGTCTTCGCGGTAACTTGCAAATCAGTGTCTCCATGCCTTCTATTGAAGTTGGGACCTTGGGTGGTGGTACTATCCTTGAGCCTCAGAGCGCCATGTTAGATCTTCTTGGTGTAAGAGGTTCTCATCCAACTAATCCTGGTGATAATGCCCGAAAACTCGCACGTGTGATTGCTGCAGCTGTTCTTGCTGGTGAGCTCTCCTTGTGTAGTGCCTTGGCGGCGGGTCATCTTGTGCAGAGTCACATGGCACATAACAGAAGTGCTCCAGCAACAAGAGCCAACACCCCAGGACCAGCAAGCGGTGCTCAAACACCAGTGACTGCAGCGATGACGGCCATGCGAGAGAGAGCTGGCGTAGCAGCCTTGTCTCCGGCTGCTGTGCTCAGAGCCGCCAGCGGGAAGAGATAAGAGACAGCATTTAATGTATACACTAAGCGATGCATGAAAATATGGCGTTTGGGCATGCTTACAGCAGAGGACTATTGCTTTCTAATGATCTTTTAGCGGAGGCTTATGAATGGGGCCTATAATATTTTCCATTTAAGAAGCCCTTTTTGTCTTCTCATTGTGAACTTTTTTTGAACCGACTCGAAAAAATAGAAAGAGTCGTCGGATATATTAGACACAATTATGACTCGATAGTCATCGAACTTGATTTGTGGCTTTCATTACAATAAAACGTAATAAAATTGCGGTTTATACAACTCACCAAGACATGTATTTTTGAGATGAATGTTCAGGATAAAGCAGCCTCTACACGAGCAAAGACTAGCATTTGGTACTTGTGAAGACATATTACCAAGTATATACCCAGGGCATTGACCCTTCCCTTCCAACTCAAGCATTAGGCATTACCTCCTCTCAACTAACTAATGAACATTTTCCCTCAATCCACTCGTCCTCAAGCTATGCCCTGCCATTACCAACGGCTCCTTTTTTATTTGTACATCAACTGTTGCCTGGGCATTCCCATTTCCATTTCCGTTCCCATTCCCAGTAGCGTTTTCCAGTCCGGATCCAGGTCCCGTCCCTCCATTTCCATGTTCTAATGCCTTTCTAACCGCATCACCTACTCCCGTCATTCCTGCACTGTCTTCGCTTCCCCTTCTACTCCCCATCCTTACAGTCCCAGCACCCCCAACCAGTAATCCCTTTACTCCTCCTCTCTTCCTCTCTGGTAGTTCTTCGGAGCCAGCACTGCAGACGTATAATAGATATTTTAGATTAGGAACTGTTTGTCTGATATCTAGGACGCGGAGGCCTTGGGATTCGGCTAGTGCCTCGATGTTTTTGTTTAGGAGAAATACGCCCCAATCGAATCGGAAGCGGATGACAGATTGAGGGTAGAGGGGGAATACCCTTTGGCGGTCTTGCATCAGAGATATGGGGTCGCTGATGAGGGAGCGAGAAGCCTGGGGTGTGATGGGATATGGGAGGGGCACTCCTAGGTAGTATTGGAGATGATTAACTAATTGAGCGACATAGCCTAGAGCGGCGGCTATGACATCCTCGTCGGCAGAAGATGTATCATCTTCAGTAGTGTTTGGAAGAGGGAGACCGCAAATCGTAAAGAGAAGAGGGTGAGATGTGGGTTCAATGGGGTATATTTGGATGAGTTCTTCGCAAATGCGACGGCGTTGGCCACGGATGAGGGAGTTGGTTTTTGTGAGGAGAGCGCGAGAATTGTTGAGGTGTTCTTGAGCGTTCTGGACATCTGACTCAGCGGCTGACTGGACGGCGTAACCGGATGAGATGGCGGCTCGTCGAGAAGAGATGGATGCTTTGAGTTCAGATTGGCGATGTTGGGATTGATGAAGCAGTCTGCGAGAAGTTGTGACGTAGCGTTTGGCAAGGGTAAAGGATTCTTGGGCAAGGGGTAGAGATATTGATGGAGAAGTATTATTAGTAAGAATGTTGTTTATTTGAGAAGTAAGTTCTTCGCGAGTAGCTAAAGCATCTTGGATGGATTCATCGAGGTTCGAGAGGCGCATCAGTGCGTTGTAGGAGGAGGTTGGAAGAGCAATGCTAGGCCTCGGCCGAGGTAGTTTGGAAGTGAGATCAATGGTATATATGCCATCTGCGAGTTGGAAAATAATTGAATTTGAGGGGAAAGGGTGGTTCTCCAGCCGTCCTAAGAACTGTAAAGACTGAAGATTAACTTCCTCTTCGATCAGCGGAACGAAGTCTTGTCGTTTAACCCATATCTTGACAGTAACAGTATCGAGTCGCGTCGTCGCAGGACCAAATGAAGACAAGTCGAAAGATCGAAACGTAGGATTCATCGCCTTTTCTACGACCTCGCTGATATATATCGGATCATCCTGTCCGGCGCAATGTAATGTGAAGAAGCTATCTGCCATCCGACTGTCCCTTACATCCTCAAGCTTTTTTTGCCTGATAGCGGGGCTTGCACCCACCCAGTTCGAACTCGACCTCCTAGTTCTCGCGGAAGGCCGCAGATCCCCTGATGATTGTGCATGATGCAGCTGTGATTCGCGGCGCAAAGCCTCGAGCTTCTGTGGTGATTTGTTTAGACCTGCATCGTCGATCGTTTTTCCCCGCGGACGAGAAAGTGTTAGATTTCGGATGTATATACCTTGCAGGTGTCGCAATTTCCGATTCTGGGGTAGAAGTAGTGGCCGCGAGACCTCGGAACTCATATTGTTGATGATAAGTTGTCATGAGAGCTGGTTAATGCACTTCGAGTTCCATAATCAGAGATGGGTTGTCAAGCCTCGACCAATCAAAACAAGGCTGAATACCAGCCTTGTCATTCTTGGCAGGAGCTTTTTAACATCCGATGCACATCGATTGCCGATTAATTTTTACTTCATGTCCGGATTTGGGATCATTATCTTAGGTTTATATGGCATCTTCACGGGCCACAGTTGCTTGCGTTACAGTTATCTCTGAAAAACTTGCATGATCATTCCCAAATACTATAGGATATGTGTGTACACGTGTGCAGAGGGAGCTGAAAGTATGCTACTCCGTATGTCCAGTGCTTTTGCAATTGACCCGGAACCCCTTTTTTTCAGAACTCTTGGGCTTAGCCTTGTCGATATGGCCTTTCCCAGATATCTCCTTGGAAGCTTTTGACGCCGCAAGCGTAATTCTTGGGTCTACGAAGACTAAGCTCCCAGTTTTCCCATTTTTACCCCTTGTATTTCACGTATCTCTTCACGCTGCATCTACATTCTAGGCACGGCTTACCACCAGAGCCCTCAAAACCATTGCAAGTACCGCATTCGGTTTGGTTACTGCGAGTATCGGTACGTTCGGTGATGCCCTGAATTTGGTCGCGGCATTCGTCCCTTTGTATACAATTTCATGGCCTGGCGACTTTCGGGCACGCAGCATGACTTGATGGTAGAGGTCAATTTATTGTGATAGGACTCGTTGGTGAGGTGCTGTGAAGCATTTTTGTTACTAGATATACATGAGCAAGTAGACACCCTTGTTGGGGTTTGAGTTTGATCTTGGAGGCTGTATTTGAAATGATCGGTATTCAGACGGTTCTGTGTGTTCATGATCCTATCCAAACATACAACGAGGTTATTCTAACTATGAATGAACCGCTTAATTCATGTGCAGTCGTTGAGGCGCATAAAGTGTTGAACGTGGCAGGGGACTATCCAAGAACAAAAAGAGCATACGCAAATTAAATCATATTGTTCTAGCTGACTAGCAGAAATAGAAAAGCATAACATCAAAACATCCACCCAAACGGAAATATGCATCTCATAAGCGCCACGCCACACGCTCGTATTCCCTTATAACGTACCGTGGCTCATCACGCCAATGACACCGTGGTTTTTATCATACAAATGTTCGCACCTCAGTACTCTCCTATCTCTCGTAACTTAGTGATCGCTCTCCTACGGAGTACGCATCGGGGTACGTATCTTCCATTCTTCTTCCACGGGATCTAGCACGAGGAGCAATGTTAAATCCATACATAGTGTCTCTAGTAACCATGTAGATACCGAATGCGAAGAGGAGAGCAAAGGCAAACGCAGCCCATTGAAGTCCCTCAAGTGTTTTGCCCTGCTCAATTTGTACGTTTGCAGAACATCCTACAGCCGTATCTCCAAGTACCGTATTGATTGCGTTAACGGAAACAGTGAGGGTATATGCTGCACCAAGACTGGTGGCAACAGCTGCCCACAAAAATGGCATAGCTACCATACCAACCTTACCAACAGGTTTTCCTAGACCTGCGAAGAGCCATGCAAAGGTGTCAACGAGGAATCCCAATAGAAACAGGGCTAAAGCCACCATAGGCATGAAAATTGATATGTCGTTCTGCAACTTTTGCCCTAATTGTACGATATTTGCGTCGACATGTAGTGTGGAGGCAATTTCATCGGGTGACTGCTCATACTGTTTGCCTATACATTGAAAACCGTTTGTATTCTTGAAAGTATCTCCGTTATTTCCTTCCACTCCCACATAGGCACAGAGACCTGATCGCTTGTTAGTGAGTGTTTCGCACAGCTGGGATACGTCTCCACAAACCCATATAGCCAAACCTCAATCCACCGATTTTAGATCCATCGGTGCCAACCTTAGAAATCTGCCCGATGAAGATATTCTCCATTCCAGGCGTTGTCGTCGCAGATCCGGCGATCGACATGGCTAAGAACCAACACGTCAGCTCAGGCATACATATTGACACGGCGGGCAAGGAGAACGTGATTGTGCTTACCTGAAAAGGTAAAAAATGGAATGGCCCCGATTATCCATACTGAAGCTCGAACAGTGATGTTCTTCGGATCTATGAAAAACCAAAGTAAGCCCTAAGATTTACAACAACATGTCAAGACTTACTCATCGGCCTCCATGCTCCACGTCCAGACATTTTGAAGGTGTGGGATTATTATTTTGCCACTACTAAGTGGCGACAATGCAAAAGGGTGTTCAAATGAGTGAAGAAAAGGAAGGTCTATGCAATGAAGAATTCCGCACGACTAACTTTCAACCTCAGCAGATAGATAATTTGGCTTCACTATCAACTGCTTGAGAATAGGAGACCTAGCTCACTATATACGGCTCTTAGTAAACCATAACATAGATTACCCACATTGGTCAGATAAATGTGCCCACGCTGCGCAATTGCGGTGCTTTGGATTATTGGCCGTTTTGACCGGTAGATCACTGGATCTTGGTACAGGCAAGCAAAATTTATGAAATCGAACAGACACTACAAACCACCAACTATCCTACCATAGCAATTCTTCAGTGAAAAGAATCGTTAGTGAAGGACAAGTACAAAACGACCCGGCCGACAAGCGGCAAGCGCTGAATTGACGGTCGTGACATTTTGGTTATTAACCATGTTGGGCCTCAACAGATAACGTAATCAGTTCAGTGCTGCCAACAGTGCACAGAGTCTTCATTTCACGACGCCGCAACGTCCGATTTTTTGGCCATACTCAGGTGGTCTTGCTTCATGTGATTTCCTGGTCTTCTGGTCTAGGCTATGGACGAAATCTTAAGGATCTAATTCGAGAGCTGGTTGAATCTTTCCAACCTTCCAGAAGAATTCTCTCGTAAAAAAGCATCGTTGAATTGCCTGGCAACTCGATGTGAAGCCTGTCGCCACTAATGTTTTGTGATGTTTCTCCTGAAGGAACAGTAATCACATTTGATATTGCAAATAATGCCCAGCGTCTGCTTGTTTACCCACATGTTGGAAATGTCCAGGAGTGTGGCTGCCAATAATAATAGTGGCGCTTGATTTCTCTGCTCTAACCAAATGGAGCTAAGCCTGTACCAACGGCCGAGTACTCTCCATAGGGCTGAAGGGTCGGCCATTTTTTGGAGTTGCTTTTGATCGGTGAAAGGTTATCACCGGACATCTCTAGTGAGTGTTGGTGTTTCAAAAAGATACGCAAATTTTTATAGAAGGATTCGGACCACAATGAACAATACTACACCTTTTCTCCGACCATTCAGAGTCGAAAATTGTTAGAACTTTTCCAAGCGAGAAGTAACTCGCTTAGTTCTCAAAAATGAAGGAGGCCTAGAAGGGTACTCGACAAGCATGAAAACTCATTCTGCATAGCCAGGCCAACTGAGCATATTGGCATTCTCGCGGCCGACCAGGGTCCTCCAAAGGCTTTCTCTATCCATTGACGTATATTTTAAAGCTGGCATCTGCCAACTTTCCATTATAGTAGAAATCTCGAATTCCAACACCTCTCTTAGACCGAACATTCAAGAAATGATTACTCCGTCGTAAGTTCTGGTTCTACGACAAGCACATGTGACAGCCGAAGATTACCCTGGAATACTTCTGTGTATCGGTCCTGCCCTTTTCGAAAGTTGTACATTGGGGTAACTCTCCCAGTCACATCAATACAAAGCATTATTTTCGATATCTCTATAATCTGAACCATCTAGCCTTACCAGTCATTCCCATGATCATACAACCTCGCACTTCCATGGTTGACTTACAAATTAAGCAGTGTAACGCTGTGTGACAGTGGGCAAGGCCCTCGCTCTGAGCAATGATGGGTTATATAAGTCAGCGGTATGTAAATTTCTGTTTATATCTAGCATTTTATTGCCGAAAAAATTCACTGACAGTCTAAGATAGGATGTTACTTCTCACAAATACTCCTAGAATAAATACATACACTATATCATACCATCAACACATTCATTTCCTCTTACTCACACACGATTGTTCTGCAGCTTTCAATTAGTTAAAAAATGGAACCAAAATCTTTTGCGCGCAGGCAATGCACTCGTTTCACTCCTTTTCCTTTGTCATTTTCTTTTCGTTCATCCTCACTTCGGTCCAAACTTCTTGAAGCCATACTCTAATTGTTCTTCCTTCAAGTCAAGGTGCTATCGCGCGAAAGATCTCTCACTCCCAATATACCTCGATTACATCCTATTAAAGTCACCTTTTGTCTCCATGAATACCACTTCTCCACGGTCGGGAGCCATGTATACTGAGACGACTCAAAGCGTTTCTGTGGTCTCCTGAGCAGGTAGCAAGTAGGTTGAGACGGATGGCGGCTTGGTTTGTTTTGTTTTATATTGGGTTGGTGCTGTCGGTCTTGTAACGAGCTTTGATGTAATTTGTGAAGGCAGATCAGGGGCATGTGGAATAGAGGTTTGAGGTGAGATGAATACGTTTTGGGTAGTGTTTTTCTTTGCATATAGATCAGGCATAGAGTAAGGAGTACAATTAGGGAAGGAAGCTTTATACTGGTAAATGGATGGTTAAAAAAGGGAAAAGGTTTGGTTCTTGCTTGGGAGTTTTGTTTGGCAATGGAAATAGTTCATTTGGTCTTGGAGTACGATTACTCGTTTGTGTTGACTAGAAACGAGGAGAAGGTCTAGATAATATAAATCTCCATGATCAAGTCATCGTAAACTTACTAAATTTCATAACTCTCTATTTATTTCGGATTCTTCTCCTCAAACTTTCAATGGTGATGAAGAGGGAGAGCAATTGTTGACCCCCTGGGATCTTGGCAGCATATGCATATAAGGAGCAAACAAAAACTCAACTTTTAAATTCATTCTTTCCTTTTTGGTATACTGTTTGTTTGCTTTCAATATTTTGATTTCAAAGCACTTTAATTCCGAAGACCGAATACCTAAGCCTATTCCTTCATTTTGTTGAATATATACTCGCAGCTTAACTGCTTAGCTAGAGAATCAATCAATTCAATCTGATGCTCTTTCTGGTCTCAAGAAACCCAATAGCAATGGACACCAATCCTAAACTGCAAGGTAGTATCCAAACAGGACAAATCAGTGGCTTAAAGGAAGGGATGGAAAGCCGACGAAAGAAAGTGATTTGTACGCGTTGGGAACTGTTTGTGGGAGCTTTGGAGTGGGAGGGAATATGACGAAACTTGTGAAATTTGGGAAGATGTGAAAAGAGGCGATTTGAAGGGAAGAAGGTGGATATGAAGGGATTGGGGGATAAGGGGGTTAGTTTCATGGGTTAGGGCGTGGTTGAGAGGTAGAGGGGCAGATTGTTTGATATCTTAGAATGTTGAAAGAAAATATTCGACTCCTCTGGTTAGAAAATTGATTGCATTTTAAGTTCTTGCCATTTTCAGCTCCTGTTTCCACTACGGCAACTGGATATTTTGTTTAAAATTGGCATTATCAAAGGTTGACTAAATGATATAAGAATTCTAAAATCTATTCACTCTCTACAATTTGAATTCGTGACAAAATTCCTGCAAAACTGTTACGAGGTTTGCCGTCTAGATCACGTGGAAGTGCTCTAGGCTCTCGAGGTGGTTTATAACTAGGCGTCAAGCAGGGACTTAAGTAATGACAATGATGCAATTCGTAACTAATAGTAGAGTATACTAAATGATTGATCTTGAGCACGAAGCTCTATACAAAGGAAATCCATCTTGATTATATAGACCTTCGTATTATACATCCCATCGCCTCCCATCATGTCCCACTGCCTGTGATTCTAGGTGGGACAATATTGGGTCATGTGACCATAAGCTTAGTCACCTGAGTAGCTGTTAGGATTGGTCGTAACATCAAACCGCTTTCCAGGACCTTATTAAAAAGCATCAACCATTCAATTAATCAACGACTACTCATCCCCATCCCCATCTGTCGTCTTTATCTAGACTATAAAAGAGTCTCTCAAGAAGAAACCCTCTTATGATAAGATTGAGGTAAGTTTATAAACAAATCAAAAAACCCATTAAAACCCCAACCCACCCCATTCTACACTCATCTATCACACATCCCCACTTCACCCTCCTTCCCCACCCACCTTCCATCCCCAGCTCAACTGCATAGATCATAGTTTCAATTTCCGTCTCTTCAATAACAAACAGCCAATCATGCCTCAATGGTATGTAAGACCATTTCGAGTCTCACTCGAAAATATCACTCTCGGTCGTCTAGTTGGTTTATGACGTCAGACTGTAATTGTTTCATTGTAATCTGGATGTCGCGTGTTCGACTCACGCCTGAGAGAATTTTTCTTTTTCGTTTTTGGGTTTTGGTTTTTGTGGGATATAGGGATGTGGATGTATTTTTGGGGGGGAATTTTGGTGAGAGGGGTGGGTGTGTGGGGTGGAGTTGTAAGTTTTATATTGTGGAGGTTTTTTTCTTTTTGGATAAGGTCAATTAATGGAAGATTTAGATATACATTATTACTGAATACCATACATGGTAAAGATATCAATTAGATAATTATACAAGATATAAATGCAAGACGAGAGAGATTCCGTTTGGTTTGGTTTCGTTCGGTGTTTGTCTCTTTAGTCTGTATATATTTCCTACGCCTAAATTAGGAGAATCGGCCATGTATATCACATCATATCATTCATTAAAAGACTCAAATAGACAACCTTATCCTACTGATGAGTTATTTATTTATTGGTTGAGAAATCCATAAGATATCTTATATCTTATATCTCATTCACTCCTTGTCACGATTCACCATTAGGATTGATGGTGTTACGATGGTAGCAAACTGATTAATTAGGAGAGCTTAGGCCTTGTGCAAACACGATCAGATTTCATCGAATTAGTATGTGATCTTGGTCACCTGAAGATCGTATGCGCACGCACCATCATAAATCACGTGATAAGGAGCCCTAGGAGCTTCGTGCTCAACTTAGTTATCAATTAGTTTACCTACATTCTAGTTGATCTAGTAACGAATTCACTTTCAAGTGAATACCAATTGATAAAGCCTTAATCCATAACTACCAATCGACGAACCTTAGGCAGCCGCTGCCTTTAGTATAGTATCGTTACACTCCTATTCCATACACAGAGCCAACAAAATCAGTCACGGTACTCCGTATGTACACAGCACAATATAGCACAGCAAAGTATAATCATTCTTCAAACAACTCACTACCACTCTATTTTCTCCCTACAAAATACTCCACCAGCCAGCTCTGTAATTCGAGAATCTCGATATATATACCTCCCTACCTAAATAAATAGAGTTGCAATTACCACCTCAAAAACCAGAAGTCAGAAAATTTTAACAAAAGGTTCCAAGGTTATATTAGTTAACCTACCAAAACGCGGAAATACGGAGTATTTTTTTGAAAAAAAAAAGAGGGAGCGGAACGGTCCGCTTAACCTTATACTCTATACCTATATAAGCTAATAACCTCTACCGGGGAATATACATCCCACTCCGTAGAATATGGATATGCAGGTGCTGTTGGCTGTTGGTAGGTCGTTGGTGATTATGTATTATGTGTGCAGATGCGGTACTTCGTGTGTACGGTGTAACCATACCTCGGTAAGATCTGGTCTGGTTTGGTGGGTTAAGCTAAGGAAGATTAGGAGGGGACTGTTAATTTTTACTTTTACTTAGATAATCTTACTTTAGGGTTGTTGTGAGTATAACTCTTTCAAAAAAAAAAAAAAAAGAAAAAAAAAAGGAAAAATACATATGTATGGTAAAAAAATAATAATTGACTAGTAGATTTATTATTATATTCTTATATAATAATCTTAATCTTCATATAAAATATAATTAATTAACTTTTTCTTAAAGAATATCAAAAACTATAGTAAGATAGATTTATTACCAAAATCACTAATCATTAAGTACCTGATCAAAAATTCCCAAATCTTCCCCCCCTAACACTGCAAAAACCACTTGGACTCGGATAACATAATAAATAGAATAGCTAGCTTTAATGCAGATAGACTGAGTGCAGTGCAACATTCAGTGGCCTCATATCATATCACATTATGACATATTATGACATAACATGGGATGGGATAAATGGTTTATGGAGTTTGGACATCCACCAATCGCATGAATAAGGTCATCTCATCACATTACTAAATTGCTGTGCCTCAATTTCAATTCACATACAGAGTAGACTGAGTGAGTGTATGGATGGATGGATGTGTGCGAATGATACAGGGTATAGACGTGAGGGATTTTTGAGCAGTAATAGCAGCTGATACTACGGTGTCGGTGTCAGACTGTCAGTGTTAGGTTCAGTGGCTAGGGTTTGTTGGAGTGTGCAGGAACTGGTGTTTTTCGGTTTCGAGTTGTAATATTGTTCGAAATCTTAGGGTTGAGAGATAATGACTTCTTAATTAGCTGTTGTATTTTTGGGTATCTTCATCTTTTAACTAATCCTCGAGCCTCCTCCGCCTCCTTTAAATATTTCCAATATATATACCTAAGTGAAAAAAATTCTCTGTGTTCTCTTAAAATATAGTCGAAGTGGACCTTGCCGTAAAGAAACAGTAAAATTCCCAAACAAAAAATTTGTGCCGCCACAACAAAGTTCAACCCTTAAAATGCCCATCCATTATTTCCTACCACAGTTCATCCGGCTCATCATAATTGTGTTTTCCCCTCGTAATCCTTGCCTCAGCCTGTTCTTCATGATATCTCTTTTTGACAGCCGATGGCATCTCCGGTGACATATAGGGTTTAATGACCCATTTCTGATCGCCGTGGTTGGGTCCAACTCGAGGTTCATCATATGGACTTATTTCTGGAGGTTGGTACTCCATTCTTGACGCCTGTCTTTGACGCTGCGTAGCAAGTTCTTGTTGTGCTTCTTGTAATTGTTGAATGTGCGGATTTCCTGCATCTGTGGAGGTGAGAGATGCCATTCTTTGCAGAGGGTGATATGTGGGTGATAGGTAGTTAGATTGATGGTATCCGTTGGGGCTGAGGGGGTAAGAGGCATAAGTTGGATTGGGGTGTTGAATATGAGTTTTGTTGTTACCGGAACTGGTTTTGTTCCCTTTACGGCCGCGTAGACTCTTGAGACTAGAGGTAAATGATAGAGGAGATTTTGGAGTGGTCGGAGGAGGTGGGAAGTATATGCCATTGTTGATGGTTTTACTACCTTGTCTTTGTCGATCTCGAGGAGAGTTATCTTTTGGAAAGGTAGATGTAGGAGAGCTATTCGCAGTAAAGAATGGATTCCGGCTTTGTCGAAATCCAACATGATAAGGGTATTGATAATGAGGAGGGTTTTCGAGAGCACGCCGTCGTCGTGAGTGAATGAAGTATATTGCTAGAGAAATACATATAAGAACGAAGGGAATGGTGAGGGATAGAGCGAGTATAAGTCCCAGTTTGTGGTCTTTCTTATCGCTTTCCGTGATTGATGTCGTGGAGGTTATGTTGAAGGTATGTGATGTAATAAATTGACTTTTTGGTACGATATTATTGCCATTATCGCTGAGAGTGCCGGGTTGCTGTCGACTTGTCAGTATGCCTGATCTAAGTGTGTTTGTTCATAGTCTCCAGGTTCAAAAGTATGACGAAAGAAGTGAAATCCATTCACCCTTTTGAGCACATTTATCGATCAAAATATTGACATGGAAAGAAACGGCCAATCCCCAAAATATGGCAGAAACAGAAACACGTATAAAACAGCTCTTTTTTGAACAGTGGATAGTATTCACAAGACTTATTACCTGTTCTCCAAACGCGCTTGTGGTTGAAACCAAGCGATAGTGACGACGATTTCGTAGCCTGCGAGTTCAAAAGATCAAATTGAATTTGCTTACAAGTAGTAGATAAAACACGGGAGAAACAGAGAGTGAAAATGCGTAGGTCTGAACCGTCCAATTCAGTGATGTGACCGACCCATCATATAATTCTGCGATGTAGGCATTAGCAAAGAATCAATGGTCACAACTATGAGGAAGCATTGCAGTACCTAACAGGGCTGGACCCTTAGAGTATCCATTTCCATCCGAATTTTGATTCCATAACGCGATTGTATAGTTACTAAGGCTCGTTTCCCATGATAAAGTCTGCTGGGTCCCGATCATCCATATAGGATTTTGAGTGGCCCCTGCACTCGGATTGAGAAACTGTCCTAAAAATGGCATTGATGAGGTTGCCAGCACCATATCAACAAGAACGAGCCAACGCAGAATTAAATGCATGAATCTTACGTGCCGAATGAAGATTCATAGCGTACAAGTATCATTTCAAAGAAAGAACACGTAGAATAGGATTTGGTTCTGCGTTACCCATACCATTCTATATATCACAGAGGAGCAAATGTGTGTGGGCTAGACCTTGCATACTTAAAATCTACTTAGATTGAGCCATGGGGGCTTTTCAATAGAAAAGGCAAGTATCGCAGGCATCATTGCGAGTATCAGCGGAATGGCACTACGGCAAATCTGTGGCATTTGCCTCAACCAAACTGTCGGGTCCTGCCCAAAGTCTATGAACTCTTGATTGGCGCGGATCGAATAATCACTAAGCGCGTACGACTTTTGCTCAAGAGCTATTGGGTGCAGACAACCCCAGTATATTGAATGCATGAAACTAGGAAAAGCCTATCAAGAATGACAAGACATAGAGCAGAGGGATTGGAAAAGAGCCGTATGTCTGCCTTTTATCCGGCAATGGCATCGCTGCGCCTATATGAACAATATGATTGGGCACCAAATGCGAAATCTAGAATATTTACGTAGAAACGTAAAAACTAAACGTTTCTTCATCCACCTGACATTTCGAGTAGATAAGAAGAGTCGAAGAAGGGTTTGAGGGTCTGGGCTGAGGTGGTGTGAAGCATGAGCAGAGGACGCGTAGGAAATTGCAAAGAGAAAAATATAGGTAATTTCCATGTCACAGCAAAGAGGAGAACCAGGAAAAACGGGAATAAAGCCATTTAGGAAGGTAGTAAAGCGTTAATTCCCTCCATACTCCACAAAGAGATATACCTATCACCAATAAAAAAGTTTCACAGTAATTAATCTAAAGTTCGAATGTCTGGTGATCACATGCATCTAGACTGTGACTGTGACTGTTAGTGGATACCGTTCGCTTCGCACGTGCCATGTTCTCGCTCCACTCTCCACATCTGCTCAGTTTTTGATATCGATGAGCTCCGTAACGGAGACATCTAACATCCAACATTAACAAGACATCATCCACCAAATTACAACTGTACATTCAGAGTTAGAAAATAAAGTTGATGATACCAATGATCTTGATCTAGGATTTTTTTTTCCATTCTCGCCTTCTAGTGTATGCCCACATATCTTACCTCTGTACTCACTGATCACCTATATATTCCCCTCAGGAGTATGTGCATCTTTGACCTTCATATATATATCAAATCCTCTATTCCGACAGGATTAAATTATGACTGCTTAGGCACCTCCCGAATGAAGTTTCGAATCCATGTGCATCCTCTTCTTATTGCTAGGAAGTCTTTACTTATATAAATACCCCGCACACCCACCCCTCCATAAAGAACCTATACCCAACTCTACCATTCATTACACGCACTCATGAATCTATCTTATCAAAGAAATTCAAAAAGTTTACAAGTGTAGCTTTATTTTGTTTTATTTTCAGATGTATTATCAAGTGTGAAGAGTTAGTTCAACGTTACCATCATCATAAAAATAAGTGACACAATCATCACGAGATGAATGACTTTTCCTTCGAAAAATTGGTGGATTTCGTTTTTTTTTCTGGTGCAAACAGATTCGCATACATACTAGTCAACTGTTCTTGTCGTATTGGTTCTGGCAGTTTGAAGACTCTATTATCTGCTGTGTTCCAATTTGGTTTGTTCATTCTACCTAGGTAGTCAATATTGATCTAAGTTGGTATCAACCCTTCTCTTTGTAAGAAGTCAATCTCAACATACTACTCAAAGGTATGTGATTTATTAGTCCCTACCTGCTTGCCTGACCGATATTGACAATACACGTTTTATTTACTCGTGGTGTGCGGTGAGTAAATTTTAGAATTCTTATGATATTAGGTCTAAAACCATTCAAGCCTCCACCCACCAGCATCCCCAACCGCACTATGTATTCCTGCCCTTAAAAAGAAATCTACCCATTCCTCCCTCTCCCACCACATATGCATATCAAACACCTCACTCACTCACTTCAACATCTCCTCATCCTTCCCACCCCTCTGAAACGGCCATCTCCACTCCCGAATATGCACCGGATCAATCCCATTCTCAAAGGCATCCCTCCTAGCCAAAATCTGCATATTCAGCAATTTCTCGCGAACATGCGCTCCTTTATTACTCAGTCTCTCCACCCTATCCACAGCATCCATCGCCAAACTATATCGATCCGTTTGATTCCTAATTGCCAACTCTAAGGGCGTGTCAATATTACCCTTTTCCTTGTATCCGCGAACGTGGATGTTGACTTGACCGGGACGTTTGTAGGTGAGTCGATGAACGAGCCATGGGTAGGAGTGGAAATTAAAGATGATGGGTTTGTTGGATGTGAAGATGGAGATCCAATCTTTATCTGTGATACCGTGGGGATGATCACCGTGATGGATTAATTTGAATAGATCGACCACGTTTACGAAACGGATCTTTAGATCTGGAATGAGTTCTCGAAGGAGAGCCGTAGCAGCTAGAGACTCGTGCGTGGGTACGTCTCCACAAGCAGCCATGATAACATCTGGTTCGAAACCTTGGTCGTTAGAGGCCCAGTCCCAGATTCCCAGTCCCTTTTCACAATGAGTGAGTGCATCTTCCATATTTAGGAATTGGAGATGATCTTGTTTATCAGCGACGATAACGTTGACGTAATTTGTGCTGCGAAGACAATGATCCATACAGGAGAGAAGACAATTTCCATCGGGTGGGAGGTAGATTCGTACGACTTCAGGACTCTTGTTGGCGACGACGTCGAGGAATCCAGGATCTTGATGGGTGAAACCATTGTGGTCCTAGAAGATGATAATCAGTAAACGTTTATGTGGGAAAGATCAAGAGAAAATTAGACTTTAGATCAAGACTGTTGAGGTAAAAAAAAAAAAAAAAAAGACCATGATTCCTTACCTGTCTCCAAACAGTGGCTGTCAAAAGAATATTAAGAGATGCCATCTTTACTCGCCATTCGACTTCATTACACTTCTCAATCCATTTACAATGTTGATTAACCATAGAATCAATAACGTGAATGAAAGGTTCATAGCTGTTGAGTAAACCATGACGACCAGATAAAATATATCCCTCCAACCAACCCTCAACAGTATGCTCACTAAGCATTTCCATGACACGACCTTCGGTAGCAAGATTACCACCATCAGCATCTTCTTCGAAATTCTCCCCCATCCAAACCTTTTTACCAGCCTTGTAAACTTCGCCAAGTTTATTTGACTCGGTTTCATCAGGTCCAAATAATCGGAAAGTGTGCATGTTTTTGGCAACCACATCGCGTAAGAGCTTGGCCATGTTAGACATACTAGGAAGAAGACTAACACCAGCTTCAATATTCTCAAATGCATATTTGCGGAAATCGGGCATGTCGAGTGGTTTCCTGAGGATTCCACCATTACCAACAGGGTTGGCACTCATACGAGCATTGCCAACAGGAGCCAATTCCTTTAGCTCAGGCAGTAGTTTACCCTCCTTGTCAAAAACCTCTTCAGGCTTGTAGCTGCGCATCCAAGCCTCCAAAACTTTCAAGTGTTCTGGATTACTTGCAACATTTGGCAGTGGGATTTGATGTGCACGCCAAAAACCTTCAAGTAACTTGTCATCAACCTTCCTTGGACCTGTCCATCCTTTAGGACTACGAAGGACAATCATGGGCCAGCGTGGTCGAATTGCTTTACCAGATTCACGTGCTTCCTTCTGGTATTTACGAATCTCGACGACACAGCGTTCCAGAGTTCCTGCCATAGCTTGGTGCATACTCTCGAGGTCACTTCCCTCGACAAAGTATGGTTTCCATCCATAACCGATGAATAAAGATTCCAGTTCCTTGTGACTGATCCGAGCAAGGATCGTAGGATTATTGATCTTGTAACCGTTGAGATGCAAAACCGGTAAAACAGCACCATCTGTAATCGGATTGAGGAATTTAGTTGAATGCCAGGCTGTAGCCAAAGGTCCCGTTTCCGCCTCTCCATCACCAACCATCGTCAATGTGATTAAGTTGGGATTATCAAAGACAGTGCCGAAAGCATGTGAGATGGAGTATCCCAGCTCTCCTCCCTCATGAATACTACCCGGTGTTTCTGGAGTAGCATGACTACCAATTCCACCCGGAAAAGAGAACTGCTTAAAGAATTTTCGCATTCCTTCCTCATCCTCCGCCTTATCAGGATAAACTTCTGAGTAAGTACCCTCCAAATACGCATTTGAAAGTACAGCAGGAGCCCCATGACCTGGACCAGAGACGAATAACGCATTCAAGTCGTACTTTTTGATGAGGCGATTCATATGAAGATATGTGAAAGCTTGACCAGCATCTGAGCCCCAATGTCCTAGAAGTCGAGCCTTCAGATGTTCTTTCTTGAGCGGTTCTTTGAGTAGGGCATTCTCTCGGAGGTAAAGCATGCCGAGGCATAGATACATACAAGCACTGAAGTAAGCGTCATATTTCTTAACTTCCTCAGCTGAAAGCGGCTTTTCGTCGACGGTGGTGCGAGCAACTCCATACGCAGAAATGCTCTCCACTTCGACCTCGCCAGAAGCTGGAGCCATGTTAAATGATGTGAAGTAATTGGGGATACTCTCAGTTAATTGAATGGGTGCTGAGTGCACTATTGAGAAGTGTAGATTGTATTTGGTGTTCACCCTCAACAAATTGAAAGTTGCAAAGATGAAGTTGAGGTGTTTGTAAAGTATTGAAATTGAAGAAGGAAGACAGAAGGAATGGAAGAGAAATATGCAACTATGTAATGATTTTAATTCACTGTAAGTATCCAAAAGTCAAAGAGGTATTCATTCCAAGCACCCCTCCAATGCAAGCATGGCAAGCACGGCTGGTAAAAAGTGGCCTGATAAATCTTACCAGAAATCTTTTCCTACCTAGTAAACTTATCAACCTACCTAGTAATCGACTATAATTTCCACATCAAAGTACCTATATTCACCCTGTATGGTGCCTAGCACACCTAGATCTCGAGGTCAAAAAGCCATAGAACCAACCACGGCGTATCAACCGTTACATTGCATAAGACATGGTGCGATAAAAGAATCTTCCCATGAACCGTTACAAGTTACAACCTGCCTGCACCGGAGATCCCATGCATGATGCGCTAGATATCTCCTCAGTACCTACTTACTGGTGCTTCTCATCTGCAGTAACACACACGCCGAACACCGACACGTTTTCTGCCCCTCGCGCCTTGTGCATCCGATTCCGATACCATGAAAATGGGCACATATTCTGATATTCCGATACCTACCCTTCTTTGTTTGCATCATGCATAAGAGGGGCAAAAACAAAATTTTACACAGCGTTGGCGGGCTTTCTGTGCCACCACCACCTGAGAATAGAATGGGCTGACAATGACGCACCACGTGTTTAAGCAACAACAGCATGTTGAGCTATTTCTCTTCACTTAAGTTCAATTATTAGTTCACCACCGTATTTCATTCCCATTTCATTCCCATCGCATCCTCGCCAATAAACTGCCATAAAAAAATCAGAATTGCCTAGACCCTTGGACTTTTTTATATGGTCTGATAATGTGGCTAGATGTTCGTTCGTGTGCGTCTTACATTATTTTCACAAATTGATAGACAGGGTGGCTTTTTACCGTTTGCATGCTTGCTTGGTTTCATGCGGGCGGGGTAGTGTAGTTCCACTGCTCCGCCGCTTTTCCAACTGCCACGAGAATTTACATGTGATTAGTCATCAACTGATTACCATGTCCGGACCGGTGGATGAACAGTGTAAGAAAATCACAGTTATGTAGTGTATACCATAGGTAACCGATCAAGCCAAAAGCAAAAATAAATTAACTATAGTAATTTCGCCAATCAATGAAACTATGCTAGAACAGATCATACCTAGTAAAACTAACAAATAACTTGCTCAATGTGTACCGCCCGCAAAAAAGATAAAATCAAGTCTTCCAATGTCTCCTTCTCCTCTACAACACCAGCGCGATTACATTAACATTACGAAATTCCACACACATCTTCCAATCCAATACCAATAATGACTTCCATCTCCACTCAAGCAACACCCTCTCTCTTATCGACCGACACCTTCTTCTCTTCCTGAAACAACCCATTCCCATCCCCACTCCCACTCCCATTTCCATCCACATTCCCGTCCCCACTTCCACTTCCACTTCCATTCCCATTCCCAATACCCCTCCATTCCTTCCCATACCCCTCTACCGGCGCCCAATGAGTACTCTTCCACGCCTTACCTACACTCTCATACAACTCATCGACCTCCTCCAAACTAAGACCCTTAGTCTCATAGATCAAAAAGTAAACAAACACCGCACACAACAAACAGCAACCACCCCACACAAAGAATATCTTAGCCTGTAGATTTGCGTTCCCAGGTCCAGGGTTAACCAAATAAGGAGTAGAATAGGCAATGGCCCAATTCAAGAGCCAGTTCGAGGCCGTGGTGATGGAGATACCTTTTGCGCGGACAGGGAGGGGGAATATTTCTCCGGGGATTATCCAGCCGATGGGGCCCCAGCTGCTGGCGAAGAAAAATATGTAGATGCATACGAATGCCACGAGGGCCTTTTGGGCGGCTAGGTTGTCGCCGTTTGGGAAGGCGGTGCCTACGCTAGCGACTATCATTTGACAGACGAACATTCCGATGGCACCGAAGAGGAGAAGACGGCGTCGCCCCCATGCTTCGACAAGGTAGAGACCGGGCAATGTTGAAATGACGTTGACTGATGAAGTTATCATACTTATGACGAAAGGTTCTTTAATTCCGGAAGCTGCGAAGAATGAAGTACCGTAGTAGAAGATAAAGTTAATACCAGTTAGTTGCTGGAGAGCTTGAAGACAACAACCTGTCAGAAGTCTGTAGGATGTTAGCATATGATTGAGAGATTTGGTGTTGAGGATGCAAAGAGTACTTTTTACCCAAAGTACGCCATTTTAAAAATTGTAGATATGACGATCCCTTGGCCAAAGTTTGTTCATGGAGATAGTTGGACTCGATTTCCTGAAGTTCGGCAATCAAGTGAGGATCGTTCACATCTAATCTTCGAAGTCGACCAAGCGACTCCGCCGCTTTATTGTGTCTACCACGTTTAATCAGATAACGAGGGGTTTCAGGGAGAAATAAAAGCCCTGTTCCTAAAATAAGAACCCAAGAAAATTCTGCATGAATTTAGTTAGCTTTCGGACTCTATCCTAATTAACAAGAGGGTGTGAAGTGCTAACTTACGAACAGCTATTGGGATTCTGTAAGATCCAGTATTATCGAGATCTTTAGTAGCGTTATCAACAACTGCTGCAAGTAACAATCCAATTGTTATCGCAAGTTGATAGGCACCGACTAGTTTCTTTTAGCAATGAACAAAGACAAAGAAAGAAATCATATTATGTAACGGTTCCTTACCAATAGCTCCTCTAATCCATTTCGGTGCGGTTTCTAGTCACAGTTAGATCACGCACATAACTTTGTATAGTCAACACAACTATAGTCAACACAACTTATCAGACTGATACAAAGGCACTGCAATATATTAGCACATATCAAATCACATCACGTACAGAATTCACATACCTAACATGGAAACCATGCCAACCCCAAAACCAGCAAAGAATCTCCCTGCCACAAACAATGGGATATCAACCGAAGCCATCTGCAAAATGACGCCAAAGGAAAACACGCATAGACTAATATAAAGTGAAATGCGCCTTCCTGTCCAATCGGCTGCTGGGGCCGCGAAAAGAGCTCCAAAAAGTGTTCCTGCTGATAGAATTGATACAATCAAGGATGATTGACCAGAATTAATGCCTAGTTGACCAGTTTTGGGGTCGATATATCCTGTAGAGAAAGTATCTAACCAGTAGCGCATGGTTATAATGCCACCGATTGTTCCAGTGTCATATCTATTTGGCTGATGGTTAGTCCGAGTTTAAGTTTCATGGCTATATGACCCAGCAGATACATACCCGAAAAGTACTCCCCCGAATGCAACAAATAAGCCCACAAGGATAGCAATAAACGAAGAGCCTGCGGCTCCCTCCGGCTTCTTAATCCCAATTCCTTTGAGACTCATCTTGTCTCTTTTGGCTTTCGAAAACATTATGTCGTAGTGTCTTGAAGTATTTAGAGTATCCCATGTAAGTTGGAAAGTTCGAACAAAAAAAATAACTGGGGAAATACATTCCGTAGTTTATGTAAACTACTGAAGGCAAAGAAGTTTCTATCGACAAGAAGCATGACTTTAAGATGCTATACAAAATGCGCGTGACAGATAAAACGGACGTCATTATTATCCCGAAATCTGATGAATTGGGCATCGAATGTGCATGCGGATATAAGTCCGTCGGTTCATGAGAGAGGTCGGTCAATCATTCATGCTAGAATCTTCGCTTCCGGTGTCGATAGTAATGTGTCTCTCCTATCTAGAGTGAATCCCGAGACATATTTTGTCTTTTTGAGACTTGGACGAATCAATTCCATCATGGTTGCAATGTATTAATTGTGTGGCTCATTGAAACCAGCTATGAAATTGACGCTTATGGCATTCTCATCAACATATGAAAGTTACCGAGGATAATGTTGAGAGAACAAAGAGCGGAAACAGCTATCAAACGTCATTCGTTGTGATAGCCGAGAATAGACCGGTATTTAAGTTCCGAAAAGAATGCCCCAAGAACAGCGGACTTGGTTCCGAAAACATACCCAACACACAAGGTAATCAATTTCTGGAAATATTTTGAAGTTTTAAGAGAAATCATACACTCAATAAGTTTTCTCTTTGTTCGAATTTTGAACTGTCCAATCATAATGAATTTATTTGACTACCGCTATGCATATGCTCCGTGACGCTGGCAATGATTGACGGATTCAGACCTCGTTCACAACATTTTTACATACCTGCAATCGGCACTTATCAAAGCGAGCAAGATTCAATCCCAATTACAAGCGCAATAATTTGACCCACTTGGAACATTATTTCGAGTTGGCCTCGAGAAGGAAAAAGGAGAATAAGCGAAACATCATGAAGTGTAAATTGATCTTGTTGAAAGGCAAAGCCAAATATTTTCACTATACCCACCGTGCGCCAAAAACTTATGAATATGATTGGTTACACAATCCCCCTTTATCCTTCTCAAAATCGTTTAAAGCATAGCAGCATTAATCATATTTCTGCGAATCGTCTTTCAAACTCCTGGTATAACTTGGGACTTATCTCATCGCTGCTGTTCCCTTCAACTTCCCACAAGACTCCTTTTCGCGCGTAATGTTCAAGTAATGGTTCACTTGTCTCCTCAAATTTCTTGAGTCGTGTCTTCCATGTTTCTTCGCAATCGTCGGGCCGCTTCGTCAGCTTTTCTCCGGTGATATCATCAAGCCCAGGAACCTTGGGTGCATGGAATGTAGTATTATAGACTCGACCAGATGGTGCATGAACCCAACGGCCCGCAATGCGCTCCAGTATAACAGAGGCTGGAGTTTTGAGGGAGACGACGAGGTTTATTGGAATCAGTGAATCGAGTTGAAAAGCTTGCCCGGCTGTGCGGGGAAAACCATCAAGTATGAAAGAAGCGGAGGGTTCGTTGGATGTTTGGGGTGGTGACAAAGCTTCTGCCAGTGATGGTTGTTCGACATATAAGTCTGTGTCGAATTCAGAGGAGGACGCAAATGCAGCGCTAGACGCTAGCGTCATCGACGGCGTAGACGAGGGAAATAACCAACCACGAGTTTTCAATTCGTGAAGGATAAGTCGAAGTATCATGGCATCGGGCACGAGGGAGCCCGACTGTATAGTGCTCTCTGCTTTAATCCCTGTAGGTCTGTGTGAGTCGCATTCTATCTGAAAGAGTAAGTATATATATACCTAGCGGAGTCCGATTTTTAACATTGTCTCTCAGTAAATCTCCGGAACTGATAGCAGAAAGTTGTGGGAATCGTTGTAGAAGTCGTTCTGCCTGTGTGCCCTTTCCTACTCCGGGAGCGCCGACTAATATTATTCTTGCTGCTTTTTTAAGGCGCATTGTGTCGCATATACTGATAGAAGTCGTAAAAGATGGTGGGTGGAAGACGTTTATGCCAGATTCTTGTGCGCGGATGTCCGTAAGTGATTCACCAAAGATACTTTGGCACCTCTATTTGTACTAAAAGGAGACGCCGTACGATGCCGTCACCTCCGAATTCTAAGAAAAAACACAACTCTAATAATGACTGTTAATCTACAATAAGACTCTTGATATGACAATAAATAGGGAAATGCGAGGATGAAGGACGGGATGATTGCAACAAATAATGGAGAAATGGAGGATTAGGCGGGCTTGGATGTAGAAATAGGGAATAGGTTACCAAGGTATGGGAATTGTCACAAGCAAAAGCAAAGCAAAGCAAACGGCGAGCGGGGAAATCGATAACATTTCAAAGCTTCTAAAATTTCTGGTGTGATGTGGTCATAGCGTCCCCGGATTTTGTTGAGGAATGAGCGAAGTGAAGGCTGCCTAGTGGGGTACCAACGCAAGGGCTCAGAAAGGGATCATCCCGGTTATCCGAAGAGTGATTAATAATAATAATAATAATAAGCACTGTGTCGGCCGAAAACCATCAAACATAAGATAGATATCATCCACGGGTGATCTATCTACCTACCTAATAATGCACTCGAGTACTTAACACCGAGAATTCCTGATCACCATCAACATCACATCACATCAGACCACAACATATATATTTCCCATATGTACCTGGTCCTGGTGATCTCACGGTCAAACCCCATACATATCATTAATCCTAATCCCTCCCAACCTCAAGCAAGTATCCAATAGATATCCAACTAGCCGGTAAAAAGCGGTATATGATTACAATGTTCCCTTTTTCCCCTCTCTCCCCCAATCCCCAATACCAGAAGATCAATAAACGATTCATCCATCCATCCATTCCGCTAGCTACTACCAATAAACCATTAAAACAATTCAAACACACGAAGCGCAAATCCATAAGTCCCGTCTATCTGCATCACAACCAAAGGCGAGAGTGAGAGCAATTTGAGCAAGTTGAGCAAGATAATAACAAAAATCTTATCTCATCTCATCTAATCTAGTCTAATCATCCATCAATCCATCAACCCTACCTACTATTCCCAGCTTGCACAACCCAAGCTCCCAAGCTCAATAATCTTCTAACTAGGTAGCTCTGGATATTGAAAACTCCATATTCCCTCCTCAAAGCAAGCAAGACCTAAAAGTCCAATCTACTTTTCACCATTTATCAAGTATCTCATCCCATCCATTTACTCCCTTGAACTTAAACTTAAACTTGAACCTAAAAGTCCATTTCTAATATTTCAGATTTGATAAAACAACTTATTTACCTAGGTATACATGTGTAAATCATATTTTGAAAGCCCCTCCCCATTCATAACTATCATATTCCCTTTCCTTTCATCCTATTCCACCTCTCCCCCCTGCCGAGCCTAAAATCAGATGCCGAGTTTTTTTTATTGATAACCTCGGATAAAATAATAAAATAACGAGAAAAATACAAGAAAATAAGAATATGATACATCAAGAAAAGTAGTAAATACTTTTCGCCAAAGAAAACGTAGGGTATTGCTCGCTCGCCTCATCGTTCATCCGTAAGTCTTCGTATCGTCGCAAGTTTCACTGCCTAACCATTCAACCCCCTCATCTCCTCATTTCCAACAGTTCCAAGTCTCTTCCCACTATCCACCTTCTGACCCTTACTCGCCGTTCTCTTCTTCAGCCACAGAACCAAATCATACTCTCTCTTTCTCTTCGCCGCCTCATCACCCATATCATCTTCATACCAAAGAGCCGGAACCAACAATCTGTATGGCATAGTAATACCAGCCGGATCCTTTTGATTGACCTCAACATTCAAGCAAATATCCAAGCCGCCCTCCAAGTTAACATTTTGATAATTGCCCTTTCGAATCTGTTTTTCGGACAGACCCGTGGGAGTTCGATGGAATCGGTCTTGTGTAAAGACAGGTGCTTGCGGCTGACTTCCCGCAATTGAGGTTGCAGCTTGTTTTTCCGAGTAGGTAGCCGCCCGAGGAAGTTCATTTTCAAACGCATAGTATTCGTCGCTAGCTCCTCCACGGATAGTTGTTGGTCCGTCAAGATTGGGGTTGCGAGATAGATCGTCTTCACTTTCTGACCCGTATCCATTGATACCACCAGAGTCTCTACGTTTACTGCTTCGCCGAAACAGCCCAGTGAAATCCTTTCGTGTTAATGACAGTGTTCTTTTCAAGCTTCCTGGTCTAGCAGACTCGGTAGAAGTTTGACGCGATAAGGACAATGATGGACGTGATAATGATGGACGTCTATTGAAGAACGAAGCATTTGATAAAGGCGGTGCATCTGGACGATATGAAGGACCTTTGGTAGTGAAGCGACGCAGTAGACCGCGCTTAGGTGGTGGTGAAATACTGCCATCATAAGAAGTAGTGGCATCCGGTGAATTAGAGCGAGTTAGAGAGGGATTGTACTCCCGTATCGAGCACCAATTCCTGCGGTTGAGTAGGCGTTTATTGTTCCTAGGTTTACCATCCACATCATGAGTGAATATTGGGATCATGTCTTCGTCGGTATCTGCATCAAAATGGTGTACTTTGTTGCGTTTGTTTAAAATATCAGCAAGCATGTCCGGCGGTGGTGCGTTGACAATGGCAGAAGATATGATATTTGTCATATAGCGGAAATCTTGGTCCTTGGGAATCTTCAATTTGGGGTTTGAGTAGAATTGGCCGATAGCACCGAGATGGACATCACCACTGTTCATGTTAGCTTTATGTAGGAGTATTTCGGAAAGGTCATACATACCCTAAAATGGTGATTCGTACAGACTTTTCGGCTGCTAAGTCTTGTAATTCTTGAATCAACCAATTTCGCTCCTCCTTATGGTGAGCCGCTGTCCAGTGATCGTCGAGATCATCAAGAATTTCAACCCCACCATCAAAGTGATTCATAAGACTTTTTCCTAATAAGCCAGCACGGCCCATGGCCTTTAATGGGGTCATAACTTTCGATGTAAGGCTAAACATTTATCAGAAATGCAAACAGGCCATTGGATTTTACTTACAGAGTCTCAAGCCAGACCATCCTTGGATAAGCAATTGGTACCCCAAGTAATACAATAAGATGCTTCGTCTGGCCCTTAATAATGTCCCTTTCAAGTCGATCAAAAATCTTCGTATATGTTTCAGCAGTAACAATTTCGTCATTCATTCGTTCTGTGCGACAATCGATGCCAAGGAATGAGATGCCACGACCCAGCCCAGTGAAAATGCTTCGGCTTAATTCAGGGATATATGGTCCTGGTTGTGCTCCCAAAATCCAACTAGGCTCGGTTTCTTCCCCTTCATCAATGCTACTTTGTTGTTGGAAGAGCATATAGTATTTGAACGCGACGCTTCCCAAACCAGACATAACCGGGCACTTCATGTAAGTATCAGGATATGAACCGAATCCATCTATAATGTCATGATCATCAAAAATGTTGATCATAGGAATCTGCGAATTGGCTACTCCGAAGAGACCTTGTGAGAACCACATGCAGTAGCTGTCTAAATAGAAATGCTCCATCTCGTCTTGCATCTCTGGTGTGAATGGTAACGCCTCTTTACGTAGAGGGTTCTTGATATTGAGCCATTCCTTGAAGAGGGTAGTCCGTTCCATCATATGATCATTGTAAAGCTGATCACCACCCCCGAGCATAACATGAAATGGTTGTGTTTGATGAGTGTTCAAAACATCTCTCCACAAAGGGTCGGGTCCACTAAAGTCATTTGGATGGACGTCCATGGTGAACCCATTGCAGCTATGGAACATTATGTTCATTGATTGTCCACGAGCAGGAACCCAGAAACCAGTAGCTGGACCACGGTTGATTCGATAAGCAATCCTCTGTTGCTTGCTACGTAACTCGACTTCAATATTGAATCTCCAGAATGTAAATCCTTTGTCTGAATACAGACGGAATCCTCGCACTTCTTTAAACTTTCCAGCTTTTTCGCCATCATATTGGTCTTTTCTCCGCCTCCGTTTCGGATCCGTATTTCCGTCGAGATGACTTCGACGAGATTCGAAAAGTCCCTCGTTCGTTTCAATCCGTGAAAGATCTTTCCCTTCTGGGAGTTGTTCAACAGGACGAGTGTAGAGCGTTCTACCATCTCGCCCAATTTTGGTCAGTCCTGCAATTGGGTCAATATACTCCGGAGCAAGTTCTTCGCCATCAACTTGTGCAGGTGGTGGTGGCAATAGATCAACAGGCTGCAAAAAGAGTCGTAGCGTTGGAGCAAGTTCGTAGGATGAACTTGAGTCTTGAGTCACAATCATGACACTACCCCTCCAGACTTCGCGTTCTGGTAAAGGGCCACGAGCCACCGAACGGCTTGACGTCTTTTCGGTACGTATACCATAGTAACGTAAGAGGGGTCCGCACTTTAGTAATAGCGGTGGTTTGAATCTAGTAGGAGCTATATCAGGACGCACGCGGATGACCCGCATTGCACACGTTAGCGAGTGATCTGGACCACGAGGAGGAGTAGAAGGGGATTTCTGTCTGTCAGATGATTGGTTTGCAGCAACAACTTTGCTCGCATAACCAGATTTGTGTTTCGGTCGGAACTTGACAAATCCGGTAGAGCTGCGGGTTTTGATTGATAGATGCTGCTCGGCAATACATCCAGCACAGTCTTCCATGGAACCAAAAGCTAAAGGTACTATACCGTTATTGTCATCATATTCTCCATCGTAAGCTTCGGCCTTCTTTTGTCGAACGGAGCGTTTCCTGCTAAGACCGGCCTCCCGCCAAGCCGGCTTGATACCGCTTTCATTTTCGCTTGCGTCTTCTTCGAGGTCCAACAGATTTCCCGCCAACAAAGCCTTTTCGCCCTTCTTCCACTCTGTAAGGGGTTTCGGAGGAGCGTATAATCCATGTCCTGGTTCATAGTTATGAGGGCGATGGAACATTTCACCAAAACGATGACGATGCTCTTCGTGATCATTGGAACCATTACCAGTTATGGGTGGGCCCGCGTCTCTTGAAGAAGCAGAGATTGCTTCGCGATTATATTTGGCAGATGACGAATGCTTCAATGATTGGTTCTGTCCAGTCACTTGCTCCATCTTTCGTTTTGAACCTCGCCTAAAAGGAATGGCCTTCATATCTTCTTCGGAGTCGTACGAAGGCTCGTCACGCAACTCACGCCCACGAGCCGGTAAAGTTCTCGATGCGGTAGGCGCAGTTGCTCTCCGAGGAGGTGCCGACGGAATCTGGCGACCACTAGTAAGACTAGGTAGCACGTCGCCCTCAGGATGTATTTCAGTCTCACTTTGACGTCGGCTCCAATGGTCCGGTGGTGGATCTTTTCTCAATTTATTGCTTTTGCTTCGGTAAAGAGAATTAGTGGCTTCGGTTGCAGCTACAGCTCCACCGGCAGTTGCTGATCCGGACTTCTGTTTTTTACTGTAGGTGCGTTTTGGGATTGAACTACTCTCAGTCTCACGATTGAGAATAGGACTCCTTTCCTGTGCAATCAAACCAATCGGCGGTGACGCATGCGTGATCGGTATCCTCTCCAGTACAGATCCACTGCGTGATAGACTTTCCTTTGATTTAATACTTGATGTCCGCGGAAGGCTTTCTGTGACCAGCCGCCTTTCTGGCAGCAAACCTCCTTCCGGTGCTTTGGCAACAGGACGATTTCTGAAGCGAACTGTGTTTTGAGTAGGCTGCTCAATGGGACGTGTAGGCTTTCCTTCTTTTTCTTTGATCAGTCGCTCGGCTTCTTCTACACGTGCTCGTTTTTCCTCTTTCGTGATGCTATCAAGAGTCAATTCCAACCTCTGTAGAGGAGACCTGTCTGATGCCCACTCTTTCCGTCGTTGAACTTCTGTCGCCTCGGAATAAGAAGGCCTCCTCGTTTCTGAAACAGCCGTCTGACTGCGTCTAGGGGGATCCTTAGTCGGCGTGTGACCTCCTCTGGGTGAGGAGCCTTTGCCGTCACCTCTACCAGCTGTACCAGATCTTTGCACGGTGTCTCTTTCACTTATAGGAGAAGATGTGCCAAGAACTTCCCAGTTTGTTTCCTGAGATTTTATAGTATCGGCACCGTTTGACTTGCGAGCCGCCCTCGATCTCGCCGGAGCTTGATCTGTGAATAATGCTCCACTAGCAACGGATTCTGTATAAGTACCTGATGGGTGTCCTCGAGATATATCTGCAACAATTGGAGGTGAAACAGCGGGATTGAATTCGTACAAGTTATCCTTGTTACGACTTTGTTCGCGCTTTCTCCTCTTCTCCAAGTAGTCGTTATCGTAGGACGTGCTAGAGGTATTGTATGGGAATGAGGGTGGTCGAGGGGCTAAACCATCTCCGCGAAAGCTCGAAGCAACTGGAGAAGTAAATGGACTTTGTGTAGAAATCGTAGGAGCTTCCGTTTGTGTCGACTCTCGAATGCGTCTTGGATCTTGAGAGGAGAGTCGGTCCATTTTTGTATCGACAGACAGACTGCTCTTTCTCGAATTTGGATCTGCAGCAGAGCCAATTGAGCCTTGCCTTGAGACTTTTGGAGGAGGCAGTTGCCCCCAATATGGTGCTGCCATTTTTTTTTTAAGATGGTGACGAGTACCTCTTCTTTCCAAATCTAGACAAGCCGGTGTGAAAATGAAGTTTAAAGATTTCTAAAGATGGGAAGGTAAATATTTCTCTGATTTTAATAATTCATACCAAAAGCACCAAAATGGTATTCAACGGCAGGCTTTGTTGGTCGAACGTTGGAGTTGTGAGCTGTTATTTTTATTTCACTACCGTCATCAATATTTTCCCAACTCGAGGTTTGCGCCGAGCGGATCAGTGGAGCAACGACTTTGGAGCTCACTCGAGTTGAGATAACATGATTAGCGTGCGATGCGGATGGATAGCAAAGGTAAGAGAATATGCAAACTACAAGATCTGATAAAATAGAGATTGACTCGGTGGTGAGAAATCGTGGAGGCTGGGTGTCACAACATTCACTCACCTTCGGCCTCTTTTTGCTCTATCAATTATTATCTTGTCCTTTTTCTTTTCATGGCAAAGTGAACCAAAAGCCTTGGAAATCCCGGCATTAGCGGTAAAGGCTTATACAGTCTGGGCTTGCTGCTTTGAAGACGACCAGGTTGGCACAGATCGGATGGATAACACGAAGACACGGAGACTGATGAGTTCATCAGGTTTTCGCGATCGAGGGTTTGACAGCAGGCAGTGATACTGTAAGGGTAATTAAGGTACGTTCGGGCATTGGGGCAAGTTTGAGTTGTGAATGGCTCTTGTCGAAAAGCGGCATCGAGAAATTGGAGGGAGTAGTACGTAGTACTGTGGATGGATGTTTTGTGGAATGAGGCTACTGTAAGGAAGAATGATTGCTGATTGCAGTATGTACCTACCAACCTATCTAATGCATCAACGATATGGATGGATGTGATGTTAAAGATAGCAGAAGTGGTGTAATACCTAGGTGCCTATGTGATGATGGGAAAGCTTTGAGCTTTGAGCTTTGAGCTTTGAGCTTTGAAGACTTTATACCGCGTAATAAGATCATGATAATGAGGGGTGAAACTGATGAATGCGCAACATTTAACCCCCACATGTACGGAGGAGATGGTTCGGTTGTTCCACCCAAGAGTACAGTAATACGTACTATATTAAGGTACTACAGTAGATATTGTTATCACTTGTCTTGACTCTGGTACCTGATAAATCGCTCCATATTTACTTCTTTCTGCTCAGGTTTGGTGGGAATTGGGTTCAGTAGCGGTACTTTGTGTAGTATACATATATGATCCATTTACTATACACATACAATACACATATCTATATACTTATATATAGATGGACCGTTAGTGAATGGATTGAAGTATTTTGCACTTCCCCAACTTTTGTATACAATAAACCCATACCCTTTTGGTAAAGTTCCGTTGGGTAAATATATCTAGATCTATCATCACCTCTAACCTTTGAGTCCTAGTAATCATACTTTCTGCTTGTTGGGTTCCCTCTGCGAGATATATGGATTCAGGGACCTAGCACATTCTTGGCCAGAACCTCCCGCCGGTACCAGTTTATGCGTCAATCCCGATAAGCCAGCAGAACATTGTATCGGATAATGATTGTCCGTCCAAGAAAGGAAACTATTGAAGCTTGGAAAAATCGTTGAAACCTTCTTAAAGCTTTAGGTGTCCTCCTATTATGAACAGAAATCCGTGCAAAAGTACGATAATCGTAAACACTTTGACAGTTTGAATAGAGTTGATTTGCTTTCTGTTTCTGTGGCTATTTCCTCTCCCTTCCTCAGGGACTAAGTATAAAGCTACCCTGAGCTCGGTACTAAATAAACCTCGAGATAACCAACCTAGAACAACTTCGAAACATCGAAAGAAGTCAAAACGTTAAGGGTCGCCGCCATCAGATCAAACACAAAATCATCTGACCATTGCCCTTAATACCATAACTTCCTGACTACGAAACATCTTATAGTATTTCTCTTCTTGTCATCATTCCAGCATACGAACAACTTCAAATTCATCGCATCCTTTGTGGCGGAGACGAATCGTTGCTTACTCGCATATACTGGTACAGTAGTACACAACGCTTGATACCACATACGTAGTCAACAAGGCAACCTCCTGGCCTGGACTTGCGAGTCCTTTGTCTCTCAATTGAACACTTTATTCTTAAGCAACCAATAATTTTATTCACATTGCTACTCGGGGATTGAGAAAAACAAAACACCATCAATGCGAGACTGTTAAGAGTTAAGATATCCCGTTTCGATCATCATAACTCTTAGAGTGCGAAGGAATCAGGCCATCGCCTCAGTCACCAAACTTGCGACGTATTCTATACGACATGAAACTACACTCACTCATCGGCCTGCTTGGTCTCGGGGTTCTTGCAAATGCTGTAAATCTGCGCCCACGAAATTACGATGCCCACGATTACTATGTCTTACATCTCGACTCGACCGCCGACCCAGTACAGGTAGCAGAAAGGTTAGGCGTAAGTCATGATGGCCAGCTTGGAGAGTTGGAAGACCATCATGTCTTCTCCGCACATAAACAAGATGAAGATGTTGTACATACAGCCCTGAAGCAGCGAAAGATACGGAAGCGGTCGCTGGGCGACTTTGATATTCTGGATACCGTGAAGTATGCACAAAAGCAAAGGTTGAAGGCTAAAATGGAGAAGAGAGGCTTGATGCGGCCAGCGCCTGAAGGTTATGAAATCGACAAACGACAAGATGCCGCAATACCTGTCGATTCTGCGCTCGCAAAACAAAAGGCGGTTCAACAAGCCTTGGGAATTCAAGATCCAATATTCAAAGATCAATGGCATCTGTACAATCCCGTACAAGTCGGGCACGATGTTAATGTGACCGATGTATGGATGCAGAACATCACTGGAATTGGCTCAATTGTCGCTATCGTGGATGATGGATTAGACATGTACAGCAATGATTTGAAGGCCAATTACTACGCTGAAGGTTCCTACGATTTCAACGAGAACACTTTAGAGCCAAAACCACGATTATCTGATGATAATCACGGCACACGATGTGCTGGTGAAGTTTCGGCTGTCAAGAACGACGTCTGTGGTGTTGGAGTCGCATATGATTCGAAGATTGCTGGAATTCGTATTTTGTCCAAGATGATTACAGATGCCGATGAAGCCGTCGCCATGAATTACGCATTCCAGCATAATCAGATCTACTCTTGCTCATGGGGTCCTCCTGATGATGGAAGATCGATGGACGCTCCGGGCATACTTATCAAGAGGGCTATGGTAAATGCGGTTCAAAAGGGACGTGGTGGATTGGGTTCCATCTATGTGTTCGCATCCGGGAATGGCGCCGCCAACGAAGACAACTGCAACTTTGATGGCTATACGAATAGTATCTACAGTATCACGGTTGGAGCAATTGACAGAAAGGGCCTGCATCCATATTATTCTGAGAAGTGCTCTGCTCAACTTGTCGTCACATATAGTAGTGGGAGTGGAGATTCCATTGTAAGTTTCACTCCTAATCTAGGTACTGCAGAGACTAACTAGGTTATAGCACACGACTGATGTTGGTACCAACGCTTGTTCTTCTTTACATGGCGGTACTTCTGCTGCCGCACCTCTCGCGGCAGGAATATTTTCTTTAGTCTTACAAATACGACCAGATTTAAGCTGGAGAGATATGCAATACCTTGTTATGTCAACCGCTTTGCCAGTTGATCTTGAAACGGGCGAATGGCAAACAACAACAATTGGAAAGAAGTTTAGTCATACTTTTGGATACGGAAAGATTGATACCTGGGCAACTATTGAAGCCGCGAAGACTTTCAAGAATGTCAAACCTCAAGCTTGGTTCTATTCTCCTTGGATCCACGTCAACCAGGCTATTCCGCAAGGAAATGATGGTATCTCGGTCTCCTTCGAAGTTACCAAGGAAATGCTGCAAGCAGCGAATCTAGAGAGATTGGAGCATGTCCAAGTCACAATGAACGTTGCACACACCAAGCGAGGAGAATTGAGTGTGGACTTGGTTAGTCCAGACAAACTAGTCAGCCACCTTTCCACGACGCGACGTTATGATTCCGACACCGACGGATATGATGATTGGACGTTCATGTCTGTTGTTCACTGGTCAGTGTTTCCCATCAACAATTTGCACCTCTTTACTAATGGGTACATAGGGGTGAATCTGGTATTGGAACTTGGACCATTACTGTTAGAGATACTTTCCCGAACGATCATAATGGAACTTTTACAGATTGGCATCTCAAACTTTGGGGAGAAGCTATTGATGCAGAAAAAGCGATAGTACTCCCAATGCCTACCGAACATGACGATGATAATCACGCCGAGATCTCCACAACCACCATTGCAGGAGTCACACCAACAGCAACATCTGCACCAACTAATCCTGCAGCTCCAACTGACGCCCTTCCTAGCACACCATCCGACCACCCCGATCGTCCTGTAAATGCCAAACCTTCGGGCACAGAAGATTCACTAGCCTCGCCTACCTCCACCGCACCTGCAGAATCAGAAACTACAACTCCGTCAACATGGATTCCTTCTTTCCTCCCCACCTTTGGCGTCTCTTCCAAAACCCAAATTTGGATCTATGGCGCCTTAGGCCTCATCGCTGCTTTCTGCGCTGGTCTAGCAGTATACCTCTACATGGCCCGCCGAAAGCGTCTCCGCAATAACCCAAGAGACGAATGGGAATTTGATCTTCTCGAAGATGATGAAGCGGAAGCTCTAGCCGGTAACACTGAAATGACCATGAAGAAGGGAGGAAAGAGAAGAGCAGGTGAATTATACGATGCATTCGCCGCAGGTAGTGACGATGAAGATGACGAGTATAAGGATGGTGGCGATGAACGAGAAAAGAAATTGTACCAGGATGATGGGGAGAGTGAGGGCACGGGTAGTGGAAGTGGTCATCACGTTATCGGGGATGATGACGATAGTGATGATGAGAGCGCGGTAAACGTGAAGGATGAGAAGAAACCGTTAAGGAAGTAATAATGCTATATATAAGTCGTGCGTAGCATTACTGCAGGAGACAAAGAATTGAAGAAATGGATGAAGAAATGGATGGACGGGATGAGATGAGACGGGTGGTTAGGAAATTTTGAAAATGAAAAAAAATAATATGAACACTTGGTATGGTAATGAATAGAGGAAAATCATCATTTATTTGTTTGTTTCTTTGTCCATTATGCTGTGTGCATGTATGCATGATTAATTCGCATTGCCATTGCTATTGTCATTGAATAGGATGGAATGAATGGATAAAGCGATTTTTTATACTCCATACTTTCATACTCCATTCTTCACACTCAATACGGGATGCAGGATACTGGGAATGGGGAATTGGGAAATAGATATTGAGGATTTATTGTTTCTTTTTTCATATACTTACCTAGGGTTCTACTTGGTAGGTAGGTACGAAAACTGCATCCCTTAATTTCGGATCCAACGAGTTTAAAACTCAAAATATTGGTTATTTGTCCATGTTTAGATTGACTTATGTATGTATGCATGTGTATGCATGTATATATCATTATTCTTGTCTACCTAAGGGCGGAAAGTAATTTCGTACCTAATCATAATCATAACCATAACCATAACAATAAGCATCATCGTCCACACCATGATGAGGATCGCGTGCTCCGGATCCAAATTAAACGCCTACTTGCTTGCAATCGATCGATTCATCAATCCGAGAAAACTTATTCCCAACGGCCACTCATCTACTTCCTTCCTGTTGCATTACCTCCTCATTCCCCACGTCCTTTCGTTCCTTGATTTTGATTTTCTCATCCACATTTCTTAAGCTTCTACTCCACTCGCCACCACCTCGCCGCCCATTTCCCTAACATAGCCTTCCCATATCTTCCCTACGCCCTCATAAAAGTCCCTATGCGCATCTGCCAATGCACCCAACTGACTCCTAAATTCTACCCTCTTAATTCTCTCAAAATCCGCAACTTCCCTTACTACTTCCTCATCAAACGCTTCCGTCGTTTTCTTCGCTTCTTCGACTCCCTTCGTCAATTCTTCTATCCTCAATTCTAATCTCCTTAGCCTCTCTCTGCGAGATTGTTCATGGTCCACTCCCCGCACATCTTCAATTTTAGAGCGGATAAACCCTCCTGCTCCAGTCAGAGCGCCAGAGCCATGGGACGAGGCTAGTTGATCTCGATCGTTGGTGGATTTGGTAAGATATTCGGTCAATTGTTCAAAATCAAGTTGTTTCTGTTCGCGAGCTTTCAATAAATTCTTAACCGCCGTGCTGTAAGCTTGCATATCCCTCAAACTACCTAGATAATTTTGGTCCGTATGATCCTTCAATGTCTTGATTCCCGCACTCGTATCCTCCACACTCGCACTGAATGCATGAATGTTGGGCTCGATTCCGGGCTCAAGATTGATTAGACGTTGAAATTGTTCTGCTAGCTCTTTGTAATCCGTCTCCAAATCACCTTCACGGCGAGCTACCCGAGCGACGATTTTTTCGATATGCCCCAGGTCCTCGTCCAATTTGTCGGATTTTCCTTTGACTTCTATGAAGCGTTGATCGGGTTTATGGACTTTGGTAAAGGCATTTATGAATGTGTCCGCAAAATTATCAAATACTCCCGCAGCCTGTTCGTCTCGAGAAGCGCCTCGCGATGGGCGAGACTTCATCGTCGCATTCCAGTCCGAACTCTCCAAGAAGATTATCAAAATGGCGCTGCGACGAAGAACAGGATGAAGAGTGAGACGGGTAAGGAAACGTCCTAGTGAGTTGGCGCGTCTCTGGGTGAAATCGACACTGAATCGATCGCCTCGGACATATTCCATCTTATGCTTATCTGGTAGAGGAGGAACAGCACATGCTGGATATTCTTTAAAGAGCGTGTTGTATAAAAATACAAAATCCGTAAATCGTCTTCGGACAGAAGTCGTAGGTTTTTGGAAAGAGGGAAATGTAGTCTAAGTTTCAAATCAGTATGTTATCCTGCGCCTCGAAGCACTTCAATAGAGACGAACATGCGTAGTAACAAGATATGATACGTATGCATCTTTCGTTCCATCATTCTCCTTAATAGGTGATCCAACTGTACACTCGAGAACACCTCCCCCCACGCCTGCTAGATCCATAGCATCCGCATGGGATCCAGCTTGAGTTTCACCATCGTTTCTATCAATATCAGGACCTTCGCTTTCATCATCACTTCGTGAATGCCCTCGTTGACTGTTCTGCCATTCAATATTGGCGAAATCGTCGTGGTCCATCGCGGCGTTTGAGGTGCGCGGGGCAATCGGAGCTTGTTTTCGTAGGAGCGTTGCTTTGCTAGAAATAATTTCGATGGTAACAAGAGAGTTAACTTCGTGTGTTATTTGTTGATAAAGTTTATGAGCTTTAATGTGATTTATCTTAATTTGTACTTCAAAAAAGGTGAGAATAATTGTAGTGAATTTTATTAGTATTTCCCAAACTCGTGCATTCATTTCATGGAAGCTTCCTTCATCACATCTTGAGAGGCGCGGGTCGGTGTCATTCATCAGCTGCAATAGAAACCAACCCTGTTTAAGCTTGGCGTGTTCACATGGTCAGGAACTCACCACTCTTTAAGGTATTTTAAGAGTTGAATACAAACAAGTTAAATGGGACTACCACTGCTGCTACTTAGGTCATTCAACACAAAGGACTCTTTCCCCAATCGAATTAATTCACAAATATGCAAACAAAGAGATATTTAGAGGAGGTGAGAGGTTTTGAAGGTTTGAGGGCGTTGAAGGGATTGAAGGAGGTTGATTACAAAAAATATCGGTATTGATTGCTATTTTAATGCCGCCTGTGCTGCTGTTATACTGATGCTCATGGCATATTAGTGGTCTATAAATGTAAATTTCTATTGCATTCCCATCCAATCCATTTTATCCATGCGTAAACCAGATCCAGTAATGCTAGCTGTTAAAACAACAAGAGAGAAGAATGTTCAAATATACACATGAGGGCAAGCTCATGGCTTTGCATCTCTTGCCTTAATTTCTTCCTTTAGTAGTTCACCCTCTTTCTCTGCAGCAATTGCCTCATTCACTTGCTCCTGCTCGGCTCCATCTTTGGCTTCCATTCGTCTTTCTTCCTTTTCATCGATATCTTCGTTATCTCGAGGAGTGGCTCTGCCTTGGTCGGTATTTTCCTCATTTTGCTCGTTTTCTTCCTCGATGAGCTCTTGTTGCTCCTTCAAAACCTCAAGACGTTGTTTGTTGGTGGCAGCGCCCTCAGCATTGTGAACTTCAAGCTCAATCTCGTGGAATAATTCCTCTGGAATGGATGACAGGACACCAGTAAGTGCGTCAATTTGAGTTGAGAATTCAGCCTCCTTACCCTGAGCATACATGAATGCATTGCTCAATACCAATAACGTGGAGGGAACTCCATGCTTAAGTCGCAATTCTAACCAAGATTGGAGGTCGTCACGGAGCCGGGCAGGAGACACTCCATGAGTCCTGATACCACGGTTGAGGCAAGCAACTTGAAGTTCTGGGACAGACAAACTTTCCACACCTTCAAAACTAATAGCTCTATCATCTCTCTTGATTTGTCTCATGCGATGACGGATCTGGTAACGGAGCATAGTATCTGTACCAAATGTGTTGAGGTTCATGTATCTGCACATACCAACGAGTTGGGGACGAGACAAATTGTCTAAAGTTAAATCGTCCTTGAATATTTGGCAGACCTTGATGACTTCTGAAGGGGTAGGGGTTTCACCCGTGGCTCGAACTTTGCGGAAAAATTGTGCGAACTCTTCCTTTTGAGCATTTGCTGGGCTTAATGGCAGTCCGGTCTCTTTCATGGTGCTTCGCAAAAAGTTGCTAACATCCTTTCGAGTCGCTCGGAGTGAAGATACTTTAGCATCTTTTGACTTCTGCGCCTCGTACGTGCTTGGGAGCATGTTGGGGAACAGCTTGAGAGCGATAGGAAGGAGAAGTTCTGCGAATGGCACAAGAACAAACACCGAGAATGGTACTAGTCTAGCCATATCCTGGACTGTTCTTCGTAGTTGTCTGTGCTCCCTGCGACTGAGCTCATATCCTGCAGCCATCTTCAAAGCCAAACGTGAACTGATCTTGATTTCGGTTCCAAGCAACTTCGTACCATCCCAGTAATGTGCAGCCTCTTTCTTTATCTTTTGTGCCAGTGTCAGCTTCTTCTCTGCTTTCTCGCCGTCCGGCTTCTCCACGGACTTTCCAGTTGCACCAGCCAATTCTGAAAGCGTCAAGCCTTCAGAAGCATCCGTTTTCGCGACTCCAGTAGCCTCATTGCTCGGAATAGGGTCTATTTCATGTTTGACGGCTTGTTTGGCAGCAGCTTTCGATGTCGCACTGGAGCTGGCTGGGGTCTCCTTTATCGGTTTTCTGGCTTGTTCGGCATTGAAACCAGGTGGAGGTGCACCGTTTGTTCCTCCAGATGTATGAGTATCTGTCGTCACACCTCTTCGCGGAATTAAAATGGCCAGCGCTGGCACTTGTGATGGGAGAGTTCGAGCATTACGGCGTAAATATGCTGCCGTAGGACTGAGCGAAGATCGTTGAAGAGCACGGGCTAAGGATATTATTTAGTACTAATAGACTTCCAATCGCCAGGTTAGAATGAATATAACAAACCTCCTATGAAAGATGTTTGCGCCGCACTGCGGACGATTCTCGATGAAGCGCTCATACTTAAGGTGAATCCCCTCAGGAACGATAAATAAAGAAGGCTATCAATGGAGTATCAGAACTGCAATATTGTACAAATTTATGATTGAGTTAATGAGTCAATATTAAGGAGAAAATCATGAATAAAAGTTGTTTTGAGGGAAATAGATTGTAATATCTTTATGCATCCAGCTTTTAAATGCCTTCAACGACAGATCGAGCCATAATTCTTCTGGAATTCGCCGTAGAAGATCACGTGGCGATAAAAGTCACTGAACTAATCGATTGACCGAAGCTGATAGGCCCGAGGGACGGGAGTGACGGGGTGGACTTAAGCACTTAAGCATGGTGAAATGTTCTAGAAGAACGTGGCACGAATATTGATAACTCAATTAATCAAGCTGTTCAGATTCATATGGGCCTTTGCGTTGTACAAGAGTAGCCAGCTGCTAGATCGCCAAGTGCGATAAAAGTTTCATACAATTTGGTATATTTTTGTCAGCGGTACAGGAAATCATTCAACTCCGTCTAAAAAATTAGTTTTCTTGGGGGGCATTGCGGTGTAGTTTATGAATGAACGCATCAGAGCTCCCAGCACGACGGAGAGGAGGATCCAATGCCGTGTCTTATTTTTACTATCGTTTGCGAAGAGGACCTAAGCTGCTGTTTCGGGGCCCAAGTGCCGCTGTGCAACTTGGATATTTGGTAAACAGAAACTCGTCTTTCGGGCGGAGATGGCTAGCAAGAAGCTTTCCAATCTTGTCGCTATCCACCTCCTCAAATAACGGCTCTACGTTGAGAAATATGAGATAGCCTCACAAGTGTACCTGTCTCATTAGTTTCGGCATCACAGCCTCTGAGCAGTTTGCCCGCAAACAGCGATTGAAGCTCAATATTTCTCTGAAATAAACTCTCACTCCCAAAACACATTCCTGCATTGTCCAAACTTCAACTGTCGAATTTCTCCAGAAGTTATTTGCTTCAAGTACACTAGTAGAGAATATCATTTTATCGGCATCCACATAGACTCCTACCTCTCTTAGTTGAGGGCAAGGCCTCAAGAGCAAAGAAAGGGAGAGTTTCTGTTTCGTGCTCGGAATTTGTCTCCATATTGGCTTTTTCAGAATCCATAGGACAATGGAGATTCATTCCGTTCGATGAATCAGGCTACCTTAGCCACCGAAGAGAGAACTCGAGCTAGTAAGTGCTTTGTAATGAGCCTCTGGCCCACCACTGCGCTTCGGCCGCGCCTTCCCACCATGATCGTTCCTCCTGTAGGAAGATAGATGGTCCATACCATTGTTTTATTGTACAAAATGATAGCGACATTCAAAAGCTTTATCCGGCCAAAAAGCATATTCTGATTCGAAATGTTACTTAAAGTACCAGAGAGCCAAAGTCTTCGGACTGCGGCTCTAGAGACAAAGATATTGTGGCGGCACATCCTGTACTTATGCAATAAACTTGCAGACTACAATAATCATTTTTGTTTCTGCATCTAATTAATTCTTAATATTCAACCTTCAAAGGAATTTGAAGACGCCGAATAGTATTGTGTTGACGTACCAATGTTCTAGCCCGGGGTATTATTCCAAAAGTCTGCTTTTCATTGAGAGTATAACTTAGTTCAAGGACGCGTTAAGTTTACTGGAAAATGAGAAGAATATTACTCAATGACTCGAGGTCGATGTAGTTTTTGTTGCGCGAGGAACGTTTTCACTCGTTGCTACATCGTCGGGAGAGTTTGAGGGCTGCGAGAGAGATGGAATCGACTTTTTGGTTTAAGATTAGAGAGATGTCACTTTTGATCAGTAGTTTTTAAAGTATCTTGGTGTAATCTTATTACTGTGATAACCAATCGGTCAAATTAGAATAATATCATTGCGCGACGAAATGAAAAGAAATTACTGTGGAAGCTAACTAAGGGTGTCAGGACTGGGACTAGCGATTAGCATGGTGATCTATGTATTAGACTACTAGCCTCATCTTCTCCGCGCACTAATTGTACTAAAATGCTGCGTGGGTTTACTGTGGGATTTGGGGGGAGTAATTTATCAGCCTATCTTCCCCGACTGTAACGATGCAGTATAGTTAGTATCTTTCAAATTCAAGGTTCGTTGTCCTCTACCCATCTTTTATTGTATTGATGTCCTGGCCATGTATGTGTTGGTAGGCAAGGCTCTTTGCATGATAATGAGTTCTATAAGCTGTAAATACGATGGCTTAGTCTGGAGTTGGATCACTGAATGAATTGGCTGATGATGGATAATACTGGGGAGTAAGAAAAGTTCATGTAGTTGGAGTTTGGTAAGAAGTTGGTGGTTTCACTATAGGTTTATGTATGCTTCAACATGGCCAAGAAACGGTTATTACAAAATTTGATGGTTGTTAGGGACATAATATATTGAAGGGATATGCCTTGGTAGCCTTCGAGGCTGATCTATAGCTAGATATGTTATTCTGCCACGAAGCGGTGAATTACCACGTGACAGATTCCTCTCAAAATTAATTTGTTGCACATCTGAAAGTATCATAACCCTTCAGATTTAACCACCTTTCATCATCATTTTAGCGCCAAATTGAGAAAGTTCCATCAACTAAGAATAAGTTCAGAAAAAGTGAAGCTAGCTCCGACCCCGACTTTCAACTTTTACCTTTCATCATATCACGTCACATCACACATTACTTCAAAATGGAATGTGCCAAAATCCCGTGTTAGGAGTATTTTGAAATATTATCGAATACTGAATGGATTTTGATATGCTGTACATTTATTTATGTATTACTTCTCAGCCGCCATAGCATTGAATATCCTTCTTTCTCTATTGCGACCGTGTCGCGTCACTTGAAGCGCTGATTTGCGGCTCCACGATATTCCAAACATACCATCATAATAATGGCCTGGAAACCTCTAAATCTTTTAAGCTCTGCTGGCGCACAGTTACCATGCTTCCTATATTCATCTGAATTCAAAAATGATTCATATATAGTGAGACTGACTGATTTATCGAATACATGGGTCGAGAAGATAGATCGCGACACCATAATCGAGCGAAGCAAAAAAGAAAATACAAGTATTGATCCTAGTGAGGACGAAGACCAGTTATCAATATTTCTTGATAAGATAAAGCTAGGGCTTACGGGAGGAAAAGATGCAAGCCTATCTTTGAAAGTTGGGACGGGCATTTCAAATGATCTCTCACCGAACTTACTTCTCCATGTTAAGATTCCACTACCTGGTGGATTGAAAGACTTGGAATGGCGGTATGAATTGGCACTAGAATGGCCGAAAGAGACAGTTGACAGATTGGTTCTTCCGAGTTTAATTGCGCTACAAGAAAAGAGGGAAGAGGTGAAAGAGCTAGTGGAGTTGCTTGGGGAGAAAGATGCCGTCATTCAAAAACTGGTCGATACATTGGAAAGTCAAGGGACAGACCTGGGCACAATTTTCCATCAAGCTGCGGGAAGATCGGGGAGGAAGGTTGACAGAAAGAAGGCAAGTGAAAAGATTAAAGGCTTGAAGATCTTCGATGCAGAAGCTTGGAAAAAGGAGTTGAGATCCGATAAAATGGAAGATAGGTGGGAGTTATTGAACAAGGTGTTTAGTTGCAATGACATAACTCCGAATATCTCTATAAAAAACGGTTTTAATGGAGAGGCTCAGGATTTCAACTGGTGGGATCATATGCAAGGCAAGGTTGTAGGTACATCAAAGGATAGTGCTACGACAAATCAAGTAAATTCACCAAGAGATATCGAACAAGAATTTGTACCGCCCGAGGAAGACTTTCAGGTACAATCAACACCTCCTCACCTTTCAAAATCTAAGGCTAAGCCTGATATTTCAATGGATGATTCTACAGATGATGATGATGACGACGACCTCGATGGCCCATCTCAACGTTCGAGAATTCCAAACAGCCTCCCCATCTCACAATCCCACGCACCAGGTCCTAATCGAACTCCAACCTCGGGGTCCAGTTCACGAAAAGTGAAAGCCCAGATTAACAAATTGGGTACAAAGCAAAAAGCTTCAACACCAACTCCCCCAACTCAAGCCGAAGATGATACGACCGAAGACGATGAACCTATACCAGCACCTTCACGACCTAGAAGAGTGACCTACCATAACGATAATGATAATGATACCATGGACGATGATACACCATCCTCTCCGCCATCAAAAATGCAGCGGACTTCTAAGGAATCTCCAGCTAAAAAGAAAGGCAAGCTCGGAAAAATAGGCGGAAAGAGAGCTGCTTCACATTCTCTAGAGCCAGAGCCAGAACCAGAAGCCGGACTAGAAGCTGAGCCAGAAACTGAAGCAGAAACTGTAAAGCCGCGACCCAAAAGAGGCATGCTCGGCAAAATTGGTGGGAAGAAAAGAGAGAATGCACCAACACCTGAAATCGAGTCTCAGAGTTCGGCAACTTCGAAAAAGAAGCTAGGTATTATTGGTGGGAAGAAGCCTGCTAGTGGAAATGCTAGCCAGAAAGGATATGCTTCTCAAGAAGAGAATAGGGGAAGATCGAGAGAACCGACGATGGAGGAGGAAGAGAAAATTAAAGAAACAACCCCACCACCAAGGGAAACTTTGCAAGAACGGGCTGATAAGAAGAGAGAGATGCTGAAGAAGGAATTAGAAGCAAAAAGCAAAGCACCAGTTAAAAAGAAAAGGAAATTTTGAAGGATAACTTGTGGGTTTCGAAGATGTGTAGATGTATACCAAGTATGTTCACCTGTCCCCATATTAGTAGTTGGCATTTCCCTCGAAAACTTGGAAAAGTTTACCTCTTCTCATTGATCTTTGTACGAATTTTTTTCTCACTCAATTTTGAGTACTTGATCGCTTGCATTTGTTAGATAATAAGTCTTTAGTTTGAAGTTTCTCAACTCCCACGTCACGCCACTCATATATCAACACCACCCTTCTTTGACTTTGTTTTATACTCAGATATTTACTCAAGCACTTTGAATATTTGGTTGTTATGTCTCCTGCTTTAAGCCCTTTTTCCGTCCTGTTATATTTGTTTCTAATTTCTCTCTTCATCCACCGACCATTTCAATTGCAGGAAATCACAGCCTCACTGTGGGATTTCTCCAGATTACATGAAAGTTGTCGCACCTTCTCTTATGATAATTTCTATTGCCCATCGTTCATCCTTTGCGAGTTAATTCCATAAAGATTCCCCATTTACTACACTCAGTTTTGTCAAAGCACCTCTACCCTACCTGTCGCCATGAGGCTCTGCTAAATATCTCAAAATCTCATCCAATGGAGATTTCTCTAATAGCTGAGTAAGACTAAAGATCATGGTTGCATATCTCAAGCACGGATCACATACTACCCAAATGGTTGCCATGCTGTTTTGTTGCACATCTAGAGCACAGACCGCATTGTTGAAAGACTTTGTACAGAGTATAGATGGGAATGTCTAGTATCCTGTGACGCTGTTCCAAATTAGCACCATGCTAGCTTAGGAGTTCAGGGTAGCTTTGTTTGGACGGACTGCTCTGCTTTTGCTGCATGTCTACACAGCAAGTCACCTGGTGAAAGAGGCCCTACCATGCATGTGCTTTTGTTGCTTGCCTCAAGCACAGACCGGCCTCTGGAATGCAATGAATGTTAAGTGTTAAGTGTAATGCGCAGGTCCTTTGCTATCGCCTCATCGTTCGCTACACTTGGGTTTGACGAGATATTTTATTTTGGGTCAAATCCTCTTTGTATACTATGCGCTCATACTAGCTGAGGATCAGTAATTATATATAATACAATAGCATAGTAGGAGTAGTAAATTCAAAATCGCTTTGATCTAACTGTAGCACTAGCTACTACTACGATATAATACAATGAGAATAAGATTAGATGTTTTCTGTTATAATATCTTAGGTACCTACCTTTTGTTCCAACCCCCTCTCTCGTCCCAAAACCACTGACTATGAATGAATGTAAGTAAGTATTCACTTTTCCTCGATATCTCCGTACCTCTCTGAAGTTCCCATATATCCCAAATTTTTCTAGAATCTTAACCATACTTTCAGAAGTGACGCATAATTACATATATTTCGTACCTATGTAAGTATGGTATTGTATTTATATTGTATTTCCAGATCATGACTGGAAAGGTAACCTAATCAATCAATCATTCGACAAAAGATATAAATTTTAGATATTTATTATGTGTATGTTAGTCGGCGGTTCAAAAGCTAGCTAGCTATCTTTCTTCTTGGTAGGTGGAGTGGAGTGTTATATATCTAGGTATCTATCCATTGGTCTAGATGCTCTTTTTTTTTTCTTTTTTGACCTTGGAGTACCTATCCCATGGAGGATTCAACTTTGCGTTTTGTGGGTTGTTATGTATATATATGTATATGTATGTATATTCATTATTGGGGAAGTGAAGTGGGATGTAAGATATCTTTTCGCGGGTATGCTGTGGGTACTAGGTAGATTCGATTCGAACCGAACTATGATGATCTCTTGTCGATGTTAATTTCTGGAATTGTACATACATATACATACATATATGCCCCGTGGATACATCGCAGATACCATACCTTACATATCCTACCCAAGTACGGACATCTACCAACCCCGTATTTTGTAATGCCACCACCAGCACTATGCCCAAATTATCATATCAATCACTCGATCAATTAATAAACCCTTGAACCATCCCTATCCCTCCATACCAAACCACACTATACCATACATAAAGCGCGCAATTAACAAGGCTGACACGCTGACACAGCCTTACAGATACATGTAGGTACCTATGCAGGTACGTCCATATACATCAATAGATAGATAGACATCCAAGCCAGCATAGCCTAGCCTAGCATAGCCCAAACCCAACCCATACCCATCCATCCATTCATGACAAACAGCCTCCTCCTCCCCCATCTTCGATTCATCATATCATAATCAAAGTACTAAGTATGTACGTACGTAGTATTTCCTCTTTCCCAAAGAGTCAGTCGGGTACCTATTTGTTGCATATCTGGAAAAAGAGGATCGAGATCTGGTTGATCTGGTGTGGTGTTCGTTTGGTAGGTAGGTACATAGGTAGGTAGGTAATCTTACCTAAGGTTGCCAAGGGATGGATTTTTTATTTATTTATTTATTTATTTATGAGTTCATCCACTGATCCAGTCATTTTATTCACTTTTTTCATTTATTCGTCATTCGACTTTAAAGTGTACCTAGTAAATCAAGATGAGATGATATGAGATGAGAATCATACGAATATGTAGGTACCTAGGTAATACATTGAAAAGATGCATGATCGATTTACCAGCCATTCACCAGATCCCTTGAAGATAGATGCCAAGGAAATGGGGAAGCGAGGATCGAAGGTTGGAAGCGGCACCGATGGGAAATCGAAATCTCTCTATTTTGTTCTTGCCTAGGTAGATACTCCGTATTGCTGTTTGATGGATGGATTAATCATTACCTTGGCCGTACCTGTCTTGTCTTGTTTACTAGATAGTAGGTAGGTAGGTATGCAAGATCTTACTATCTACTAAGTACATAGACAGGTAAGTACCTACAACCTACAACCTAGATACATTACCAAGTAAATGAGTAATGCAATATCGAAAACACGATTCTTGGCTTTTTGAATCTGCTTTTGGTATGGAACTATAGTTGGATGGGGAAGGAATTCATTTTTGTTGCATATCTGAATTGAAATCGTCGATGGGAATTTTTTTGCTTCTTTGCTTTTTGGGCGTTATTTCGTTCTGTTGAGACGGGACTGACTTGCATTGGTGGTTTATGTCAAAGTGTGCGCGTTTTTGTTCATCGAGATGCATCGAGATGTTTGTAAGACCTTTTCTCCTTATATGGGATGACGATGATGGATTGGTGGTTGCGGGTTAGTGTGTGGGCTGTGATTGGTGAGTGGGTGGTTATTATGTGGGGTTTGGTGGTATGATTTGCTAAGGTAAGGGCGTTGAAGATGTCCATCGGACATCGAAATTAATAAACGGCAATATTGAACATCGGACATCGAAATCTTCAATGTTCAGGGGATGAAGAATTATTGGAGGTTATTACCGATTGGGTAGATGGATCGAATGGAGGCTTGAATGAGCGATTGAGTGAGTACTTGATTCGATTGATTAATCTGAATCTAATACGTATTGACATAAAATCAGAAATATATCTATTTATCTATTTATAGTATCATATCTTTGTGGTTCGACTCTAGTATTTCTTCCTCACATTTCATCATCTAATCCTGAGCTCAAATATAATGCAATGAGAAAGAAGACATAGGTCTTTCACTATCCAAATCGGATAATCTTGATATAATAACAACATCATCTTCATATCTTCTTACTCTTATATCCGAGTCATTCACCAGCTGTTTGGTTTCCTCGATATATTGCATACATTCGTCCTCACTCTTCTACCTTATCTTCCTCGCATATTATCATGAGATCTCTTATTGCATATCTTACTACTTGTTCACCTTACTATCTGTCTGATATTACCTTCCTCGTATGATGTCATGAGATTTTTGGTGGCATATTTAAATATTCATTATATACTTATCCATCTATATATTTATCAATACCTATGCATGCATGCCCATTTTGTTGCACATCATATAATTCACATACTCGAATACATTTCTCATCCTTCCATTTACAAAATTACATGCGTACATACTAGGTACATAGATACAAATGAAGTAAATATCATGTCCGCATCCTTCGATATCATACCATACCTATATTTCTTACCTCACTTACTATACTTCTGCATAACTAGACACCATCCTTCCCATTCTTTTTTCAATATATAACCATGTTTTGTATACATACCTCACTATCTCAATATTCATCTTATCCCTACTTCTAATACATACATACTTAGGTACATAGCTATAGCTAGTATTGAGTTTAATGTGGTGACATGTGTATAATCATTCATATCTTTGATATTCCTTATGGAGTACTCATGTGGGATTTTATATGAGGTCAAGTATATGGACTTAGGTATATATGTCAGATATCCATAGGTGATACGATACAATACAAATTCTTAACTTTAATAGGGATGAAATGTGCATACAAAAACAAATATGAAGAAACCAATCAGCGCGACCCAACTCAACTCCACTCCACGCCTCCGACTAAAACAGGGTGCCCAACAAAACAATATCCAAAATTCTTTTTTACCAGATCCACATATCCTTACAACAACTTCTCCCCATATCCCATCTCACACTCCCCATCCCCATCCTCAAACTTTAAACTCCTGCACCTGAAACTGCATCTTAAACCCCTCATGTGCCTTCCTCCTCCCCCTCTTATCAATATACCCCACCATAGCCGCAAACCCCAGACAACCCAACGCAATCAAATACTGACCAATTTGCAGCGGAACCCCCCTACTAATCTGCTGCCCCGTACTCCTACTCGTCACAAACTGAATCGCGCCTCCCGCAGTACTGATACTCCCCGCTGCACTCATCATATTACCCGCGCTCCACTGCAATATCGCCGATGCCATTTTAGATGTAGGAAGCGTCCAGATGGTCCATAGGAGTCCGATGGTGAAAGCAATAAATGGCATTAGGATTAGTGGGAGGAGTTTTTGTTGAATGCCGACGGCGAGTTCGATGTTGTTGGCCGTGGATGTGTCGGTGCTTCCTTGGAAGAGAGCAGATTGTACGATGGCGGCGGCGCTGCTGGCTGATCGTCCATAGGGGAAGTTGGGCGTGCAGATGTCTTTGCCTGTGCTGGGTATTATGGCGCATATTCCTGTGTGGGGTTTGGTTAGTGGGTTTGTTATGCTATGGTATGTATGTGCATAGAGTTGATGTGAAGTATACGTACCGAAATAGCCAACCCGAAAATTGGGAACGATGAACTCGTCGGATGCGCCGCTAAATACGTCGATGGTGAAGAAGGCTCGGGAAATTACATTATTTGCCATGCATCCCGTCAAGACAATAACTGAAAGTTCATTAGCGATCCGTATTCTCCCGTGGCCGATATAATGTCGAGACTTACTATATAGACCAATAATGGGAAACCCGGTAAATATGAATAATATCCGTCGAATCCATAATTGTTTTGTCGGCAACCTCTCATCTTCTTCGTGGTATCCACCTACATAATCTACCGCCCTATCGATAGTTTCCCTCACCCTTTCACTATACTCCCTCAATCTTTCCCTCGCAAGACGAAGACTCCTTTTCTCTTCTCGGATCGAGGCCTTTTCGTCTTCCAACTTTTCCCTTTCAGCTCGAAAAGCCGCATACTTCCTTCTCAACTCAGATTCTCCCCTTCTTAAATCAGATTCAGCTCTCTTTACATCTTTGTGTTCCTCTCTTAATATTTCAGCAGCTTCCTTTTGTTCGTGTTTGGCAACGTAGACGTTCTTCTCAAATCGTTCCCTTTCCTTGGCAAATTCGGCATCTTGTTTCCTCAATCTCGATTCCTTGCTTGCTAATCTTCTCACCTCCATCTCTTCTTCCTCGGGACTAATTTTTCTCCCTGAGTCTGACCACCATCGTTCTTCCCGAGGGTTCGTTTCCTTGCCTGACCACCAACGATCTCTACTGCTTTTCGCTTGCTTTTTTGGACTACCGAAATTCGGGTTATTTTTCTTTCTACGCCTTTTCTTTTGATGCCTTGCCCACAAAACTTTGGCAGCAGGTCGAGCCAGCCACATTTACCTATCTCAGAAATGTGTCTCGTGAGGTCAAATCTTGCATGAAAACATAAATATAGACACAATGGAGCAGATTTGCTGACTAGTGGAATAGAAATTTAGTTCGTAGTAACCATCGTTGAATGTGTTCTAATCTGGGATAGGGAAGTGTGAAAAATGGTGCCGGGGTTGGGGAGTGCTTGCATTATCTCCCAGGTGAGAACAGAGTACGGCGGCTTGGTCATAGCCAGTACCTGATTTTGTGGTTACCACGAAAGTATGCAATGGCCAGACTAAAGACATGTGTAAGGTCTAGACTTCAGACCTGCGAGATGTTTCCACTTGTGTTGAGGCTTAAAGATAGGCGCACCAGTGGAAGATGGCTTTTTTCCCCTCTTGATATAAATCCAACATTCATTTAACCCCATTCAACAACATTGCCCAGACAGAAACTTTTGCTTGGTCCAGAACCAACATATGATGCACTATGGGTCATGGATGTGGCTGTGGTTGGTTGTGCTGTAGGAGCGCGCGTATTTTTCATGGATCATTTGGAGTGGTCGTTGGTAGCCGCGACCACTCCAACGAATAGATCCTGCAGTCCTAAACTAATGCAGAAAAATGGCTTCTAATGATATTCAGTTGTCTTGCTTTGACCAAAAATCATGACCTTATTAGTAATCTGATTGATACCAAAGTAATTGAGCAGTGGAAGAGCAATTCTTGGCCTTTTCCACAACATAAAATGGAGCATGGGATTAGCGTAAAGAACACGGTTGACGAGCTCCCGAAGAGTCCAGCAGCAGAAGCAAACGCTCTACCGCTCGTATTTGACTAGCAGAATTCTGTTTAGTAGGTGAAGAGCCCTTTGGCCACCTGCCAGCGAAGAGAAGGATTCTTGCCGAAGTTCGACCTTCGCCAAAGCTAAAGAACAAAAGGTCACCCGCCCTGCCCCATACACAAAATTATGTCAGTCCTGAGTGTTGATGGTTTGTATGATAAATAGATCTTCTCAAGGTCCGTCAAGTTGAGCGCATGGAAGGATGAGTGTTTGACAAACTTACCTGCCATCCATTCCAATCACTATCCTAACATTAGCAGAATTCCTCGACCATAATCACGCCCCTATCTTCAAGTCCTTCCAATCCATTTTTTTCCTTTTGAGAAAAAAAAAAGTTAAAAAATACCAATGGATTCGAGATATAATATAGCTGACCACGACTCAGCAGCTGGATTTGTTGTTCGGCTGCTAGAAAGCTGAGACATTAACATACTCTGTTGGACGCATTTGCTCTCAAACTATGCGGAAGTGTTTGTCATACGGATGATAATGTTGATATAGTGGTTCATACTTCGATGCAGAAAATATGAGCCACAGAGCCGGTAATTCCTAAATAGCATGCATTTTCAGGCACACTCAGATGTCAATATATTGGTCATTCCCCAGTTTCGGCTTGATGCGGAGGTAACAAAAATATTCGTCAAAACCAGTTCAACGTACGATGGATGTTAGAAAGCGAGACTCGTCGAAATAGAATGAATAGCACTAGGTGAATGTCTCAAGACATTCAAATCTTGGACCAAGTATTAACCATAAAAGCTTAGGATCAAAGGGTACTGAACGGGATATACGACGTCATGAGCAAACTCTCACAGTGCCCACCCCATTGGGACATCCGGTCGGATTTAAGGCTTTAGATGTATTGTACTTTTTGTGAAGTAAACTTGACGATATTGCAGCACGCGGAGCAACGAAGGACTTTTCCGATGCTCAGTTCATTGCCAACACTGGCGGCAGCAACTAGAGAAATTCAGGGATACTCGGAGGTATGAGAACACAAAATGATATTGACTTGATGTTGGCTCCACCATATTCTCCATTAATTTGGTAGATAGTAGTATAATTTGTGTGATCTGTAGAGCCCTGCAAAGGAAAGGAGAAAAGAGGAAGCCATAATAGGATTTGTCTGGTCAAAGACTGTATCTGGCAGACTTTATTCTCATAGCTACTTAATCATAAAGATTGTAGCTAGGATGAAGCTCTCTTTGGAGGATGTCTCCAACGGTACTTCCATCAAAGGAGAGGGTAGGAAGAAGAGATGAAATCAGAATAGTTTTGCCACCTTGAGACCCCTACCGTATGTTCATACTCGTGGATCATGAAGATGATTGCAAGCAGCATAAAGCTTCCTTCATAGAATGCTTCGTGAGATGTCACCAAACGGTAACTTTATATTCATCGGACACGGCGCCGGTAAATGCGGTGACTTTGTGACACAATTACCGTAGTATCCAGAAGATATAGAAACCGATGCTGATACAAAGATACGAAGATACAAACGTGCACATGCGCAATATTTGACGTACGGGAAAATGCTCAATGCTCAAGATGATGCATTGTTTTGGTGTTGTGTCCAGCGGGTGTAGCCAAAATGGTAACATTCTCGGGCGGTGTAGCCATTTCAAAGCCTAAAGTTTATGCCGAATTTAGATAACACCGAAAGTATCATCATTTTATCTACCTACTCAATGCTGCTCACTATCGAATTTAGGATGCCTCCTTGAGAGCGCAATATAAACTGCAAAGATGAATAAAGGAAAGATAATGAGGAAGTTGCTTGGACAACCTGCCGTTGCTATTGAGGTTTCCGACACCAATAATATTGACTCGCCTCAACTCCGACCGTCTGCTTCACAGGGCACTGTCTATTCAGCAGGCGCACCACTTACATGTCTCGGTCGTGCACCGGATGGTTCGCGCGCTGTTATAGCTGGACCGAAAGTCTTCAAGATCGTTAAAACGGAAGGCTCGACAATTACAGAAGATATTGATCTTCGAACCTCGATATCTTCGTATGCAGCCGGGCATGATGGAGCGGCAGCTACCACAGAACAACTCAATATCAGGGCCGTTCGATGGTCTCATGCGCAATTCAGCTCTACAATAGTAACAGCCGGTGGAAATGGAAGGATAACTGTCTATGATCTCACTCGCGCAGGAGGAGAAGGATTCGAGCTTGCGCGGATCCAGGAACACGGCCGGCAAGTTCATAAGCTTGCGATCAATTCATTTAAGGGGAACTGGTTATTGTCGGCCAGCCAAGATGGATCTGTGAAGTGTTTCGATCTGCGTGACACGCGTCGAAGTGTAGCTACTTACAAATGTAACGCAGATGCTGTTAGGGATGTCAAATGGTCGCCGACGGATGGCATGGAATTTGCGTGTTCAACGGATGCTGGAATCTTGCAAAAGTGGGACTTTAGGAAGGCGCATGCTCCCATGATGAAGATCACCGCTCACAATAGTGCTGTCTTCTCCATTTCATGGCATCCAGACGGAGATCATATTGTAAGTGGAGGCAAAGACCAGCAATGCCACGTGTGGGATATGTCGAAGTCGGAGAGGGGTCAAAGGGCACGATACTCATTCGCTACTCCCGCGCCTATCTCGAACGTCTGTTGGAGACCTGCTTGTTGGACAGCCACAGGTCAAGGTAAGAGAGTTGCCCAAGTGGCCGTTTCTTATGATGATACCAGCGCCAATAGAGCCCAATTCTCAACAATACACCTATGGGATATCGCTAGATCGGCCATGCCATTCAAAGAAATCGAGGTGTCAAACAGCGCGCCCACGGGCATACTTTGGAGCACTCGAGATCTTTTGTGGAGCGTCGATAAGGAAGGTCACTTTGTACAAACAGATGTAGCATTTTCACCAAAGGTGATCGATCGTAGGAGTTTATCAACACTTTCTTTCTCTCCTACAGGCGATGTATTAATGTTACTTGAGGAGCGACAAGCTCCTAAACGAATTCGGCCTTCTATCAATTCTCCAGAGCTATCTTCGAGCCTTCAACAGCATTCAAATGCTCCGTCCTTTGCTGTTAGTCACAGCGATTCGGAGGAGGATGTTGTTGGCAGTTTTCTAGGCCCAAGAAGACGAAAGCATCATCGAAGGCGGCATAGTGGACGAATGACGCAAAATTTGAGCACTACTCCGCCCAATGCGACAGGAATGGCCGATAGTAAAGTAATGGGATTAGAAGATGCTGTACAAATTACTGGAATATACAAGCCGCGACAAATAATGGCCATTGGCCATGCTCCTTCGACGCCAAAGCGTGTGAAGTATCAATATATGTCTAGTTGCTATTTGGAATATATGATGAAGAACGCAAGTGAAACAGCCGACAATATCCCTTTGAATGTCACCATTTCAACGACTATAGAGCACTTTGCTAGGGGTGCAGAGAACGCCCGATATTACCGGCTGGCTCAAACTTGGAGATTGCTCGGTTTCACGATGGACCTCTTGCTAGTCAGACGTGCAGAGTCCCATCGCCAGTACAGACTACAAAATCTCTCGGGAAAAGATGGGAGATCAAAAGATATCAAGATCTTCGCAAAACTTGATGAAGAATATGACGAGTCAAATGAAAAGACTCCTCGGAAGAGTCAACGCCCTGTGGCTTCAAACGGGGTAGCCTCCCACTCAGTTGTGAGATCAATCATCGCGGATGAGATTGAAAGTACTTCGAATATGGCAACCCCACTTGTTCGGCCTGTCATGGATTCTATTGCAGAAATGTCGGAAGCCGTAGATATACCAAAGGTAGAAAATGACGCGTTGGTACTTTCGCCCCCCGCCACCTCAACAGTTCTTGAGCCAATACCAGTCTCAGTACCTGGAAGTTTCACCTCTGAGCAGACGACATCAAGTGTAGAGGGTTATGACTTTTATGGTATGGATGCTTTCAAGCCGAGTGCCGGTATCGTTCCGCCTAGAAAACAACCCCTTCGGTTAGACTACTCGGAACAAAACAGTTACGCACAACGAATGGGACTTATTCGTCATGATTCTGGTGAGAGTTTTCAAATGTTTTCAACATCAAACGATTCACAATCTAAATATCTTGGTGGTGGTTCGGATAGCGATGTCCACAGCGTAAAGAGAGATGGATCCCTGCGAGAGAGAGTCTCTAGCTGGGAAGGCAACGTCGCTGCAAATTCTAAAGCCACATCAAGTCTCAACTCCCGCCCGTCAGAAGAATCTATGGAGAAAATTTCTGAAGAGCTACCCAAAATCGTAGTTCCAGCCCCCAAAATTTCCTCGCCAATACAAACGCACCGCAAACCTCCACCAGCACCAACAACTCAGTCTGCCTGGGAAAACAATTCTTCTGATCCAAATCTCATTGAAACGGATTTTCTACCTTGGCCCAACGACAAAGATACCGAATTCGTCATCGCCCCACTAAACCCCATCACCCTTGTTCAACGCGCTATCGAGTTCGAAACTCAGACTGGCGCTTTGAATGCAGCTGCAATGATCCTCCTTCTTCGACGCCTTCTCCCGCCGAATACCATCGATCCAATCCACGCAGAAGCCATTCTCCGCCAATACAACCATCGGCTCATGGGCATGCAACTTTTCCACGAAGCGGCTCTTCTTCGAAATCTGTGCGTAACCCACTACCCTTCCATTTATGCATCTACACAAGAACAAGTCAGTATTGGCTTTTACTGCACAGAGTGTAACAAACCACTTGATAATGATCCACTTGTCCCTGGCTCCGAATGGTCATGTCCACGTTGTCGAAATCCGATCATGGCTTGTCCGATTTGTCAGCATGGGGCTGATGCACCTGGAATGGAAGGAGCACAGACATGGTGGTATTGTGGAGGTTGCGGACACGGGGGACATACGGTTTGTATGGATGAATGGCATGCGGACGCCGGGGCTGATTGGAAAGAGGGCGAGAGGTATAGTGGGGGTATGTGTCCGTTGGAGGGCTGTATGCATCCTTGTTTGGAGGGAAGGTGGAGGGAAGAATTGGTAGAGGAAAGGAAGGAGAGGAGGTCGAGGGAGTTAGACAGAGAGGTTAAAGAACGGACTAGTGGAGCGGGTCTTGGGGGTATGGGTAGATGGGATAGAGGGAAGAGTGTTAGGAGGGATGTCAGAGAGGTAGGCCAAAGTAGGGCTGTAGAGGGAGTGAGAGTCGCATTGGGCTTTGGTGGTGGGAGTGGCGGGAGTGGCCATGTGGTAGAGAGGAGAAGAAGCGTTAAGGTTTTGGCCCCTGGTGAGGAGAATGTACCATAATAATTAAGGGGTCAGAACAGCTGTGCGACTCCTTATGAAAGTCAAGACGGTATCTGGGCCTTATGTAGCAGTGTAGCAGTGTAGGATTGGATATTTGCATCAAATGGCATAGCATGGCATGGAATAGTAGCTTCAAGGCGTTAGGTCAATAGGGTATACCCAGGGGTGGCTAGCATATGCATACCATGCATAATTTCTATTGCGTAGGCATAGATGATTATACAATAATAATAGCATGGCAGATAATAATAATGGTGAGCACCGGAACAGAACCACTGAATGGGAATAATCTGGTTCTTAAGTATTACGTTGATAAGCACTCGTGGAGCATGTCCTAGTCATTTAGTACCCTACTGGAAGTTACGATATATCATACAATCTTGCAAATAACAAAGACGGAAGGTAACCTTGATTCAAGACCGTCAATGCAAACTTCACAATACACTACATAGCAGCCATTCAGGATTCACTCCGACCTTTTCACACGCAGTCATGGCAAATCAGCAAAGTCGCTTTATTCCCAACTCCCAACCTCTAATCCATAAACGTCACCGTCTTCGTCCTCACCCACTCCTCCAACCCACTCGCCCCAAACCGTCCAAATCCACTATTCTTCATCCCTCCATGCGGTAAACACGGTTCATCATGTATACTCCCATTATGGCCATTAATATGCACGGCACCGCTCTCAATGGCCTTCGCCATCCTCAAACCCCTCTGTAAATCGCGTGTGTAGATGCCGGCTGAGAGTCCATAGTCCGTATCGTTTGATATGCGGATCGCTTCTTCTTCGGTCGAGATCTCGATTATGGAGACGGTTGGGCCGAAGGATTCTTCGCGGTAGATGGTCATGGAGGGCGTGACGGATTTGAGGATTACTGCGGCCATTTTGGTCGTGGGTGGTGAATTTTCGGATGGTGCTGTGCCGTGGAGAATAGAGCCGCCTTTGGATAGGGAATCGGTGATTAAGGATGCGTTTCTGGAGACTCCTTGGGGGTTGATGAGGGTCCCTGGTGATGAGAACATTTCTGCTGTGGCGGCTGCGAATGCCTGTTCACTGTGTGGGCTGTTAGCTTTGTAGTGTGCATTGATCATCTCTTTTGTCAAGAATGACGAGAATAATTGAATAGAGGGGATAGAAAGGAAAGCTTACAACTCCGCTGCAACATTTTTGTGAACAAGAACTCTTTCTGTACTCATACAAATTTGACCCGAATGCAAGAAAGCTCCCTTTGCACACTCCGTGGCCGCCAATTTCAAATCTGCATCTTCCCACACGATCACGCTAGCTTTTCCTCCCAATTCTAGCACTATGGGCTTAAGATTCTTCCCCGCCAATTCCCCATAAATCTTGCCTACCCTCGTGCTACCGGTAAAATTGATCTTCTTGATAATAGGACTCTCGATCAATTGTGCAGTTCTCGCCGGAGCATCTTCAACCGAGATAGCCACGAGGTTCAGGACTCCTTTTGGCAGCCCAGCTTTGTGGAAAATATCACAGATTTGCCAACTACACATGGGTGAAAATTCAGATGCCTTGAGAATTGCACAATTGCCTACTGCTAGCGCATTCATGACACTTCGGAAACCGAGAATGTAAGGAGCGTTCCAAGGTGCTGCACCGAGAATGACCCCATAGGGTTCTTTGTACACAAGCGCACTACGACCTTCTTCGGATGTCATGGGGATACTACCCACGATAGAATTCAGACGGCCAGCAACATCTAATAGACCTTCTCGAGAAGTATGGGTGTTGAACTCGGCCCAGATGGCTTCGGCGCCGGTTTCTTTATGCATTATTTCCTCGAGGAGAGACTTTCGCTCGAGTAAAATTTCGGCTGCTCGGAGAAAAATGTCACGTTTTTGAGGTGGCGGTAAAGTACGCCATGCTGGGTAAGCGGCTTGAGCTGTATTGAGGGCGAGATCAATATCAGATGCAGATGCTGATACGCAGTTGTGGAGGTGTGAATTATCGGTTGGAGAATAGACAGAAAAGGTGTTGGAGGAATAATAGGGTTCATTATTGATAATGAGGGGTATTGTGTGGATTGAGGATGATATGTTGGCCGTGCTGCTATGGTCTTCAATTGCGGAGGGAGACATTGGTATTGATTTAAGTTATTTGGATGATTGAAGTTTTAGTTATATGCTGCTTAGGGACTGTAACAGAACAGAGAACCATAAATACAGGAATCCTTTTTATTTCAAAGGTTTTGATATCGAATCTGCACATGCCGGCTGTTCTGAAGTGTGGATCAAAGAACAACTACCAATAGTGGATCAACACTTAACCGTTTGTCCTCCCGCTCCAGTGTTGTGGGAGCCGCAACTTTGCTATGCCCGGTGGATGAGAGGCTTGGAAATTTGCGGGAAGAAGTCGCGGCAATGTTGATGAGAGGCGATAGAGCCAATGGAAGACTAGAAATATTTAAGCATTATAGTAAGAATCTTAGGCCAGCAAGGCTCTTTCTCATCCAATACGCAAAACAAACCTTCTCGGAGGACCGTGTGGGCGATATGTGGTGTATGTGGTAATGGAAATGTCGAGTGGATTCCCCAATTCAACTGTAATCCATGACATCAAAGGAGATAAGACGCGGGGCAAAACGCTAATACCGAATTCGTTGATTAATGGGGATTAATAAGCGGGGAATCTCCCACCCTTATATGCCGGAAACATTCCCGGTACTTTGGTTGCTAGTTGCTGCTGGTGTGCTCACTAATAGTCAGCAGGACTTGTTACTAAGAACTTACAAACACCACATGAAGAAATTTCAAGAATTGGGTGGTTTTATTAAATGTTTCTATTCGTTACGTCTCATTGACTTATAATTAGACCATATTATTTTCAACTGACTTGGACCAAGGCAATAAATACATGATTCAAGGCGTTGAGTAACCTAATTGTTGTACTAATATATTACCCCTCTTTTGGCACTTCTTGTACTCTAAATCTTCGTTCCATCCCCAACGACTAGGATATATCTTTCTCATAACCTTTCCCGAGCGAATGTAGGGGTATCGTTATTGCATCGTAAAAAGTCGCAACAAATAGCATCTTCCAAATTTTTGTATTTATGAACATCATCCAACCCTATGCCTGCTGTTAAATCTCCAAAGAAAGGTGTTGGCAGTTGCCCGTGGAGCCGGCCTGACAATCTTCAGTTACCTGGTATCAAACAGGTTGAAGTCGCGCATTGCTTCCCATATTTTCTGCTCGTCAGAGGCTGCGGTATCAATCCCGCTCTTGTCAAGTTCTGAAAATGCCATTCGGGAGCCGATTCCGTTTTCCATGTCCAGAACACCCAGCCCGAGTGAGCTTCATAGGCATCAAGCTGTGCCTCCATGAAATATGCAAGATTAACTTTGTCGATGGCAAGTAGACCGTCAACCGTTCCTACATCTTTCGTCTGGCAAGACCCGTACACTGCAGGACTGCCGGGATACGATCCATCGTATCGAGAACCGACACCAAAGCCATTCAGCCATTTTGCGCAGTCTGTTTGTGCTCCGCTGAATTCTCCAACGATTGTCCATTTATCTGTGTTGGCCAAGTTGCCAATTTGACTGCATGCAACTTGAACATGTTGGCAAGGCTTCATTGCCACCTCTGCAAAGGAAAATATTTGATAAATATGGGTATCGAGAATGATATCATTGACTCCAGATTGATAGTTCATGAACCCATTCCATGAAGGTGGAGAAAGGAACGCATCATGAATGACAACAGCAGTATCGGGGTTTGCGTTTCTCACATTTCCCCAGCCGTCGTAGTAGAACTGCTTCACTGCACCCATGTCAAGGGCCCAGTTAGCTGGCTCGTTGAGAAGCTCGATTCCGGTAACAACATCAGTCGCTGGAGCATAGCGGTAGGCCAATGTTTGTATAGCAGCTAAAGTTTGTTTGGTAGTATCTCCTTGGGTCCAAGTGATAGGTCCTTTTCGTCCAGAGTTATCGAATCTATACACAATTAGCCTTTGATACTACCAATTGTTCTCGCCATATCCAACGAACCCGTTTTGACTTCCTGGGGCTACTCAGGGGTTAGCGACGATCTTTACTTGGTTGCAAAATATGTCTCACCACCATGAACATCTAGAATAATTTTCAACCCAGCTTGTCTTGCCCAGCCGATAGCTTGGTCTAGGTATATTAACTGTCCCTGCACATAAGGATCGCCGGGTAGCGGGTTCAAAGCCCAATAACCAATGGGTATCCGAACATGATTCAAGCCTACACTTGCAATCTCGTTGAAATCGTTTTGCGTGATCCAAGTCGCCCAATGCGCGTTCAATAAGCCTTGCGAGGCAGATTTCCCAAGTGTTTGAGTTAGGGTGTACCTGAAATGATGAGTAAAATGTCAGAGGATGTCTAGAGGTGGCCATCGTTCGAAGGTACGTACTCATCTACCCAAGATCCATAAAAGAGCGATGGAGTAATCCAGGGCTCGAGCACAAACCATCCTCCTAGATTGACTCCACGAACCTTGTCGCCATTGTAGTCGAAGCTCAACCCCTTTTTCTTAAGTCTTATGTATGTTAGTGATCACTGCGAGTAGGCTACTATGGAATCATTCTCACAATGGCGTAGCTTCAGTCACTAGCAGACATGCTGCAATGATCAGAGTCCTAAAAGATGATACCATTTTAGTCGAACTTCGGGATAATTTCAGGAGATTCCCAAATGGTATCTAGACGTAGTACGAAAGCCAATTTATTTGTACTCCAAAAAACACCTAGGGAAAGCCTGTAAGGGAAAGTCTTGACACAAGATAAGTTGATGTTTTGAAAGAAGCATTCATCGATATTGGGAGGTGCTTCCGAGTACTTATTTCCCGCAAGGAAGGAGCAACCAATGCAGTAGAGTACTGTGCTATCCCAGGATTTGGATAAATAGAAGGCAAAGACGAAAATTGTGGCTGAAAGCAGACACGTCGGTCTTCATGACCATCTTTGGAAATGGTTCATGTAAACATGGCGATTGCAAGAAATGTTATTAGCCAAGCTGCATGACACCTATCGGGTGATCGCACAAAGCCAGCTTCTCGGAAGATGCAACTCTGCTAAATCCAAGCTAGGTAGTCTGTCTCGGGCCTCACGACCAGTAGAAAAAGTGTAATAGATGAAGCTTCAACGTGGATTCTGTTTGTAAAGGTTGAATGTGGAAGGAGGTATTAGTGCCAGGCACAAAGTAATAGTGCAGGGTACTTCAATGCCGCTTTTATCATCAAATAGCTTCAAAAAATCGCAAAATCCAGAGACAAATCTCAAAGATCCCTTACAAGGTTAGCTAGGTAAATCACTGACTTCTGACTTTTGCAGTCTCATCGCACGCTAATGAAAATATCCTTCTAAGCTTAATCTTCAATCAATCTTATAGGAGATTATCTTCCTGGTCGCTGAAGGACCCTCGACATCTAGACTGCTCTTTAATCATGGATGTTAGTGAGATGGTGAATGCTCAAAGTTCTGGCCAGAACGACGAATGCCCATAGGAAAAGTTCTTTCGAAAATCTTGATCCAGAAACAAACAGAAAATTTTAAAAGCAGCCTATAAGGTTTGTCCCAAATGATGCCGGTACATCACCCTTGTGTTGCACAGCATGCTGCAGCCAATATACCCGTCGAATGACAATTGGAAGTTTTCGGAAGCTTTTGCGTTTCCTGGTTGTCAATAGAGATGAGAGATGAGAGGATCTTGCTCTGCGTTGTCCCAGACCAAGTCCTGCTTTCAGCTGTCTTGACCCTTGCTCTTCACGTGAGATGTTTACTCTTATTGGTCTACCTCAAAAAGCCGTGGTATGTTGTTCGACATAAAAGGTGTCACGAGTGACTAGCAGGCAGCTTCACGAGGTCAACTCTGCATCGCTTGGTGCGAAGTTTCTTACCTGAATGACTCGGGCTGTTTGTCCACTTTTGATAGTTCACCGAGGGAGGATGTGATGAACACGTCGGAAAATAATAATAATAACCCTGTGAGACAAATCGACTTCCGTACCGCATAATTGCTAAACCCCTAAGCCCGATTTTGACGACACCCAACCAAAACAACAACAATGAGTTCCAGAAACTATTCGCCGAGGCTTGCAATAGGTGATAGAGGGGTTGCGCAGAAATTAATTTCTCTTTGTAGAGTACAAAATGAAAGTAGGTAAGGACTCAAAATGATGGAATAAGAAGTAGCCGTCATATTGAGTTTTTCCGACTTCTTTAGTACTATAATTTTGAGTTTAATGGTGGGATTAGCCCTCGCCCGTAGAATGTGGCAGCCAGCCACACTAGTGAAGAAGTTAAGCTTTCAGGGTCGATGGATCGTTTATGAGAGATATCAAAAAGGCGGAGTGCATTAAAACGCGGGTTTGATGATCCAGCTTCATGCACATCAGATCCAAAGTATCATAGTATGCCATTAACCATGACAACGACTTTGATATCGCCGAATAGTATCACTTCTATTACCTAAAATCAAGGAAGCAACCAAAAACGAGCGAACTCATAGACAGATCTTCAGGTCATAAGGGACAACAGATGAGATCTATCAAAAAATGTAAGTATCCGAACACGTTCAGAGTTCGCAGGTTCATCATCCGAACCTTTCGACCGACTTCGGACCTTGGAAAGATTGCTGTAACAGTGGCTATTCACATGATGAGCTACTCATGTAGAGGTTGGTGTATCCCCCTGAGTAGTGCTTTGGACACAACGTATAATCGAGCACTCGAAATCAATTTGGCATAACTATAACTTGAAAACTCTGAAGAACCCAAACACGACAGTATGTAGCATCACGTGACACCAGGTCAACGTTTGTTTGGCACATCTCCTTCAATTAAGATGGAAAAGAAGCTCCCGCCTGGCTTGTCTCAGGCTGTTGTCGTCTAATCCTTTCCTGATTTACCTTCCATTCTCGTTCCAATTGTGCCTTTTTCTGCATGATCGATGGATTGAGAAATGGCTGTGGAGTTGCAAATCCGTTAAACTCTACGACTGTAGATGATAGTAAGCTCAATATCATAGCATAGAACCTAAAAGGGCGGTGCGAAACTAACCTTTGATACTGTCGCCTCTTGCACATACCGATACCTCATTTCTTGGTCGGGCAGGCTGGCTGTAGGACAAGGTCAATGGATTTGATCGAGGTGGACATGGAGGACCTTTAATCAAGGGACGTTTCGAGTCGGACATGATCTTAAGTGGTGGCATTCAATACTGAATGTCAAGAACTAAATCTTACCTTGATTTTCGAGTTCTCCTCAACAATGAAATGTTCCAAAGCGGAATGCGCATATAAATATGACACTAGTCTTCATTCAGGCTAGCTCAACTTTTCTGATATTGGAGAAAGACATCAGCAGAAACGATCAGAGTTATAAATGAATAAAACTTTCTATTTTTTACTTTGAGGTTGAATAAAAAAGTTGAGATGATGCTTATCAATACCAAATATAAAGAGCATAGGAGAACGGCTGCACTTCTCTTCATCTCACCATTACCTAGCTAACTTGCTCTCGGTGAAGCCCCGGTGTTGGGTTTCTTAAGACCAGAAAGAGTATCAGATTGAATTGATTGATTCTCTAGCTAAGCAGTTAAGCTGCGAGCATATATTCAAAAAAATGAAGGAATAGGTTGGGTATTCGGCCTTCGGAATTAAAGTGCTTTGAAATCAAAATATTGAAAGCAAACAAACAGTATACCAAAAAGGAAAGAATGAATTAAAAGTTGAGTTTTGTTTGCTCCTTATATGCATATGTACTATATATGCATATGCTGCCAAGATCTCAGGAGGTCAACACCCGGTGAGCTCAAGGAGCATGCTCCAATTTCGATTTTCCAACAATTTTCTTTCTGAAAAGAAAGCCATGATTAGAATGATCTGTAATGGGTAGTTTCCAAATTTCATGTGTTTTTGAACGACTGCCATTATCAATTCTTCTCGTGCTTCTTCTCAACAATTGATCATTATACGAGATTTACAAAAAGAGTTTTGTTATATATCTCACGTTTTGTTCACTTCTTTCTAATATCATACATATACCAACACTCATAATGTACTTTTCTTACTTCTTGAAACTTGGCTCACAAGTTGAAATTAGAAGATATAGGTTACCTATAATTTCAGAAACTCACTCAAATAGCTTGGGGTCTGGTTTAGTAATCTCGCATTGAATTGAGTGTCAAAGTGCATTTTACACTCCGTCATCAAGTGACGATTAGAAGTTCGATTCATTTTTTATCTCCATCGCAACAACATCCTTATATATACTGGCTATTGAGCTCTCATCATAACCTTACATCAAAGTTTACAAACTCAAATCCCCCAAATTTGCCTTCAATTCTTTCAAGTCTCCCTTATCCTAACTTTCGTGTCATCTCACCATCCGCAGCTTTTCACTGCCCCTTCCCCCCATTGGCAAACAAAAGACGCCGTTGCATAAAATATCTCTATCCCAGCCCTAAACTCTGTGCCTGCAGGGAACCAAGATGGTTTCTTCTTTGGTGCTATGAATTTTTCTCCTCCAATGATTGATGTCAGTCAGAGAGCCCTCTACTGAACAGATAGCACGAGTGTGTCTGCGAACTTGGCTTAATTATATTTTGGATGTTTTGTATGTTAGGATGTCCCAGAATATCATGTATGGAAAATTCGTTGCTGGTTTCTTCTCTCATGCACAAAGTTCTCAATACCGTGCCACCAACAACCTTCTTTCCTCCCTCTTCCTCCTTCAGGAAATATCCGCAATTCTCACATTTTTCGGGCAATTTTTTCAGCACCATTCCATTAGCCGTGACTGAAGCTTTTCTTCTCCACGTACTGGAATCTTCTCGAATTTCTCAGTGGCAGTAAGAAGTTTTAGGATGATGACTTCGAAAGACCTGCAGTTGTCGTTTATGGAGAATAGGGAACCTGGAATATGGTTAACCCATGAAACAGAAAGAATCCTTCAACTCAGCGAGAAGTAGCGACTTGGTATTGACGGATTTTTTGTCTCGGGGAGATAAGAGAGGTTAGTTCTTGCGTGATCCATATATCACGTTTCGTCACAGCGTGTTGCTTCTTTGGGAGAATTAATGCCATTTTATAGGACGCATATCAATTAAATTGATTCTATGAATATGAGAAGAAAAGAGAGTCATTGTGAGAGAATCTGATACAAAGGAGACGAAAAGAGACAACGAAAGTATATTTGGTGTATTCCGTAGTCCCCGAACTTCATTTGGTACGCGTAAAGCTCCTAGCGGGGCCGTCCACATGATAAGTGGACTCTGCATGAGGGGTCCATCCAAACCCCATAAACCACCATTCCATTGACCTAGCGCAACCCCCTCAATCTCACATCATGGGAATCATTCCCAAGTTTCTCGGCGTTATAGAATTTCCCGTGGAGATTCTAAAAGGCCGAGAAGATCCGTTCCTATCTACACTATCTTGATCCAAGCACCGAGTGATTGCGCATTTTATATATATCCGTTGTGGAGATCGGTGGATAATGGACGTTGAATGGAGTGGGAATCTTTTCGTTTCACTGAATGAAGATATGTCTGTGGATTGAAAGGATCGCGCTCCGGTAAGCGCTAGATGATGATGTAGAGTTAGAGATACTGGTTTGCTAGGCACCTATGCAGTTACTAAAACTATTTAAAGTGATTCTAAAAGAACCTCATTGCTCGCAGGTTTGTCTGATACTCTAGTAGAAACCTTCTGTTCTTCTGGCTGCTTGCAAAGTTCAAGGTTGTTTGGGATACAGTATCAACAACAAAGTATTTCAATCTCACTTCACAATAGCACTTTATAGAAAGGTTCATCCAGTCCGTCACATCGAATCAAGTTCCATCACATCCACAACCATGCAAGCGATTAAGGAACTATCCCTCACAACTGGCACAGTCATAATGGACGTCGTGCTTCCCACCACAAAAATCATGGCTCCCTCCCTCCTAAAGAATAAAGTCTCTATCCTCTCCGTCCCCCGCAGCACTCACACATATGGTTCCCACCCACGCCAAACCCTCGATCTCTACCCCTCTAGCAACACTTCCAATTCCTCCCCCATACTAATTTACCTCTACGGCGGTGGTCTCATCCGCGGCGACAAAACCCTTGATATACCATTCCTCGAGAACCTCGTATATCACAATCTAGGCGCTTTTTTCTCCAAACGAGGCATCACAACCATTATTCCAGACTATCGACGGGTGGACAGCGAAATCGGTGGGGAAGGGGCCATCTACCCCAGCGGAGCGGAAGATATATCCACCGTCCTCCAATGGCTCTCCAAAACCGATCTACTTGATGGCAAAGGAAATAAAAGAGATGTGTACCTTATGGGTAATTCAGCAGGAGGCCTTCACATCGCCACGTATCTTCTCGAACCTCGGTTTCTAGAGGAGAGAAAATCGTGGCAGGGAGGATCTAATGTGACATTGAAAGGAGTCGTTAAAGTCGGAGCTCCGTATAATTTCGATGGATCGCGGGCTGACCGAAAAGATATGTTAGATCGGTATTATGGGAGTGATGAAAACATCCAAACGAAGAGTCCCTGTGGCTTGTTGAAAGCAGTAGGAGAAAGTAAGAAGTCAAGAGAGGAATTGGGAATTCCGAAATTACTGGTTATGAATTCGGAGTGGGACCCTGTGGATGAGATTCTGAAGTCCAACGATGATTTTGTGAAGCTAGGGGAGGAGGTTTGGGGAGAGAAGATTGAGGTTATCAAGATTCAAGGCCATAATCATATTAGTCCGCCAATGGCTTTAAGTAGTGGAGAAGGAGAAGAATGGGGCGAGCAGGTGGCAAGATGGATCAGAGGCAATGCTTAAATTTTGTGAAAGCTACAGTTATATCCGTTCTGTCTGAAATAGCTCTTCATTGGAGATAGGGAGGAACCTTGGCGTTGGGCACTTAGCGTTATATATGCAAGATTTTCCGGAAATGTGTCAGTTAAGACAATATGTGATATGTTTTCGAAGAGGTGTTAAGAAAGATGACAACTTTTGCGAGTTAATTTGACTTCTAGGGTATCCATTTCCAACTTCCCGAACGCCATAACAATGCCCAAAATCCCTAAGCCTCAAAACTATCATTCAAATATCTCACGAAAGTCTCCTTAATCCTCCCGACAGTCACCGCATTAGTCCTCTGCAGACTGATGAACTGTCTCCTCAACCGCTGCAACGCCGGTAATCCTACCGGATTTCCAGGTAATTCCACCACTAGTTCGTCTCCTTTTGAATCTTTCCCTACACTGACTTCTCCGCCGCCTTCGCCTGGGTGATCTTTGCTCCATTCCAATATTCGATTGAGAACCGTCTGGGTAATTTTATCCAACTCATATAAAAATCCCTCGCTACTGTGAACCTTTGCAACTGTCGCTGCGTTCGGCTTCACTATCTTTCTTTTCCCCTCAGAATCATCCCCGATTATAGCATCCCAAATAGCATCTCCGGGCACGTTTTCATCCTCCCACACAACTGTAAATAACGGTGAGTCCCAACGAACCATCGCATTCGGTTCTTCGTATCGAAACACCAGATTCTCCCAATTATCCTTTTCGTATGCTTTGTCTTCCTCTTTAACCTCGGCGATTGCCGCAGATTGTTCCGACTGTGACGTATTCTTTCGTTTCAACCGCGCCTCATTAACCTCCTTGGCTTTATCAGCAGGAACCCCTACGTGCATAACACAGCAACCTGTCCGCATAGCCTTTGCCTCGCAAAATAATTGGTATCTCCAGCCTTTGATATAGTTTCCTCCATCCAATATCACCACATCTTTATTACTCAACACTCTCTTCACCGCAGCGTATATTGTAGCCCGCGCATCTTTCTCGCTCGCATTATTCGATCGCTCATTGATGGATTTAGATTCGAGATTATATACTTCCCGGGGAATGGCGAGGGTATGATCTGAGATGAGGTGGACGCGAAGGGAGGAAGAAGGACTACTGGGGGGAAGGGAGGATATTTTCGCGAGGAAGTATTCGCGGAGCTGAGTAGCCCGGTAAGTTTTGCCGGAGGTAGGGTAGCCCGTTAATATTATGAGCTGCCAGATAAATACCAGTGTTAGTGGTATTGGGGGTTATGCATTTGAGGAGCGTACTTACCGGCATGATTAATGGATGTATGTGGAATTACTTACTGGTTTGTGCGATCATACATTCAGTCGGTGGAGTGGAAAAATCTCTCGGGTCCCCGCGTAGCTAGACCGGATAAGAATCCGTCACGTGGTGATAAAGATGCCCCTCCATCGATACGTGAACTTGCGACGAATGAAAAATATATTCCAAAGATTTAATGTTATACGTTCTGAAAGTTAGGGTATTCCTGTAAAAACATCACGAAACAGGGCCAATTGTCCCGAATCCAATTTGATCGGTTTAACTAACTCATTCTCAGTCCTTTCTTACCAGCCCAAGTCATATCATACATCTATTATCCGCTGAATATACGAAGCGATTACTATCAGTCCTCAATATTCACGCCAGCCTTTTTGTATAATATCCTCTGGTTACCGTTCCATTTCTTCTTAGTCTAGCTCTACCACTTTTTGACTGCACTTCAGATACTTCATTCACTTTTCGTAGTGTCTTAATATTGGCACCTACTCGTGTCACTCCACAGCCTCACTCACGCACGTTCGGATACTCGCTTGAGGCGGTACAACGTGATTGAAATCGTAGCCAGCTGAGGACTGAAAGCTGTGTTTTAATTTGCGAAGATTCATAGACCAGTAATAGCTGGCGAATTACAAGTCACTCGGTCGTGCTCAAACACGAGGGTCATTTTCCAATTGAATTGTAGGTTGGCGGCTCAAGTGAGAGCTCACTATTTGTATGTTATCGTCGTGCAACACGCTTGACGTCTTTTTCTAGGAAAGCTATCCCTGAACGTTACACGGCACTTTAGCGAAGCTCACAGTGCATCAGAAATCGTGCCAATGGAGAGATAGCAGGGCTTGTTATCCATTGCGTGATATTTCGTGTTCGGAATGATGCAGATTAGTTGGATCTAATCAATCTTCTTGCATCATGAGTCGCATGCAAACATGTGAAATGTAAGTGAGCGGAGTCTGGACCATCTACTCGGTCTGTACCACACATTATGGTTGAGGTGAATTTCTCCCTCCCTTCCGAATGCCCTATTAGAGTGATATTTGACGCATGGCTTGAAATCTGTTCAATGACTTCAAGCCAGTCTGAAGTTTGGGCACCTCCGTGACACCCATGCTGGAATATGCAAAACTTGTTGCATAGTACCTTGGCTGTAAGAAATATAGCTGCTCAACCTTCTTGAGGCATTGGAACCTCCAGCGTCTAAACGGACAATATTGCTTGGTATGATCAACATGAATGCTGAAAAATTCCTGGGATAACTGAGTGCTGAACGGAATGAACGGGGCCTTTCGCCTGGAAGCAAGAATACTAAGAGACTTTCTTGGGCATTATAGCCTGAATGATCGCGTGTGAAGTGTAGAAGCCTCGGACCGTCTCGGTGAGGGTGACATTCTTAGAATTGTCTATCCCGAACCTTGCTTGTGTGCTGTTCCTGAAGTGTACAAAGCCGTGGAACATAGGACATTATCCAAAAGTTCCGAATCTGGAGTTTAGACTTGTAGCTCCATACATGTTCCGTACTGCCGAAAGCTTTGAACTTCCAATTGTTATTGAACTTTATAAAATTTCTTTTACTTTTTGTCATCGTACAGTGACAGGCCAGCATGAAAGTGGATTATCGCAGGCGCCATGCCGAAAAATCGCGCAGAGGAAAATAGAAAATTTGCACCTGCCCTTGTTCAATTGAGAAGGTCTCTGTCTTCTTGGCCTCATTGCGTCCACCACAAATTTGATATTATCATGTCATACAAAAAGTAGGTACCGCGAAGAGGACCGCACGAGAAAGACTCATCGTGTGTTCGCAATTTGAAACCCTTGGTGCTGGATCTGTAGTTAATGAAGGCCTTGCAAAGAGTTCCTCCATGGATTCTCTATGGTGTGATAAAAAATTGAATGCTACTCCGCGTACAGGCAGAAAGCGAATACGCGTATCAGAAATTGACGGACAGCTTCATGTTCGACCCATGTAATATGTGCAGTAATGAATTGCTTGCAGGCTTGAAATGATGCAGCTGAGATAACGTTTCCATTGGCCAGGTGAATGAAACTATCAATGATACGGGGCGACAACTTGCAGGAAAGAGCTGGAGAGCTGATGGATTGCATGCCAATCAATTTTCCAATCAACCACACAGAGAGACCAGCGCATCGAGAGACGCTTGCTAATGGCTACACCATTTTCCCATCCGGACGTGCAATTGATTGATGTGGGAAAGTTGCCGAAAACTCCTTGGACATTCCGCGCATCTTTATGCTCATCATACAGAAAGTATACATCCTTCTAATTGCAAAGCGATGTACGTACCAAAAAAAGGATGCACGATGAATCATGATCTTCATTTCAAGAATTTAGAGTTTCTATCCCCTGAACTATCTCACGTTGTGGCCTTGTGGGAGGAAAAGATCGTCGGATGTAATCAAAGGAAAACCTTCTAGTTTATGCTCTGAGCCATCAAAACTTCAAACAAATTGACAATAGACAAGTGCGGGTAAGGGGCTTCTTCCGTCCGGCTCAGGGCACAACTATTCAACCGATCTCCAAATACGAACGATAGTGTGTTCCATGGATTTCTCGAATAAAAGCCGAAATTATAATCTTATTATTATCAGTAATGAATGATGTTACCTTCTCGTTTTTGATGTTGCCAAGTTCCAATATTTGATAAGGCTAGAAAAAGGGTGACACTGACCTGTGGAGGAAAGCCTTGAAGGACATACCTTTTGCTTGTTATGATACACAACTTCCCTTGACTTCACGTCTTGTCGAATGAACTGAGCCTTGACTAACTGACCCTGATGTTGCATAATCTTTCTCGGGAAGTTTAGAGTTCAGAAAAGAGAAAAACGGCAAGTGGGATCATCTTCCTCTCCGTGATAAGGATCACAAACCTGTTTATAGCCTCATTTTTACTGAATGTGGCTTAGTCTCTGGACCATTTTCATTCATAATATGCTTTCCAATATACTCAGCAAAGTACTTATGCATGCACGTTTTCAAGAATCTATCACATTTTTGATATTCCTCGGCGGACGTCGTCATCCCATTTCTATCCCTGACCAAGCAACCTTACACTGTACAGGAAGCCATTTTTTCTTTTCGTGCCTTCAGATTGTTCAGTGTTCAGTGTGCAATGGACTTTTCCCAGAATCACAGGCTAAAAGTAGAGAAAATCTGCTGCAGCTCCTGTTCATCTCATCCATACACAACCTGGTTGATGGAGGGGTCATGCAGTAATTCACATCAATGGCCCATATTTATTTTAAGAGAAACAGAATCGATACCAGGATATCAACAAGGCAGGTGTGAGGACTTTCAGTCAAAATGCAAGGTATATCCGTAATTTTGGTGAGTCGTGAAGGGGTGACCATTTAGCCAGCCAGTGATATCAACTCATCAGCTCGTGGCTAATTCAAACGAGGAAAGCGATTCAAAAGAAGAGACAACGCATCAATGTCTCACATGGCAGGAGGACCCTCGTTAACAAATCAATTACCCTGGTCCTTTCACACATTTCACTAACCATTTCACTAATATCACATATCCTTGGTTTTTGTTCGCTTCGTGCGTTTCCTACCTTGTCTCCTCAATTTGGTTACCATTGAAAAGCATAAGTGCCCAACCTCCCCCACCTTGGACGAACTCTTCTTTTCTTTCCATTCTCATTCATCCTTTACCTTGCTCACGTCTCAATCAGCCTCTTTGACTGTCGCCCAAGACCAAACATACTTCGCCCTTACTCCAGTTCTTGTATATTGCGGATCCCCCTTTAAAGCTGCCCAACTTGTCTTGCTTGTCCTTCTTGCAAACATACCAACAGAGATCATCCAGCCGGATTGTTCTTATCATCAACATCAGTTATTATTTCTCGCTCATACCACAAGGCCGTGGCCATAAGAGTAGTATCTCAACAAATAGTTCCGCAACACATTCGACAAAGCACACTGCCGTTGCTTCAATAAAAAAAGGATCCCAAATGACTTGCACGGAGACTTTGACCATTCTCCCGGAAACCATGGCAGGCTTCGACACACCATCACATTCCAGGAAGGCATCCGCCAGGTATATTGTTTTTTTCTATTTCGCGCGTTGTTTTGATTTGCGTTGAGAGTTTGCTTTTGCTTTTACTGCTAGAATCCCGGATGTTTTTATGTTCCCAGAAAATTCATGTACCTTTCATTTAACGACACAAGATTTCCAATAATACCCGGACGTTCCAAGGACATTCCCCAGGCACAAATCCAGATTTCCCAAGTTTTCCAGGAACCCATAGGATATTCGATGGTCTTACCGTGTATCCACACGGCGAGAGGATGCTTCACCTCTTCGGAGGTTGCGAGAGCATTCTGACAAAATTATGAAATATCAAACAAGAGACCTCCGGTCTTGGGTGAGTATATACCTACCCGAAATGGACATCGGACTGCAAATTTCTCTTTATACACCGGAAGGACCCGAATTTCCAATGGACCCAGACACCAAATTCTTTTCCAGGTGCCCTATTCGCTGTATCCGAAGTCAGAAGGATCCTTCTCGCCGACAATTCCGAGATGTGGGGCTCGCATATCCTGCGAGCGCATCGAACCTTTCCGGTACTATCAGTCATCTCAACAATAGCCTTCAACCCGCGTGCAGGGCCAGCTGCATGCCAGATGACAACAAACTCCCGGCTATACTGTCCAGATTGTTTCTACATGCAGTTTCCATGCATTAGGATACCCATCACTCGTCTTTCAACTACTTCCCACATTGGACACCATGGATTTATTTTCCTATTCAACTACCGCTTGTGGAATTACCTGCTCAAACGACACTCCGGGGAACTATCACAGGAAGTAACTGGCTATTCCGGTCAGTTACGGTGCTTTATCAAGCATCAGGCATCAATTATGCCACTGAGTACGTAACCTACTCGATGTCGACTACAAGTCTGACAATAATCCCCTATAACACGGTCGAGCATCAACTAACCTTGATATTGTTTTCTTTTGAGCAGAAGGATTTCACAATCAACAAAACCATCCATGGAGACATCTACATCACAAGGAACACAAGGAAGACCAGCCCGTATGGATGCCAAGGACTTTCCAGGATCTACCACCCTTTCTCATTTGTTCATGTTTATTGCCCTGGATGTTCAACCATTTGCCCTGGATGCCCTCGACATAACTGCCCGGAATCGACCATTAGATGCTCATGGCGAATCCCACATGGTCTGTAGAATACCCTCTATACTTTTTAAAGATGAAAACTAACGTATTGCTGCTACAGGACTCTCTGGATGCTGTTGTCTTGATTTATTTGTTTTTCTTTCTGTTTTATTTGCAATTGTGGTTATTTCAATAGCGTTTGCACATCACACTAACCTAGATCTTGTGTAGCGGTTTCCATTCAAGAGCCCCATTCCAAGGAACAACCGGATTTTCTTTGCGTCATACAGAACCTACCCAGGGGCAGTACAGTGGATTATCCTGGAACGGAAAAAGTGAGGGTTTACAGTACCCACGCCGTGATTCTACTTCCCAAGGACCCAGCGGATTTTCTGATTCTTCTCTTTACATACCGGTAGCTCAGATGATAAGTCAACGGTGGCCCACCGATTTGACTACTGATCTAGAGTCAGTGGAAATGACTCGCTTCTCATCCAAGGAATCATCAAGGACAGTTCAATCAACATCGACATCTGAGTCTTTGCCAATGGGATACTATCCCAATGCCTCTCAGGCATCATATCAAATGTCTTCTGCAAGATCAGATGTTAAAGGTAGATCAGCTAGCCCACCAAATTCTGTTCTGTATACCCCAACAGCACAATTTGATCTTCAATCCACATTCGGCACATTCCAGTACCCAGGAGCAGATGAAATGGCGGGAAATGATTACCAAGTACCGGTCACCAGTGGATTTCAGCAGCCACCCACTTTGTCATTGACAACAGGAGGATTTGAAATGTTTCCCGGCAGTCATGGATTGCCAACAAGTATGACAGCAGCTTCTAGCTCCATTTCCAGTTATGTTCACAGCGCACAAGAGTCTGTTTTCTTCGACAGTCCTATATTAGGATCTCCAGACATGTGGGATGCTGCTTTACTTGAATCTGCAAAACCACACACACCCGAAGCCGATGAATCATGGACTCTTCCACCACAAATGATGTCTTCAATAAACAGCCCACCGGATTACTCCCCTACTGAAGGCCGATCGCCAAGGTATGTTCAAGGCCTTCCAGATTTCATGGATTCACCTCCTTACAAGACCGGCGACAGGACCATAAGGAAGCCAATGGGACCAAGAGCTTCCAAAGTTGCTAGTGACACCAATGCCAGACGTGTCCCAGGAACCGAGATGCCAGAGGAGTCCTTCAAGTTGATGGGACGTTCCAGTCTCGACGCTGATAATTCAGCTCGTGATCATCATTTATATCATAATGTGACCACCAAATCTGATGGATTATACCACTGCCCATGGGAAGGAACTTCCTCATGCCAACACAAGCCAGAGAAGCTCAAGTGCAACTACGAGTAGGATCCATATACTCCCTCTAAAAATAACTATCAAGCTAACCGTTTTACCCTGCAGCAAATTTGTCGACTCTCACTTGAAGCCATACCGCTGCAAGATCGCGGCATGCGCGGACAACAAATTTTCATCCACGGCCTGTTTACTCCGTCATGAGAGAGAAGCCCACGCCATGCATGGACATGGAGATAAGCCATTCCTTTGCAAGTATGACGGCTGCGAGCGCGGCGTCACTGGCAATGGTTTCCCACGCCGCTGGAACCTTTATGACCACATGAAGCGTGTGCACAGTGATCCATGCACATCCAGGAGTGCCGGTGGATCCCCACCGCCTACAGAAAAGCCAGCCACTGGCTCCAAGAAGCGTAAGCAGGATGCCATTACGGAGCCAAGTACCTCGGACAAGGAAGCCGTCAAGAGAGTCAAGACACCCCCAGTTGTTAACCAACAACCTTCCTTGATTGAGATTTATCACCAAAGTGAACAGCGACTCCAGGAGGCTGTGAAACAATTGCATGATCCTAAGAGTGCAAACGGAATGACCAATTTGAGAAACGCGAGCGACTGCATCAAAATGATGGCGCAGACTCTTCAAAAAATCAACCAGGCAACTCCTGCCATGAGCCGCACATGGACTGAATGAGGTCTTTGATTAAAGACATTGAGGATTATTGTAAGCTCACTCCTACTATTACTCTCGTCCATGATGCGTTTGACTAACAAGTCCTTCATAGCACATCTGCACATCCCGGACTTGTCCCCACAAGGATCTCTTTCCACCAAGGATGCAACGCAGCGGATCCAGCCCGCTCAGACGATCCTGTGAGGAACCCCAGGACATCATAACATTCGACAGAATAAAAGTCATGGAACCAGTCATGCATATATCTCCCTGAATGAAATACCCAGCCAAGGGGCATGATTTCTCATGGCAGTGCCGAGGATTACCACTCGGAAGCAGACAGTATCAGTCTGTCTTTTTGAACTCCACAATAGAATTACTTAACTCCTGGATTTTGCATATTATTTTGCATATTGTTTGTACTAGATAGATGCCAACCTACAAGGCTAGCTTGGCAGTAAGAAGGACCAGGGGATGAGGTGGGTCACCGAGGAAGAAGAAAAAAAGAAAGAGAAAAAGGAGTGATGTTTTTTATTGTTGGTTTAAGTTATGGTTTGGGGATTGTTTGGTTCAATGTGACGTGGTTTGTTAACGTCAGGTTTAGTTCGGGAGATATGGATTGGTCAAAAAGCTCTATAGCAATCACACAGGCCGGCAGGTACTTCTTGGAAAGAATTTGGGAGGACAGATACCATTGGGATTTGGGGGGATGATTTTTACATTTAAATAGATACCTAGGGTTTATAACGGGAAGGATTGGACTGGATTGGATAACAGGATGGGATTGAAATTTATGTTTTATAGAGATTGATTGTTGTGTGTCGAGGATATAAACTGTGAAGTGTAGATTCCCCATGTAGATCTCTCCACAGTTGATTTATATCATATGTAGTGTTCATCACCATGGTGGTTACAAATGATTATGATGAAAATTCATGTGTATATATATAATGCTTTAGGATTCAGTTTTATTAATTCCTGAATTATTAATATAATATTTATTATCAGAGTTTCTAATTTCTCATTTCGCAAGTTTCAAACATATCATATCAAAGTAGTGGGTATATCCAAGAAAGACACGACCAATAAACCCATTTATCAATCCGTCGAAAACAACCATTTCTAAGTCCGCTACGCACCCACTCCTGGAAAGAAAAGTATGCCCTTATATCTTTATTAAGCAACAGTTCCCTTAACCTGCTTCATCTCATCAACTTTGAAATCCTCCCACATGCCCACGAACACGAAACACGGTATTAGGAACACTGTCCCCGCAACCGCCAACCATTTCATACTCTCCCCATATGCAAACCATACTGCGTTTCTCTCCATGCTTCCCACTGGATACTGTAGCTGCGCGGCCAAATTACCGTATAACTGTGCCGCTAGCGCTTCATCTGTGATCTTTTGCGCGAGCGCCGCCGGGAATTTATTTGTGTAGATTGCTCCGGAGATGGCAACACCGATGGCACCACCTACCGATGTGAAGAGCCCAATTAGTGCTAACATGGATGCGACGCCTTTGTGGGGCGCGGCGGCCATAACGGCCATTTGTTCGCAGATGACGACGGTGCCTCCGGAAAAGGCGATGAAGATTTGACACATGATGACGTATCCGAGAGGGTGGTCTGGCTGGCGGAAATGGATCATGAGACCTACGCCTAGGATTTGTAGGGGGACGGCGAAATACAGCGCTAGCCATTTGAAACGCCCCGTGACGCGGATGGCGTAGGAGATTACTACGGCCCAGAAACAGGAGCCGATGGAATAGATGTTAGTTACGTAGCCTGTATGCGTAACGCTGAGATTGTGCACCGCTTGCAGGTAGTTGTAGAAGTAGGAGTCCCAGCAATAGAAGGAGATGAAGAAGAAGGCGGAGCAGAGACAGGCGCCGATGACGGTGCGGTCGGTGAGGAGTTCGAAGGGGATGAAGGATTTGCGCGCGCCGTAGCGTTCGTACAAGCCGAAGGCGATGAGGCATACAATGCCGAGGACTAGCATGGCGATGATCATGCTGGAATGCCAGCCTTGTTTTTGGTAGGAGGCGAGGGAGAAGGGGAGGAGGAAGAGCGCGAAGCCCGCGGAGATGAGGAGAAGACCGATCACTGGGAATTATATCAGATTGAGCGTCTGAATTTGCGGAAAGTGGAAAGTGAAATTAGCTTACCGTCGAATTCCCAGAAGTAGTAGCTGATGCTTTCACTCCATATGCGACCACTATCAATCTTCTTGATCAAACCCGCCTTCTTAGCTTTACCTTGATTCCACCATAGGAGTGTGAGGATCGGGATGCAAATCACCGGGGTGATGATGGCAAAAGTACCAAATCCCCATGGCCATCCACTGGTCTGGAGGAATGACTGTGCAGCGGGAGGTCCAATCCAGGTCGTTACAATATAGGGAGTAGTTGAGAACGCGAAGACTAAAGCTCGATTTTTCAAACTTGATGTATCGGCCATGAAGACATCTAGGACGTACGCCATGCCATCGAATCCTAACCAATAGAATACCTGTCGCTCTGTTAGTACCCGCGAGTAGATGTAATTTCTGGTTCGGCTTTTTTACTTACTTGTGCAGCAGCATAGGTTTCTACATTTCTGCATGCAGCCATCATGATTAGACCTGCATTTCGTTAGTTACATCCAGAACGGCTAAGAATTACTGTGACACGAAAAGTGGGGTGACAATACCTATGGTAGCACACGCAGTCATAATAGCAAATCCTTCGGCGCGACCAATCAGATCAACAAACTTAGCAATTGGGAGTCTGAAGACACCGCCAACAATGCTCGATACAATGCTGGTGGCGCCCGTCAAAGGCAAGAGAAGGAAATCAGACGTAACATAGTACGAAAGATTGTTCTGTATCTGCTGTTGCATGGAGACTACGAAGAAGACGAGGAAAATACTATAGATTTATTAGAATCTTTACTATGTGGAATCCATGAAAGACAGACATGATTGATAACTTACAATGCGTATGCCAGGTATAATTGCTTTTTGGTCCAAACTAAAGTAACGGCTTCCACTGCTTGAACACCATGCTGAGCATCCTCTACTGGTCTCTCATCTACCGATATTGATGGATCATTGATGGTTGTGTTGCGGCCGTCGTTTTTATGATCGAGACCATCAGGATATTTTGTCGATTCGGGACCGACAGCGACTTCAGATGCTAGGCCATCAGTTTTGGTTTTCCATGGCCTGAGAGGCATGTTGATCTAATTGTGAGTACCGATATCTCTATCCCGTCAATGTAACCTAGATGAGTATATGGGGAGATATTCGACTTTATTTCATGAATTAAAAGTAGACAATTGAGAATGAGGATGAGTATCTCACTTCCATAAAACATATGTGTAAGATTGCTAGCACTGCAGGGCAGAAAAGGAGAGCGAAATTACTACCTTAGTGTGTTCTCGTGCTATCCGACGAGGTTAAAATCAGCAGCTGCAGGATTGTCGCACCGTATGACTACCGTATCATATCTGGCCATGAATCAGAGCTGGCGTAACCCTTACCCCATATCAAAAATTATGGAGAGGGCTTGATCTGATAACCATACAAATGCCATTCTCTTGCGTAGGCTCTTGGCAAATCTGCTCCATTTTGCTGCATAAAAGGGCAAAGGTCCGATATCAATACGGTACGATATCCAATCATATGACGAAATGAGGAGAAGATTTTTACTGGTACGCAGCTCTAGGGTTGCAATTGGTGGGTTGGTGTGATATTAGCCTTTAATCTTACACAACCACTTTACTACCTAGGTATAGAGTAGTTGGTGGTCCGTCCAAAATTTATATTAATCGACGGATCTGATAACTTTAAAGTTTCCTCCATCTGATTAGATTTGATTAAACAAAGAGGCGAAGCTATTCATTCATTCACTTCCATTCCTCAGTAAATGGCAAGATGTCACATAATAGTTACCTAATAGTGAATGTATAGATTACAGTTATAGGAGGTGCGAAGATCGGCTGTGTTCTTCCATCTTCACGGCACATAGTAAGACTTACATACCTAGTAGGTGTAACGAAAACTTTTCCGTCTCCTCTTCCTTGTTGCTACTCTAACCTTACCACCACCCACCCCCTAGTACGCCTAGAGGGAAATGCCAATATCACGAAGAAAATTTTCATTCACCCTCCGTCCAAATTCCTTTTTGGGGACGAAGGATCATAAAAAGTGGAAAAAACCGGAGAACACTTGACAGGGGTTAGATCTGATAAAACTTTTGGTGGCGTGGAGGCATGCATTCCGCCGTTTGCACCTCTTCGGTTAATCCATTCTCGCATCGATGAAAGTTGAAACGATAAGACGATAAGACCGACTAGGGGTATGATTCCATTCACATTGATATAGATTCTATTATGAGAGAATTCGAACTATGTATGTATCCATAACAGTCAAATCTAACAACTCATTATGGACAAGCAGACCTCAAAATATCAAGATGTCGTTAAGTAAACTTTCCAGATCCTGCGCAGAATGCTTGGCATTTATTTGACAGCCTTGCTAACATTCGAATTAGGAATGAATCAAACATTTGGACCATCGGAACATTTCAAAGAGGGTATCGACCTTAGCGGTAATGTTTTAGTGCAGCCAAGCGAAGTTCACATTAGCTAAAAAGAAGTCCGGAGCTGTCGATACACTACTAGTATCCTAAAGCTACTATTTTGGAGCAAAAATTGCAACCAGTTCATAATTCTGATCAGTTGATTTTCTTATATCTCAAAGGCTATACCTTGTCCATTTTCCCGTTGAATGCTGCTCTCTTTTCCAAATCTGATATCCAGCCGGATTTGAGTTAAAGGTCCGACTTCGAAACTTAAGAGACAAGAGATCCAGGTAGGCTAAATACTCATAGTATCCAGTTTGCCACTCTTGAGATCGTATATCAATCCGAATGTCTTCTCCGCGAGTTGTTGTCAGATAATTAATACAGCTTCCACGAAGGATGGCGATATCATTGATGACTAGTTGTTTGAGAGTATGATAGTAACTAGCTCGATAAATGGCTTTTGAGGAAGACCCATAGTAAGATTACATACTCATCAATGGCACAGAATGCCATATTGTCAATCTCATGGTGGTACTTAGTCGGCATACGAGCTTTGGGAGGATCACGAGTACCCTCATTTGTGAAGTGGGTAGTTCCATAATCTAGAATCTTGTTACATGTGGTAAATCTAGTTCCTCAAGCGAGATGAACCTGTATGTACGGTGTATGATCATAATTTCACCAATACGAATAAAAGCATTATGTCACTTAAGGAAAGTGTTGGTCTATCATACCTGCAATTTGAGTGTTCAAAAGCTCTTCGGGCACGACATGCGGTTCTGAACAGATCATTGCAAATTTCTCAGCATAAATCAAAGAAGTGAAAATCTAACAAGATCTAACTCAACAACGAAAAGATATGCCGATTATTTCTCCAAGCCTGCCATTTCGCTCAAATTAGTTATTGGCGGATGTTTTACAACTTCCCTGAAGTTATGTCAGTCGACATGGTTAGATATCTAGTGTGTATGGAGCACTGGTGGAGTTGAAGTACACACGAGTTGCGCTCAATCAGGGTATCTGATAGTCTGGACTGCGATTCAACAATGAGAAGCTTCTGGATTGCTGAATCTATTTGAGATGTTCAAATCAACTCAGACAATTAAAGTTTTCTTTTTAAAATGTTAAATATGAAAGACAATTATTTTCATACTAATATTTCACAAAAAGTGAAACGAATGATTTTTATATTTCACATTTTGTAGCATTTGAGTAATTTACTATATTTATAATTGTATTATTAATATTAATATTCAAACTAGAAACTACTTTGTATTTTTTAGATTCTGCTTGAGGAATCGAAAGATGTCGGAAAGCATATGCTCGGAGTACCAGTGACCTAGTCCGTCGTATTCCTTGATCTTTACATCCACACCAAGCAAATCTAAACACCTCCCAGCCTCCCTTCCCATTTCAATGGATACTTTTGGATCCTCCATGCCATTTCCCAAAAATACGGGAATCTGTTGGAAAATCGTCCCTTTCTTTTGGTCCATATCAATCTCTTCTCTGAAAAAGCTAAGAGCACTCGCTTGCAAACTCGACTCCTCACTAGCCGCTTCACCGTCGGAACGTGCAAAAGGGTCATGCTCATAATCAGATCGTGCAAAGAGGTCATCGTCTCCGTCTTGGCTTTCAGCTGTACAAAATTGACTGCTCGATTTCGCACTCAGCTCTTCAACCACATTGCCGAAAGGTAACCAACCACACATTCCCACAACAGCAGCGAATGGCTCGTCATTCCATGCTAAGAGTGATGACAAAGAAGTAGCGCATCCTTGGCTCAATCCCCAAAGTACTACGTTCTCAGCACCAACAATCTCGATTTCTCTCTTTAACAAGAAATGTATGTAATTGCAGCTTTGGTGGAGACCTGGGCGCATCATATCCTGTCTTTTCTTATAGTCCTCAAGATGCCAACAGTCGAACCACTGATGCGTAAAGGACTTTTTGTATATTGTGGCCCGGTTTCGTGATGCAGTGGGGAATACGATTTTTGCGTGAGGAAAAGCTGTTTGAATCGTCTCGTGATCATTTTTCATTTCTAGAAGTGGGGGGGCAAATTTTTCCGCAAATGATCCACGGCCGTGGAGAATAATGAAGGTTTGCTTATGAGGAAGGACAGGATCAAGTATCATTGCGCGGGGATAGGATGGATAGTTGATGTCCATTTCCTTTGAAGGACAAGGATCTGTGGTAAAAGCCATTTTGAGGTTCTTTGGTAGAATTTGAGAACAGTGAAATGTATAATGTTATAATCGACTTGTGGTTTCTTAAAATTTTTAATGAATATTGATGAGTAATTACTTCAAATTCACCTTGAATCGAAGACACTGGAAATAATATTCAACCAAGAAAATTGTGCTTTTTGTGCGATGAGCTTAAGGGAAGTTAGTGGGAGTTAAGGCCATGAATCTCGCGGCTTTTAGACTAGATCATGATTCAAGGCCAGCCAAAACCAAAATAGTTGGCCCAATATTTCTCTTCCGAAATGAATTACGTCGATTTCAAAATAGGGTAGCTTATTGGTCAATGGACTAGTTAATTTGTCAATAGTCTGCATTTTGAAATGAGCTAGTTTATTGTTTATATAATATCTAATTCTTTACTACATCAATTTTCAAATGAAAAGTATATATTATAATTGATTAGGGTATAAATTTGAGCATGGCTTAATATAAGTGGAGGGGTGCTGTATATTCAAATGTTCAAAGAATCTCGATTATTGAAAACTGAACGAGTTTTCTAATCCGGAGTGTTGGACACACTGAGGTTGAGCTCTAAGTTGCAACTTCCATTCCTGTGGACATTGTGGGCATTGTGGAAAACAATGTGTGCTTGTACACGGTTATTCTAGGAGATTAGTGTTCAGCTCTCTCTTGTAAAGTTATCACGAGAGAAGGCAGCTGGGATTGATGATAGGAAACTCAAAGAGTTGAGGTAGGAGCGGTCTCTTTTTATGATATTGAAGTTTTGAGTGCTTGAGATTGCTTTCTTGAAATTCATAGCATTTTTTACAGTATTGTTTTAATAGTGTTTTCAAGCATTATTCTATTGCAGTATTATTTTGATAGTGTTTTCAAGCATTATTATATTATTATGACCTTCATATTATCGAGGCGACGAGAATAGCCACCAGATCATGGCATCTCAATAGAATGCATGAAGAAGAAGAGGAAGAAGGCGGAGAAGAAGGGGGTGGACCGGAAGATTGTGATTGAATTGATCAATTATGGCCAATTTGGTCAATTTAGTCAATTTGGTCAATTTGGTCAATTTGGTCAATTTGGTTAATTTGGTCAATTTAGTCAATTTGGTCATTTTGGTCAATTTGGTCAACTTGGTCAATTTGGTCAATTTGGTCAATTTGGGCAATCACCCTAATGTCAAATTTCATTACATTTCATTTGTTATTCCTCTTACTTGAATACGAGAGTATCTGTAAGGCGGGCTTGGTTCCCTAGTATTAGTTTTCACTTCCCCCATTCAAACATTAGAAGATTGAGGCTTTCAATCTCCCCAACCTGAATTAGCTACGGTCGAATAAGGCCAGCCACCCTCCATTTACTATTGTTAGAAGCCTACAAAGCTCCTAGCCGTCTTAGATAGTCATAGACTCAGTGTAGACGTTAATTTAATCAATCAATCAATCAATCAATCAATGACCTTCATTCTTCGTAATAGTGCCATTAAAGCATTTTTACTTTATATTTTAAGATGTCCGTCCTACTGGAACTTTACTTGTGCATATGCTACACAGCTGGCGATAGCACACACTGGGTTCTGATGCTGGCGTCGAAAAGTGCACCCAAGGGGACCTGATCCACAGTGTTGGTGGTCCTACCAACAAGCCATACAGTTTGGCAATTGACCCAGCGGAGCGGGTCAATAATAGAGGTATTGCCTGTAAAGAAATTCTTGGGAGTATGAGTCCGACGAACTGGAGAAAGATTATCGATGCTGCCAAACGAATACCTCCCCAGCATTGCCAGACCTTTGTAGTAGCTTTAGTCTCAGAATTGGAGAGAAAAGCTCTCCTCCCTGGTGTTACCGCGGTCCACCTCCTCTCCCGGATGGAAATGCCAGAGGAAGCTCGAGTTTATCGAGAAAACCACCCTGATCTGTCTCCTCTTTCGGACGAATTGAGAGAAAGGAGGGGTTCGCAGTCTAACCGTGCAGTGTTAGCTTTGCGGAGAGATCACGCTTGCGCTCTATGAGCCCAAAAATGCGCCGGCAGCGAATTCGCCGTCGGTTCTGTCTTTCTTGCAACCGGAGTTTCCTTTCTGAGGTGGAGGCATCGCGTTGCGGTTGCTGTGGCCTAGCCCCTCCCCACCTTCACAAGCAGTACGGATTTGTCCTATATAATGGGAAGCGGGTTTGGACTTGCCATTGAAGCCCCTGCGACCACGACACGATACCGTACTATATATGACTATAAAAAAATAAAAAGCCCAAAGGCCACTGAAATCGGGTTTCCAACTGTACGCGGTAGTGGCTACGAACCTGGAATTGAACAGCAATGCGATAAGATTCCAGAGCCAAGGGAGAAACGTATCTTCATAGTCATTGTGCATATCGATCATTATAGCCTCTTGCCTCCTACCGAGCTGGTTGTTGATGAAAGTCTGTCAAAGCGCACCTACATCCGAGAAAAGAAAAGAAATGTGGAGGCAGAAATGAGAGCAAGCCGATAACATACCAGGCTAGGAGTGAGGATGTGGATGCGAATAAATATGTGAAGGGAGAGATGCTTGAAGGTAAAGATAATTGTATGGCAAATACGCAACGACAGCTGGAATATCATCCTTCCATTCCGATGATTGGATTAGGAACTAGTAAGAATTCGACTCTGAATACGGGAAATAAAGTCAGAACTTCAAATTCTCTAACTGAAGGAAAAAGCTAAGAAAAGAAACAAAGTAATGTTCTCATGTGGCGGGCGAAACCGCACTGGAATACAAAACCCCTTCCACCCAATCCAGTTATCGCCCCTTCGATTTTCTCGCCAACATCTTACGAACTCATGCTTGCAAAATTCGGCTTCGACATTTTGGAACTCTCAACATTGGCTACTTTGCGCGTGGGGAGAGCGACGAGAAGAACACTATGTAAGAGTCCGGAAATTATTGTGCACCAAATGAGGACGCAGAAACAGTGGAGCTTTTTGAGTTTTATACCTAGTATGTGCCCTTTCCATGCTATCATTTTAAGCAAAGCACCATCTAACCGATCCACTTAGGTCGTTATGGTCACAGCCCATGCCTCTCCGCAGCAGTCGACTGCGTCGTTGCACGAGCCCGCCAAATAATTTCTTCTCCTCACAATACGAAGTTCTGGGAACCACTCGTACTAGCACACTACATAACCGTGATTGAAACACTGAAACGTGCACTTGACTCACCCAAAACTCGGTATAAACCCGAAGTTCTCTGTGCTACCGAGATACTCGCTCTGTACGAATTACTAGAGCCCTCTGGTGAAGCGGCATGGATTCGTCACTCGGCTGGTGCTGCTCATCTGATTTTGCTACGGAGACCTGAATCCTATACGACAGATTTTGAACGTGCATTGTTTATGGGTCATACGGGTCCGATTATGACTGAGGCCTTGTTGAATGGGAAACGGTGTTTTCTGGAGCAAAATGCGTGGCAGAATTTATTGATGTCTGTTATATGTAAGGAGAAATACTATACAGTGAGTGACTGCAGCGAGATTGTAGTGCTTTTGATTATGGCGAAGAGTAAGATCCCCGGAACATTTTGGGATATGACGCAGCTTCTTTGTAGGCAAGAAGAACCCAGTCTCGAATATGTAGTACGGATACAAAAATGGTGTAGAGAATTGCGTCAGCGGTTTGTGGATTGGAAATGCAAGTATGAAGCGTTGATTCGAGAAGTTGGCGATGTGGGAGAGGGAACAATGGAATTTGATCGTAGGGTGAAAGCATATGCGACTTTTTTTTAGCTGCATCATGTTTTCGAATCGGCTGCTGGGATGTGTGGGTCCCCAAGAAAGAATAAAGCTGGAGCGGGAAACGCAAGAGTTGGCGAAAGAGATGTTAGTGTTGGACGAAACGGTTAGGGGGGCGAGTAAGGCGGTGGATTTGTTTCTGCGGCAGACGGTCGGGGTGGCGACGGCAATTCAGGCGTCTAGATGGGATTTTGAAGAGGGAGGTGGAAGATCAGACCCTGGAGGGTTGAGACATGGTTTTGTGGAGAAAGAGGTGTTGGAGAAATGGTGTGTTAGTTTTGGCAGGATTATCGTGGTTGTATAGGCGACTGGAGGAGATTCGATGCATGAAAAGCATGACTATAAAAGGCAGTTGTACTGCAATCTGAAAATAAATGTCTATGAACTGGGATTCATGATTGAATGTTAGACTTCAACGTTCGGTGGATTCTTCTGTACGCTCATCGTGTTTCCTCTCCTCTTAAAATCTCGTTTCCAGAACAGATTCAGATACTCATCCTCGTTACCAAGGGCTCAATGCCTCATGATACAGTTCAATGTCTGAACATAGGCTCAACAACGGATAGTGCCCCAGGCTGGAATCCTCTATAACACTTTCCAATATCTGAAGCTCAGTTCGACGATCGATTGATCGTTAAGCCGACCAGTCTTAGAACCAAAGATCTTGTAGGACCTATTGACTTGTATGTATGTTGGTAGCTTCAGTATTTTGTCTTATTCTGTTATGTTGTGCTGTCCCGTACGCATTACCTTGTATTGTATCATCAATACTAGGGTAAATTTATCACAAAGGAAAAGTAAATTATGAATGATGCATTACGAACTAGAAATTGTGATGTATATTCCTTAAATTGATATATCTTTAATCGACGAATCGTGGGAGTGATAATGTAATGTAGCAGGAAGTGAGGCTTAAGACTTCAGTAAAAGGGGTCCAAGATCAAGAAACACTAGTATCTCTATGATGGAATGCAAATCTGTTGAGCAAATCACAATACTATTTTATGGATAGTACTTAGTCAATGTGGAACAGAGTTATGAGCCGCTAATCTTGACCATCTACTTATCCGTACACCTATCATCGCTGGATCAGTTTGGAACTCCATTCAAACGAGTGTCTTGTCCAATCCACTCAATTGGATCTTTTCCAAATGCCACATGTATTTTCTCGTCTTTGTGTTGTAGTGGGATGCGAATCTTGAACTAACAGAAGAGATGGATAATCGCAAGATCGAGAAAAAGACAATGAACCAAACAGGAAAGAGAGGGCTGAAATTAGAGTAGGAAAATAGGGGGACTAGGAGAGTAAGAGGGTAAAAGGATAGAAGAAAGAAGAAGAAGAAGAATAGGAAACTGTAAGACTACAAAAATGAAAAAAGTAGGACAGTAGGAAGGTAGAGTGAGGGTGAGAATGAGAGACCGAGAGATCCAAACACTATCTGCGCTTGTAGTCTTGACAGGAGGTGCAGTATCTTTCTGACTATCGAATAAGTATAGTGAGTTACGAGTTTATCGTTGAAGTGCTGTTAAATTCGAGCAGAACACATTCATCATTGTGTATATATTTATGATAATAGCAACAGTTCTCCATGTTGTTGGTGGCGGGGTTAGCCGAGCCTAGCCACAACCCCAGTCTAGCGACATCTCCAGATTACAATGTACAGTATCAGCTTTCAGCCACAACCTTGAGCAACAGTGAAGATACCGCGATAATTTGAAATGATTGGAAATGCGAATACATTCCCTAATGACCTTAATTCTATGACTCCTCCTCTCATACCATCGATATCAAACACTCTGCTACGATGTCGAACTTCAAGCGCGCCCCGGTTCAGGGTAGCAATCGAAACAGCATACTGAGTTCTCTGAGAGCTACCCAAATGGTCGGCAGTAATGGCAGCAAGCCTGTCTTACCTGCTGAAATAATATCTACAATTCTCGACTATTTGCCAATCCCAGATCTCATGAACTTTGCGCGCACATCGAGACGAATGCAAGAAATGGTATATGAAGATTCGCGATGGGTGTCAAGACTGAAAGCTATGGGTGTTTGGAACGAAGGAGAAGCTAGGAAGAGATTCGAAGAAATATTAAGGAAAAAGCGAGAGACGGTGCGACTGAGGGCTGAAGAGGATTCTAAAAGGACTGGGATTGGCGTTGGTGTTGGCGGTGCTGGAGGTGGAGGTGGGAATATTGGTGGGATGAGGAAAACTAGCACGACATTATTCGACGCGGGAGAGGAGGAGCTACGGCAGCAGAGAAAATCTGCAGAAATTGCCTCTAAAAGTTCTAGAGGACTGGCAGACGGATTCGAGACATTGTCCATATCAGGGCAAGGCCACATGAGCCTGCCACCTCCACCACGAACTCGAACACCTATGCAAGATCCAGAAGCCCTGTTAAATGTATTTGCAGAAGTTAGATCCATACGCGGGTCTGCGAGACAAGAATATGGAAAGATATATGCAGCATTAGGGCCATTTTATCACGATTTAGCTAGATCCAGAAGCCATGTTGATCCAATTCTATTTCGAGTTTATCGGACACCAGAACAACAGGCACAAATGCTAGCCCATCTCCAGGTATTCTCGCGGAGTGACTGGGCTCAAGGATGGAGACAACGAGAAGAGAGACTAATTACTATGACGGGTATATTTGAGACGGCCGTGCTACGAGAATTTGAGCAGGGTTATGAAGCATGGGATATTGATGGTAGAATGCGGCGATATGCTCATGTGTTGGGTGTACTAAATGGGGGTCATGCTGGTATAGAACTGTTCGTTCAGAAACATCCATTATTTTCCGACCGGGATGTCCTTGGTAACTCAATGGATTGTATTAACCAAGCAGCATCTGAAGGTATAGCACTCGAACCGTCACGGGAATTTTTGCAAAGGTTGTCCAAGAATGTCAATGAACAAGCAGATATAATCGATAGGGTCTTCCCTCCCGGTGAGGATGTTCTACAGATCTTTTTGGATAAAATTGCAGAAGATATTCTCATGGAATATGTTACTCCTTTATTTGATGAATCTCACGAACGAAGCATAGCATCTTATTTGCAAGCTGTTTCTGGTATCTTTGATCAAAGTATGCAATTTGCATCTACGTTGAGGCCTACTAGAAACTCTGGAAAAGACTTCTTTGACAAGGTCAAAGCCGTCATAGCGCGAGTGTTCGAGCCTCACGTGGATCTCTACCTGTCAGAAGAGCTTGATTATTTCAAAAGGCTCGCCGAATCAGAAGTAGGGGATTGGGAAACAAAACTTTCGGTTCAAGATGCCTCCAAGGAGTCATTCTATATGGCCAACGTTAATCGCGTTGCTGATAAAAAGGATTTCATGAGCTCGTTCAAGAAAGTCGTTATGATGCCTGTCAATGTTCTACCTACAATGTCCCCTTTTGGTGCGACTAAGACCGTGACGGCGCCCCAAGCAGGGAGTCGGTCAAGTTTGCAAGTACTCAGCGCGAGTCAGTCACCAGTACCTTCTCGCTCGGCCACTCCATCATTACCACCGGGTGCAATATCAGTTCCACTGCCGGCTGAAGCACCAACTGATGAACTCGCAGCCAAGGCTGCTTTGATGGCCTCAAGGCTGGAAGGGATTCGCTCACTCTTCAGCATTGAAGTTGCACTAGACCTTACGCATTCCGCAAAAGCGAGTATCGAACGTGCTGCTTTGTTCGTCAGACTAGGAGGTCAGACCGGAGAAGAAGCCCGAGAACAATGTGAAGCAATATTCGTAGTGTTACTGCAAATCCTTGGAACGAGACATGTCAAGACTGGCTTTGACAAAGCTGTGGATCATCTTTCAAAATACAACCCTCGTGAGATTAGCGAGCACCAAAAGGGTGTAGTAGTACCGTTGATGACATTCTTAGAACTTGTCAATGTAGGTGACTTGATCTCCCAGATGATTGATGTTTTCTATGAACAACAGCTCGCGACAACCAAACTTGCGGACCGAAATGATTTTCTTGATCCCGCAGTTAAAGCCAAGAAGAAATTTGAACAAATGCTGGATGAACGAGTCGCAGCCGGTTTGAACAAAGGTATTGATGTACTTATGGATGAAGTGGAATATATTTGCGGCACCACTCAACTCCCCACAGACTACAATCCTCCCGAATTCGACGCCATGGGTATAAGCCCAGATATGGATATTGGGCCAACTACCACTGCTGAACAAGTCGTCGCTCTTGTAGAATCCCACACCAAGATGCTCACCGGCAGCACCGACAAAACTATGCTCGACGTCTTCAACCAAGAAGTCGGACTCCGTCTCTTCACCGCCGTCTGTAAACATCTCAAGCGTCAACGAATCTCCACCTCTGGCGCTATCAAGCTCATCTCCGATATGAATTTATATTTTGTCTATATCAAAACACTTCGAAATGCGGATTTGCTACAGTATTTTAAGGCACTGAGAGAGTTGAGTCAGATATATTTGATAAGTCCGGGTCATGCAAAGGAAATGGCCACGGTTATTGCGGATGGTGATAGATTTGGGGGGATATTTAGAGCGGAGGAGGTCTATGAGTTTGCGGAGAGGAGGGCTGATTGGTATACGGTTAAAAAAGATGTAGAGAGGGCTATGTATGGGATTGGATGTGGAGTTATGTGAGCTAAGGGTTGGGAATTGGAGAATATATTGGGATGGCCTGTATAGATGCCATATGAAAAATGCACGATTATGTCTTTTAAAGACAAACAAATACGATGGAATGACTTTTAACTGCAATTATAAGTGACTATGGTTTAACTCTTGTGGGCTCTAGCTTTTCCCTTCCCGTCCATCCTTGACGCCAGATAAGTATCACGTACGCCGCCTATAATTTATAATATCCCAAGACTTCTACCTCATCGAAGAGAAATCTAACTTCCTCGCTACTTTACTTGCCCTATCATCATCTACCATTCCCGGTCTCTTCTTCAAATCCTCCCCCATTTTCGCTTCGCCGCCCCTCTTCTTTGGTAGATCTGCATTTTTTGTAGGTTTAGGATCCGATGCCCACCAAGGATGTTCTAACACCGCCCTAGCCATGATTCTTTTCCTAGGATCCAGTGTCAACATGTTTATCAATAAGTCGACTCCCTCGGATCCAGCAGCTCCAAACATGCCTAAATATTGTTCCCGTGGAACTAATGGGTTCGGAGGCTCAGGTACAGTGTACTCGGGCAGCTTTGTTACACCCGGCCAGTTGTCTTCTGTTGGTGTACCGACTGCTTGGCAGATTAGGGACACTTGATGAACCTCAGTATCACCTGCCATAAACGGAATTCTCAATATCATTTCGGCAAACACGAGTCCAACGGACCATATATCCACGGCACCCGAATAATGTCTTGCGCCGAACAACAGCTCGGGTGGTCGATACCAGCGTGTTATTACATTTGATGTCATTGTTCGTTGAGGATCGGCAAAATTCCTCGCCAAACCGAAATCTGCAAGTTTGACTTCTCCATCGGCGGCAATTAACAAATTGTTAGGTTTGATATCACGGTGTAAAATGAAGTTTTCATGACAGAACCAGACGGCTCGACTGAGCATTCCCATCCAAGCTTTTATATCGGCCGCACCATAACGTACGCCATCAACGTCTTTGATTAACATTTCCAGATCCCCAAGAGGCAAGAATTCGAGAACGAGATTAAGATTTTGATCTTTCGAAGAGAATACTGAGAGCAGGGATATTATATTCGGGTGGGAGATCTCTTGAAGGTGCTTGAGTTCGCGAATGGCATCGGGCGCCATTCCTTCTGTATATTCTTTTTGTATTTTGATCTTTTTGATTGCTACGAGGACACTAGGATTCGTTCTGAGATGGCCGAGGTAGACGTTGGCATAAGTTCCCTCTCCAAGCTTTTTGCCTAAGACGATGGGTGGTCAGCTATGCTATGAGCTAACAGTTTAGGAGCTAAGAATGGGCACCTTTGACATATTTAGATCTTTCATTTTCGTTCATCTGCTCTGCTAGATCATAGGTTGTGCTAGCAGTTGCAGGTGGCCGATCGGAGGGAGTCCCATTACCACTAGGAACAACACTCGAGAGCTTTGATCTGCTTGCGCCTCTCTCGCCAGATTCCGCAGATGGAACAATGAGAGGTGAAACTGCCATATTTGAAAAGAGTGACGATTTTATTCCTATCCCAACAGCATATTCCGAGGAAAGTGTGCAGTGACGGTTCTAGTGTGGTTGGTCGAAGGCTTGATACGTATAGTCGGATTGATGAATAAGGGCTTTGATACCCTAAGTTGAAAAAGCGCCACGGGCTAAGATTCGACACTCGCTCTTCCAAAGTTCATGAGACACTCTTTTTTGAGGTTATGAAAAATTCGTAAATATAATTCAATGTTCAATAATCCACTTCTCCCAATGACGCAAAGGTTGAAAGGTCCCTCAGATAGATGTACGAAGTTCAGCCGTACTTTGAACAAGGCTGAGCAGTGGGATCTCAGAGGTCTTAGCGCCAATTGATTAGTCGCAGATTGATTAGTCAGCGACATCCCAGATGAACCCCTCCTATCTGCCGGAGGATTTTTCCATGTCGCTACGAATACTCCATAGGAACTTGGTTTGTGGTAAAGCATAGAAAGTCTATGTGTGATATCTGATAATGAGTATTATCAGCCATGCTCATCTCTGCTATTTCGTTGGTGAGCAATGTATACAACTTCAGAAGTGAAGGAAGTGCAAAGGCCTATATTTTAACCTCACAATTTGGAGGGTTCTTTCCAAGTGGAACCAATTGCTCTTTCTACATTGGATTCTCAATTTCTCTTGTATACTGTATGAGGTAGATATAATTCTTCTTCGAATGAAACACATTCACCGTTCTCAATGCCCAATCCTTACACACTCACTTCAAGTGTGATTGGTGTCTTGGGAAGTTGACTGGCTTATTTTTTCTCTTCATTCATTACTATTTTGAGCTGGTACTTAAGGTCATCAACAAATTAAATTTCGAATATTCGTCTCCTTCATCATGTTTCAAGTGTTTTCATACTGGGTAATAATCCTCTGTCGGACCTCAACCTTCCGCATTATCTAACAGCAGCTAGATGATTCCTACGGTCTCAGCCATCATCTGGTTCACTACACTCACTGCCCTTCTTGGTGCCTTCATCGCCTTCCCACCTCGCGATCCCCTCGACCCCGCTTCACTAGCCAAACCACCCTATCCATCAATGGCTTCCAGACTCCATAAAGTTCCATATGTATCCGATATTGGAGCAACCAAAGAAATGCAACCACTGTTTGTACTTGGTTCGGTCCTTACTACTTTCCTACTGGCGGGCTGTTTTATTTCAGAAAGAGCACTGCGTCATAGAGGTCGTCTTGCAAGAAATACCGATAATACGGAAAGAGTAGTGGCTTATCTCAGTATTCTGTCAGCTGTACTTGGATCCTTAGGCTTGATATTCCTGAGCATATTTGATGTTTGGAGATATAGGACTGTGCATAACACAATGGTAGTATTCTTTATTGCTGGTTACGCTATTAGTGCATTTTTCCAATTTTGGGAGCATTATCGCATGGGGCGTAGTATGTCTTCCTTTTTCTTACTCTATTCATATTGCCTGACATAAACAGAATATCGGGACACGCATGCGAACCTAATGATATCAGCCTACACGAAACTCGTTTTCATTATTATTGAGAGTGTCCTTGGTGTAGCATACTGGTATGTCTACATGGCAAAGAATTGGGATGCGGGTGCTGCTATCGAATGGGCTGTCTCTTACATTTTTTGTTTTTACATTCTCTCATACCTTTTTGACTTTCTGCCGGCATTGACTACGAAAGAGAAGGACTGTAGGTTTGGAGTTTATACCGAAGATTGCATGGTTCAAATTAATGGGAACAGAGAACGGGCCGTTGTACAGGAGGTTACGGGAGTGGCACATGGATGAGACTGAATACGTTTTGAGACTACGAGGGTTTATGTTATCCTATACATTATACTCGATCAAAATCCATTGCATTAGCCGACAAGAATCCAGAAATGCCAAGTATTTTGGCAGCAAACACATATATGTAGTCCGTACATCCATTAAAATTAACATTCAAAGCCAGCTTGATAGTTATCAAGGAAAGGTACCGCCATTACAAAACCCAGGTAAACAACTCTCACTTCGCCTTTGCTCCCTCTTTCGCCGTCGCATTATAACTTGCTGGCTTATTCCTTCTAACGGTCATCTTCGCCGTTTGAAATCTCACAAAACATCCTGCTACCACTTGTTCCTTGGTTTTATCTGTCTCCACCAAACCTGTCTCAATCAGCTCTTTCACAAACATCTCTACATCCTCGAATTCGTTCCAATCGTTCCAGAATCTATCCGGAATGCCTGTATTGTTGAACAGAGCTATTAATCCCGCATTCACTGTATTGGCAGCCGCTAATATAGTTATCGCAAGTCCATGTTTCGCAGCAGAAGAAGATCCAAGAGCAGTCAAGACGGCTCCGAGTAGAAGCTGAAGAATCAATGTGAGACTATGAACGGCATTGGAAATACAATAAGCCAGTTGATACTTCTGACGTGCTCGGACGATATCTTTATAAAGACCATTGGGCAAGTGCCGATGTGAGAAGAAAGGGGAGCTAGAGGCGATTTCGACGGGTTGAGACGGGTTTTCGAGGCGCGTGGCGCCAATGGAGCGTAGGATGCCTATGTATTCTGCTTCCGAAAGGGTACAGAGAGGTGGCAGCACAAACTGGGTTTCGATTTGACCGAGGGCGTCGACATCTTTTGGTTTAGGTGTCGAGCTTCGAGAGGGTGTGGGCTCGGGGTTCAGTTTATCGGCTACGGTGGTAGATGTCATAGTTGAAGCACGTTGGTTGGAGTCTGTGTGATGGACTTGGTGAGTAGATTGATTGAACTGATGATCGATAGATTGTCAATACACGATATTGACTGAAATAACCTAGGCTAGGTACAATTATAACGAGGAGAAGGCGAAAGAAGATCTCAACTAAATCACAGGCATTTTGATACAGGGGCAAGACAAAGAACGAATCCTTCGGGCATCTGTGTCGTCTTATATTCCAGTGCGGTAAACTTCCCTGGCAGCCTACACGAAACTTATTATGAGCAATTCTCTCGGTGTTGTGCGTGCGGCGCAACTCAGGCCTCGACAGCATCATCGCCTCAATTTCAACACACCATACTCTAAGTCAGCGGTTCTCTATTGGATCACATTGTCTGTGAGCGTTTGGTGAGGCTCCGTGTTATTGCCTGATATGGTAATGAAACAATCAAGGATGGTATTACAAAAGCGTAAGATGGATCCGCCAAGTCTGTGCGCCACCTTCCGTACACCCAATGCAGCCTTATGGAGATTGAATCTGAGTCAATTCATATGGAAGGATCTTTACAGATCAATATCAGCATTGTGTTGTATCTACGAGAATGGAAATGATTATCGATTTGTGTTTAGAGCCTTGGTCAAATAACGTAATGGTATGGACAGGTTGATTTGAAGTTTGACGGTGTGGTAAACTGAGATGACATAAGATGATATCATTCAATATCTATCCATGCATGTATGTAATTTGAGTCAGATATGTAGGTACATCTCACTTCGAGGGGTGAATCATCAAAAAGTAACTAGTTATCCCCACAAGTCCCCGAACTGATCCTCTTCAAACGCTTTCCACAATAACCCTAGAAATACCAGTCTAGAAATCTAAGTCAAGCTTTTTCGAAATTGTAATGTAGCGGCTATATTCTCGAGCCGTGGTTGCACTAATCGGTGAGAACTCGAAATGATTCCTTACATCTGAAACAAAAGGGGAAGACAGCCCTATCGCTTATTTGTGCCGGGAGGTGGAGAACACGGTATCATTGGTTGGGTTGTACAGTGGTGGCTTAATTTATTGTTGGATCCTTAACCTTAATGTCACTCTATCAAGCGCTTTTTAATCTTTTGTAAGTTTTTCAATCATAATATATAGATTCCTACATAACGTAAAATATTCTACAGGATATGAGTAAGATAAGATGTATGAATTTTCATGCTAGCTTTATGTAAATGTGAATGTAAATGATGATGAAGATTACCTAGGTAGCTGAAGGGAAAACGTCAATCTTGCGGCTTGGAGATTATTATTCTACTCCGTAGAGATAGAATCATTGAGATCTGAACATGGGTGATTGAAATGACAAGACAGGAAACCACACGTTCTGTGCCGTTTAGTTTAGCTAGTTCAGCCTCTAATCGATTGATGGGTCCACTGGTCGCGGCAACAAAAGGGAGGTTCTAGCTAGCGGTACAAAATATGTATGAAGTCCATTCTTTGGCAAGGAATTTTGTGCTCTTTCGCTCTTAGCATCCTAATTAAGTAAGCACCTACTATTCCCGGTGAATAATGCGAGATGGGATATCTGCTAGGTGCTGCTCCATGTCATCGCGGCTATGTAGGTGACTCGAGTTGGTGTTCATTTGATGTTGGGAAGATTTTTTATTGTAAGGTCATTACCACAATTTGCGTTTCAGATTGTTTTGGTTGTGCTATTGCTAGAGTTGGTTGTGAGTTTTAGGGTTTTGAAATTTATGGCTCGATATGGGGTTATTGATTTCGAGGATGATATTATTATGTCAATATACATACCATTATTCTGAGATTAGGAGGATTATGGTCGGATCGTTATATTTGTACACATATTCAGTATTGGGATTGTGTATGGGTTTTTCTGCTGCATTATTTGGATAGTTCTTCCTGATTTTCGTCGTCTACGTAGTGTAGTATTTAGAGACGAGGTAAGCTTAGGCCGTGAATATGTTGGTACCGACATACCAAACATGATTCTATTTAATTCATATAAAACAAACGCAGTACTCTCCTGTCAAATCAAAATACATTTGCTCGATCCCTTAACTTGGGAAAATAAAGAAAGGCATTTTCTAACCGCCGACCCAGACTGTCGGGACAATAGCCGCCGCCCCATGCGTACTCGTCTTCGACTCTGTGAATTAAGCGGGTTTTAATCGACCTAGTATGATTTTAATTTGTGATGAAAATTGTTTGGACAACGAGTTGCGCATTCCTTGGTGCATTTTTTGGTATTTCAGAATACCAGGGTCTCGTTGTTCAAGTATACCATGATAGAAACAGATAATTGGGAAACAGGTAATGGTAGAATACAGCGCTAGAGTCAAAACTATTTCTGAAAGCTGACATATTCAGATCGACTAGGGGGCAGTCTCACTTCTATTACAGCTTGTGAATATAGAGGCTGAGTATCTGTAAAACTCATATCATACATCGTTTCTTATGAGATCTACATTTGCGCTTGCATCCCTTTCATCCTGAGACCTATAGGCTTTCCTGGCTTCCAGAATAATAGAGCTAAATTATGAAGCTTCATCTTTTTGCAAAGTCCCAATAGTAAACTCATATCTTGACTCTTAAACTAACCGCCAGAAATGTATCTTGGCCTTTTTTTCATTCACTGTCCACTGTTCTTACAATATTGCATCCCAATAGAATGAAGGGAGTCTGACGCGGCTTGTTATACGGGCTCCGTAACCGGGTTCGGTCAGGTTTGCCGTCTCAATGAGGCACTCGACGGCTATGGCAAAAATTTATTCTAAAGTCTATATGGGTGGTATAATTGGTTAAATAAGCTGAATGGAACGGGGAGGAAGTGTTCTGGCGCGGAGTAAGAGAAGGATTGACGCAAGGTAAGTTTGGGTGACTAGTTGTTTATGTATCTAATCTCCTAATTGCGATATAACGAGACTCAAACTCCTCTAGCACTTTCGACAGAATAGGTAAGAATGCATGAAAATTGAACAGTCTCATGGCTTGAACAAAAGAAAAAAGACTAGGCAGGAAAGAAAAGGTGAATATTCAGGAGGAGAATCTATCTTCAGTAGAGACTGTTTAATGTAACGGAGCTTTAATTATAACAGTATCTTAATCTATATCTCACATATCTGCACAATATAGATGGCTCAGATGATCAATCGGTTCATACAACATAGTATATAGAAATAGAAAAACTTAAACTTCTTTCACATGTCCAAAATATATCCACTGAATCCCCATGAACTATCAAAATCCGAGTCGAATCAACCAGCAAAGATACTTTCAACACTCAATATAGTGCTCGCTCACGACTGTAACTAGACCTTACTACCAAAAATATAACCTATAATTGGTCAATGCATCTGCATTGAGCAGATACGAATAAAGAGACGAGACGGTGATCATTTACATAAAGAATCGAAAGTCTACCTTCGACTAGACCCTGAGAGGAAAGTGTAATTTTACCCAAACTCGAGCATAACAAAAAAGGATAAAATCTAAGTTTACACCGCACCATTAGATGTGGGGCAAGATCTAAGAAAAAGTCTCCATCTATCTAATATCGGCTATGTACCTACGACACGACATGTATATAAAGTTTGCATCCTTGTCCCGAGGGAAAGTATATAAATGTTACAAGTAGGATTCTTCGAAAACGAATCCCCTACATATTTTTCTTCGTGCGAGTTTTACACTAAATAATTTAGAAATTCTCTTCAACCGATTATCCTAAAAAAAAAAAAAGCGCAAAATGGGTTCTATCACTCCAAAACCTTCTTGCAAAATCGCCATTGTAGGAGCTGGTCTAGCGGGTCTTGCTACTGCAGTTAGTCTTCAGAGAGCAGGTCATCAAGTAACTGTATTTGAAGTATACTCTGGATTAAAAGAGGTGCGTATACTTCCTTCCATCAATAGTATACTATTGATCATGCAATAAACTTCCGCAAAACTAAAAAACTAACAATAACCAGATAGGCGCCGGTAAGCCATCCCACCCATCTCAAGCCTCCTCACCTCAAATCTTCCATATCATATCATATTAACCATTCATCACAAACCAGGAATCAACGTAGCAACCAACGCGACGATCCTCTTCCAAGAATGGGGCATCCTCCCCGAACTAGAAGAAGTATCCATCGAACCCGAAATCGCACGGATTTTCTCCCACAAATCCGAGATCCTCTCTAGTACGAATGTAAGTCCTGATTTTCGGGACATATACAAAACACCTTATTTTATTACTCATCGTGCAGAATTACAAAATGTGCTTTTTAAAGAAGCTTCTAAATTGGGTGCTGTAGTGAATTTTGGGATTCAGTTACAGAAAATCGATTTTGAGAAGTCGATGCTGGTATTTATGGATGGGTCGACGACGGGTGTTTTTGATGTTATATTAGGAGCGGATGGGGAAAAATCTTTTTGTCGAGAAGCATTGCTTGGTCGAGATGATCCGCTCGTTGATAGCGGTTTTGATATTTACCGCGCAACGGTGAAGATTGATGACGTGGCTGAGCAGCCGGAACTGGCTGGCTTGGTGAATGTTCATAGTATTAATATGTGGATTGGTCCCGAAGGTCACACGGTGACTTATCCGATTAAGAAGGGGAATTTACTCAATATTGTGCTGACTCATGAACATGAGTCTGACGCTTCGACAGTAGCTGGACCTGTACCAGTGGGCTCGGAAGTTGTTCATGAAGCTTTTGAGCATTGGAGTCCGGAGTTTCACCAGCTGTTGAGTTTGCCTACTGCGGTGAGTCTATTTCTCCAATATCTCACATTTCCGAGTCATGATCACTGACCTTTATTATTGTTCTAGTGGATGAAAAGAAGAATGATGTATTCTCCCGAATGTACATCTTGGCTACACCCTTCTGGCCATTTCGCTCTTATTGGAGATTCAGCCCATGGATCTCCACCATATCTGTAAGATAATTCGAATTGACTCTCCAGAAAACAAACTAACTACGGCGCGATTCATTACAGAGCACAAGGTGCAGCAATGGCTTTTGAAGATGCCGCCGTTCTTGGAGTCTTATTTTCCAAGATTCAAAGCAAGGATGATATACCGGAATTACTAACAATCTACGATAATCTTCGGCGACCAAGAGCTTTGTTGTGCAGGAACCGTAGCAGAGCTCTCCGTAACATCTATTCGATGAAGAACGGCCTAGAGCAAGAAGAGAGAGATAGATTGTTGTTGCAAAAGTCATATTATGATGGCTCTGCAAATTTCCTTGAGGATCCTTTCTTGCGCACTTGGCTGTATGGACATAACGCTGTGGAGGCTGCGGAAGAAGCGTGGCGTGACCATATCAAGCAAAAAGGAGGTTTGAAGTAATTTGAGCCTTGCATTGAGCTGTATTAAGACTATATAGTTTATGGGACTAAATTTAGCTGCTGAAGTCCAAAAACACTCTAATCTGTACTTATATTAGCAAATATTGAAAAACACAATTCTAAGTCATCATACCAATTCGTCCCAAATACTCAATGCACAAACTACCAACCAACACAACTCCCGCCATGAGCGGACCATGACCAAACCACCAGCGACACTGCTCAGCACTTCTAAAGTCGATTCCCGTAACCATCCTAAACAGCATAACAATATTGAACAACGGAGGACCAAAATAATACAAACTACTAGCTTCCAGTACCTTTCCTAGACCAAAGAGCACTGCAACCTGCGCTATGCCAAGTATTCCCAATAACTCTCGTATGTGGAATTGATGACGGACGGCCATGGAATTGATTCCTGCTTTTGTGTCGTCGGGCAGATCCTGGAAAGCATACACCGTCTCGAAGATAACCGTCCATATCGTGTAATAAACGAAGAGCAATAGTGCCCCCTTAATAGCGGGTTCAAATTCTTCGCTAGAGAGCAACAACTGCACGGGATCAAGGCCCGTCGCCGCAAATCCAACAAATACTCCCCATGCAAAGGTAAGACCCAGCCAGACTGGAGTATAGGCCGTAAATCTTTTGGTAAATGGGTAGACGCCCGAAAAAACAAGTAAAGCCACTCCATGAGTGAGGAACGACGAAACGAGAATTTTCATCAGGGCTAGCCAGACAAGACAGAGGAATCCTGTAAACAAACAAGCATTCCTCACCGAGAGCTTGCCGCTAGCCATAGGTCTCTGCTTGCATCTCTCGACCAGTTTGTCGAGGTCTCGATCGACGATATCGTTCCAGGCGCATGCCCATGAACGCAGTAAAAATGTACCACACAGCAAAAGAAAATTGATTTGCGCGACGTCTTGAAGCGCTATTCTGGGCTGTGACAAACATGCTGCGTAGAGCGATCCGACGATGTAGGGAAAATGAATGATCACAATACCGACTGGTTTCTCAAGCCGTATAAGTTGAGCATAAGGAGACCAACTACTCTTGGTGGCAGGCATTTGAGTTGCGCCCATGGTGAGTGTTGTGGTGTTGGCTATGAAGGAGACACGATATGAAAAGCGTTACAGGTCAAATTGGATAATGGTAAAAGAAAACTGACGTGACTCAACACATCTTCCAACCATAGAGACACAATATAAAGTCTTCTGATTCATTCTTGGCGTAAGGTCTAAAGTCTTCTTCGGCCAAACTAAGTGCCGACTACATTGCTCGTGTTCACCAGTTCTGATCTATTAACTAGAACGATCAGCATGAAAAACTCATCTTATCGTCATTTATAGTTGTCTTTAAACATATCAACCACTGCATGAGGGCATCGTGTAAACAGAAAATCCATGGCGCTAATGAACTCAAATTCTGAGTCCAGACATAGCCTGACACAAATAAACTCACAAAATACTTCGAAAATAATGTGGTTCGGGTCCCGATCGGCTACCGAAATTACCATTTCCAGCTCCACCATGGACCCCTGTCGATCCCGACAAATAACCCTAATGCGCAGCCAAGGACTTTTGATATCGATCGCAGGAACAGGAAGGATACGGCTTATCATCTTACGATCATGGAATCCCCTAACCGAAGCATATCCTCCACTGGCGTAAAGAAATAGCGACGACACCTTAGTAGCTAACGAGCTAAAAAAAAGTTAAGTTTGGCAGTTTATCGACACTTGCACATATCGTTGGTGCTCAATAGTGACTGAATCGATTGCAGGAAGTTGAGAATTAACTAGTTTCAAGAGTAGACTTTATTTTTTATCTAGACCATTTGAAGAATGCCCAAAGACTTGTTGTCACTCTTAGTCCATGCATACATGACAGAATGACTTTTTGAAACCCTATCTTGCAATTTAGATCAAATTACATTTCGATCGTCCTCCAAGACCATGTGATTCAAATTTAATTCCGGAGTGAAAATGCAAGTGCCCGACTATGAGAGGATGTATTGACCGCCTTGCCTCTCAATTCAAACTCTAAGTCACTTGCACCTGTTTTCACAGCTAGTTCCCTCTCCATCCTCGTTCGTACGTACTGGCCAGCGTAATCCTCTTTATTCAAATCTGACTGCAGATAAGCTGAACTCAGCCATATACGACGCACAGTCCCATTGGAGTGTGTAAAGCTTGTATAAAGCACAATTGAATTGCCCAATTTACAGAAAGGAAAAGGAATACCATCAAATCTCGAAATAATTGAATAAGAATATGGCAATCATTGATCTCATCAAGCAAATCAATGAAGTGGTTGACAGTCCACCCTCTCCTAATGCTATCAGCGACGAGGAGAGAGTAGCCCTCTTGGCGAGTCTCGATAAGCTAAGAGCTGTAGTCGAGACACCCGTTGATTTTACCACTCGGGTTATCTTTGGTGTAAATATTCTTTTCTTAAACGTTTGGGTTTGTAGAAACTCTGCTAATCACATGACGCTAGGCACATGAACAAGTAGGGCTTCGACTTGGAATCGAAATGGGCATCTTTAACACCATGGCTGCCATTGGTGCTGGTGAATTAGACGTATCTGAAATTGCACAAAGGACTGGAGCTGCGAAACTGTTGGTTAGCAGGGTCATGAAGCTCTTGGCTGCGATGAACCTGTTTAAGGAAGTTGGAGAGGATAGATATGCAAATGGGGCTTTTGCGCCCGCATTTTCAGATGCCTCACCTTTGCCCAAGGCTGTTACTCACATGTATGTGTCTATGATTGCGACACTAGTGCCTCCATCCGTGTAAAGGCTGACACGATAGTGAATAGTGTCACAGCTAGTGAAGTGCTCATCAAGCTTCCAGCATACCTCAAAAAAACCAACTATCAGAATCCAGAAAATACTAATGACGGACCCTTTCAATATGCCATGGACACCAAACTTCAATACTATGAATGGCTAAAGACAGAACCTGAACAAGCCATCGCTCTCAATACTACAATGATGTTGCAGCGTATGGATCGTGGCGAGCCATGGTATGATTATTACCCCGTCAAATCAAAGATCGGTACCTCCTTTGATGGAAAGACACCTCTTATGGTCGATGTCGGTGGAAACATCGGAATCAACATTGGTAATTTCCATGCTCGATTTCCAGAACTTTCTGGTGCCCTTATTCTTGAGGACTTACCCGAGGTCATCTCTAGTATTCAGGAACTAGATCCTGCAATCAACCGCATCCCACATAGTTTCCTTGAGCCACAGCCCGGCATAGCCAAAGGTGCTAAATTTTACTTCCTCGGCACCATCCTCCATGATTGGCCGGATGCAGATTGCAAGACAATTTTATCCCATATTCGAAATGTCATGACCAAAGATTCAATTCTTCTCTTGTATGAGAATGCTGTTCCTGATACGAACGCTGGTTTGTATCAAGTCAAACTTGATTTCGTCATGATGAGTCTGTTTGCTGCAACTGATCGTACGACTAAACAATTTAAAGAACTGTTGGAAAGTGAAGGATTCGATTTGGTAAAAGTTTGGCAGCCGAAGGTTTCGAGGCCTGGAAGTGGATTCTTGTTTGAAGCGGTGTTGAAATAAGACGATGGATTTTGGCATTCTACCTTTCGTATAGGTCGGTCAATAAACCATATTCGAGTTTCGAGAGTTTCATCTGCGGTATACATCCCTCTAATTTTCTACTCAGTAGCTGCCACGAGTGTAGGGCAGTTGGTGATGATGTTGTTGGATGTTAGTTAAGTTAGATTGCTGTAGACAATGGTTACAATATTTCGACGTTACGATTAAGTTATTAATATCCAACCAGGCCCTGCATTTGCCCCACTACTCGTTGTCCCAGTCTCTAAATTGTTGTGGGGGGTTGATGGAGTAGTTCCATTCCGCCGATGTTCCGATGATGCAATTTACCGGTGATGGGACAGGATTTTGGCATCCATACGATAAAATCATAGAAAAGCTCAAACAACGTAGCATTAAGAAGCATTTCAAATATCAGCTTTACCCGTATTGAACAAATGTAAAGTAGAAGCTTACATCGGCAACCTCATAAACCCGATAAATGAAAGCGCAGGAGCAACTCTAGTCTCCCGCCGTATGTATGAAAAACGCCAATTCTCTTGAGATAAAACATAATAGTCTTGACTGTCATATACCCAGTGTATCCAACGATCCGGACTACAAAAGGGACTAAATATTTGAAGTTTAAATGTTGAGTTTAAGTTTAGTGTAAATCTCCAGTAAACTAAATTGTAATTCAAACAAGCTGGGTTTTGGATTGAACGATGATGATATGATTTAAGATCATATGGTATGATATAACATCTAAAGTTTTCGGATCTGTCAGAGTATATAATATTTTTGGCCGGACCATATAGTTAAAGGTATCAATACAACTAACCTGCAAGTACGCACTAGCGTAGACATGAGATAGATATTTCTTTTTGTTTAGAGAGTATCAGCACGAGTGATACAAATGCGATACAAATGCGATACAAATGCGATACGAAATGCAATATAAATACGAATACAAATACAATAACGGGCACCCATCAAGACTTGGATGGATGGTAATATCTCTGTGAGGTGATTTCCACAAGAGGAAGAAAATGCAGTAGCTTCCAGTCATATGCATTAAGAATGGGAAATGTTGTACTTGCTAATAGGTTACGCATCTCGCAGAGCTTTTCAAGAATGCAGATGGATGTGCCGGAAGAATCTTTTAAGATTTCTCCCGATCACATTAAGGAACCTACTAAGTGTGGTAAGGAGGTATTTAATGGGGGAGAAAACCCCTATATGTGTTATTATATGTAGAATTAGTCTGATCTATCTTGGTATAAACTCACCCTCCTAGCCTTATCTACTGGCCCAGCATAAAGGGCCATTCTCTCTCCACAACTATACCATCAATTCCCGCACGAGAGCTGTTCTTTCATCCTCCGTAAAGCCGATCGTTGTCAGATAGTTCTCAACACTACCATATGAGTTTTTCAGATACTCATAAGTCTTTTCGACGAAATCAACAGGACATCCAGCGAAATCGTCACTTAGACCAATCTCGTGGATTTCCTTCAAACGGCTCTCCCTTTCGGGAAGTAATTTCTCCTCACTCATAAGATAGTCATGTGAGATGGCTTCTATGGGTATCTCGAGGATAAATAGGACTAAAACGATAGTGAGTCCTGTGCGATCTTTTCCTTGCGTACAATGGGCGAGAATTGGATAATTTGACGGAGAACAGTATGTCCTAAGAACCTAAGAGAAGTCAGACGGGATGATCACGGAGGGGTAATAATGACCTACCGAGGCGAGTTCCGGACCACAATGATGAATCGTGTCGAAACTCAATCCTATAAGTCCTCGAGGTTGCAAGACCTGTCGGCCTAGAATGCCGATGGCCTCCAGCCGGTAACCCAAGCCCATCAGACCGATCAATTTCCTATATGCACTCGTCAACTTCCATATTTCACAAGGGAGGCCGATACTCACATAAGACTATAAGGTGATAATTGCCATACTAAACTTCTCTCAAACCCTTTCCCATTCACATTGATCTCGATGTACTCAATACCCGGTATCTTCATTGGCTCCTTCAGCGCGCTGTTTAAATTTACAATGCGAGGATCACGAATATCCATTGCCCGCTTTTTTGCTTGCTTATCGTGTTCTGTTCTGTGATAATCAGTCTTAGGTTACTCGCTATAAAGGGAATTTGGCTTTCTTACAGTGTCCGCAGGTCCAAGACAGTTTTGATGCCATAATGGTCTTTTATCCGCTGCCTATCAGATATCGTGGCATCGTCTACCAGGGAAATTCGTTAACACAATTTAACTTTTGCCAAAATCACCACCTTGAGCTGGCTGACGTCCTGAATCTGGCACGGATGACTTCCGGCTTCACGGCCTCATGAATACGCACCTAGCCTTGCGGAGCGATATATTCGTCCTTCTTTCATCAGCCTTGAGGTAACATTAGACCTTGGATCTCGACAATATTAATGTGGTAAGATTACATACTTTTGTCCTAGGAAATCATTGATCGTTTTGCCAACATCACGAAAATTCAGGATGTTGTTAAACTGTCCATCGTACATATCTTTTTGTTGCGAGCCCATTACCGACTTTGGCGGATGTTTTGAGTGTTGTACAGCACGTGAAATCTTTATCACGAGTATTGTTACCAGCGAGGTAGAAAGCTAATGATAAGTAGAGGAAAAGGGAAGATATCGCGTTTGATAGTGTCGAGTTGACAAGTCGTTACTTTTGATTGCTTTAACAAGTTTGAGGAAGGAAAGAGGTATGGCGAGATATCAACCTCGCGGAATTAATTCTGTAGAAGCCTTATTTAGACAGCTTCTGGGATTGTCGAATGAATGTTGAATGTTTGAATATTCATAGTGGTATAAAAAGAGACATTGAAGAGATTATCACATCAATCGACGACGATACCGTAAGACCGGGAAAGCGCTGTCATGATGTTGGTCGGTCTTTGCAATTTCAATCCCTGCTGGAGATCATGTATGGTGGTCCATTGATCCTCATGTAAAATTTTGTATCATTTATGGGGAAATCCAACCACAATCCCAGTTGTACATCAATATATGCTACCCAGGTACCTGACTGCCTTGAAATAGTTCACGATGCTTAGATGGAGTTGTTGTCTTCGTAGCAACAGCATGTATCTCATTCGTCAGAAAAGCCTTTCTCACCAACAATTAAAATCATTGCGATGAACGTCAACACCAGCACAGCAGTCAGTACAAACACTCCTGTACCGGCACTTGTCCAAATCTTGGTGTGGCTGAATGCAAACTACGTCATCATTAAGCATTTCCCTTTGCCAGAAATCCACGAAGGGCTGGGTCAATCAATCAATCGATCAATCATTGCGATGGCTGAAGAATCAATAATGTCAATGTGGCGACCTTAAGATCGAACTACTAATAACATACTAACAACAGAGAAGATGGAGAAACTAATCGATTCACAGTTAGATGTGTCGTAGTAGATCTTATCATCGAAGGAAATAGGTGAACCACAACAAACGATACCAGGTTCATCCGCGCATCCAAACTCAAATCTCCATCCAAGTTTATTATCACGTTAGTCCACCGGCAAGCTTCCCCTCCCCCAAGTTATCACACACGTTTTGTTCATAAGGTTACTAGGTGGAATCAACGAACCCCCAAACCACACCTCATACCAAATATCCGGAACTACGAGAACCATTTATTTTATTACAAAGTATTGAATCGGAATAACCTTATTACTTCAATTTCTACCTCATCCATTCACCTCTCTGATAGCCTGTTCGACTCCGGATTCTTCGCTTGATTTGGATACCTCATTAAGAGACAAACGTCAGCTTGCATTCCGAGGAACATACCTGCAGAACAAAGAAGGATTATCGCGTAATCATGTCGACTACCAATATCCGTGGTCCGCATAAATCATCCTTGAATTTCTTACATTGTAAGCTAATACGTGCTGCGGATGCAGAAATCAGATCCAATGGAATCCCAATGGAAGGCAGGAATCATAGACCACCGCATATGATACCTTTACCTGATGATAGCCCAACTCGCACAAGCTCCAATAAACTAGAAGATCAAGCTGCGACAGCTGCTCTATACATCACAAATCAAAATAATAATCGAAAGCTCAAGCCGGGCTATGAGTTTCTTGACAGTGACAACAAACTGTCATCTGCCGGTAAGTGTCGCTTTACAATTTGCGTACAGAGTAATAGCATCACTAATAGCTTCGTCAAATAGGTGCAGCAGCATCCCTCAAATACGCGAAACCTCGAGATCTACCAAGTTATCCCTCTGCGGGCTTGAACAAAGACCAATCAGCAGCCGGAGCAGCAGCTTCTTTAGGTTGGCAGAACCAAAAGACATTCGAACATTGGAAGCCGGATCCATCCGCATCAGCTTCTGCTGCTGCAATGTTAGCTAAGGATTACAAGATGAAGCCTCTTTGGCAGCCAGAAGCAAGTGAGCACGGTGCAAAGGCAGCTCTATTGGCCCACAAAGCCAATAAAGGTGTCGATTTGTGGCAACCGGAGCCTACAGCATGGGGAAATTCTGCCGCCACTCAAGCTATGAAAAAGGGAAATACATTATCACCACAATTGGATTATGGTCATAATGCCGTTGGACGACAAGGTTCCCTCTTGGCAGCAACTGGTGCTATGTCTAGCAGTAGGAAACGTGCAAACTCGACTCCGCTTAAGACCCCAAAGCGGGAAACTTACCCCGATGAAGCTAATGCGGCCAGTAATGCCTTGAGAGCCGCAAAATCTGTTCACAAAACTCATACTAATACTGGGAAAATTGCTTATCCTGCTGAAGCCATCACGCCTAGTCATGCCATGAAAGCAGCAGTTATCGTTCATAGATCTAACACTGTTCGAAAGCCAAATACATTCGAAAAGGGTGTTGGATCAGTACCATTCACAACAATGCCGAGAGAGATGTATACATCTAAGCCGCCTGTCGAACAGCTTGAACAAGAGCTGAACAGAGACCAAAATCGAGAGGATATCTTAAAAGCTTCGGCGATTGCTATGGCCAAGAAAATGTACAACCAACAGCAGAAACAGTTGGATGCTGCTTCTCATGCACAATCAGGTGCAGCTGCCGCTCACGGCCAGCGACGACTTTCCATAGACAGCGATGATGAACCTACACCAATGCGCTTTAATAACCTCCAAGAAAAGGCTCAACAGCTCGCCCATGAGCGGATATCAAGAATGACTACTGAGGATATTCAAAATCGTGAATACCGAGATTACTATGGAGGTACTCCAAGCATATCATCGAAATTATCCATCCGAGGCCGGACAAGACGTCGAGCTTCCAGTTATGATGAGGACCGCCATCAGTCCGAAAAAATCCGAGCTCAGATGAGTTTATTCTCATCTAATATCTCTCAAGTAGATGAGAAAAAGCGACAACGTGATCGTGAAGCTTTGCTTGCTGCAGCTCAGCGCAAAGTCAATGATCGCATTCACGAAATGGATGAAAAGGTATTTGCGCAAACTGGCAAGGTTGCTCCATCTCTACTCAACGAATGGGAATTGAAAGCCCATGAAGCTGCTCAGGCGAAGAGTGAAGCTAGACTAGAGAACTATGGTAAAGTCGATATTGGTGGTGGTAAATTTGTCGATCAAAGTGTGATTGATGCTGCCGCTGCTAAGATCATTCAGCCAGTATTGGATGATATGGATAACAAAGTTGATGCTAAAAAATTTCAAGATGCTGCGTCGAAACTTGATGAAGAGCATCGAAGGAGAAAATCGCAAGAAGCTAAGATGAGGGAGAAAGAGGTAAAACAAATTACCAAAAAATTGAAGCGTAAGTTGTCATTTTTTCTCAAAGATTAGTTCACAAAAATTAACATTCAATGGTAGAACAAGAGAAAGACGAAGAAAAGCAGCGCAGAGCCGAGGAAAAGGCTGCTAAAAAGGAACACCGTAAATCCGCACCCAAATCTGAATCTGAACCAGACGCGTTAAAAGTCTTTCCCATACCTACATCTATCAAGTCTGAACCGGAAGCTTTAAAAGTCTTTGCCATACCTACAGCTATCAAGTCTGAACGTCCCACTACAGCACCAACTACAGAAGGTATTCGTACATCAACAGAAGATCAAGCTCAAGCTAGTGCTCAAATGTCCGGAGCTACAAATGATGCCAACACAATCCAACAACCTACATCTACTACATCACCAACTTCTGAAGGTAGTTCCAAGGTGAAGAACTGGCTTAAGTCTAAAATGGGAAGGATATCTGGTCGTCACTCTAAATCCCTTTCAGAATCTAGCGCCAATAAAGGAGCGGCAGGAAGTGAGAAGGGATTTGTCGGTGGTCATGCCTATACTGGTGCAAGTGTTAATAATAGCACGGTATCTCTTGGTCAGCACAGTGTTGTGGATGTTGCGAACGCCACTATTCTAGTTCCCGGATCCAATCCTGTCGCCGTTCCTACACAACAACCCGAGGAATTTGAGAGAGGAAATGGAATCAAGGCTACGGCAGGAGATGATGTTAGTAGTCTTAGCGAGCATAGTGGTGATAAGAAGAAGAATAAGGAGGAGGTTTTAAGTGGTGATGATGAGGATGAATTTCAGGAGGCGAGAGATAATTTTGACGAGGAATTGGCGCCGCCAAGACCCTTTTCATCCCAGGGGACTACTAGTAGTAGTCCGGGTAGAGCCCCAAAGTTTCATGAAGAGATCTAAGGCGATTTGTATGAATATATGGGTTCTATAGGTGGGTACGGTATTAACTTGGAGCTGTTTGATATTGAAGGTTGGAACATGGGAAATGCATGGTGATTTTTTGTTTTTTTTGTTTTTTTTTAATTTCTACGACACTATGGTATTACAAACCGAGATGATCTTATGATATTTTTCTTCTTACGTGGGGTATTGGACGGAAGGAAGGAAGTCAAAGTAATATGGCTCATATAACACCTTTTTTGTTTCTAATTTGGCTTCAATCTTGCTGTTTTTCCGCACAATACATATGTGGAGGGAAGAAGATGGATATTGGAGATGAATGATTTGAAGGATAGGAATAAGGGAGGATAAGGGAATGGAAAGTGGGCAAGGGAGGAGAGCGAAAAGGAAATGAAGGAAAAGAAATGGAGGGGAAGTTGATCTGTAGTAAAATAGTGTAATGTTATCGTTAATGTGGTTTGTTAGTATTGAATTGAGATTTATCTGATATATATGAATAGATGTGAATATGTTCATATATAGATGGACTGTAATGGATTGATAGATGGTTGGATGTTTGGAAACTAATTTTGCTACCTAATCAAAGGAATGAATGATGGATATATATATACACGTACTAATAATAAAGAACTCGAGAAGGATTATAACAAGACCGGTAGTGATAGTGATAAGATTAATATCATGATATTCGTAATGACTTAGAGCTAGGTCTTCATCATAAGTCATTTGAAGCTTACAGAAGATTCTGTTTAAGCAGGAGATTCACCATCCTGTGTCCAAATTATCAATAACGAGATGAGAGAATAGATGAAAATTGTGAGATCGAGATCGATATGAGATACTGTAGTGCCTAAAGCACCATCCATCCTATTATACCATAATAACCCAGGGAACTTTTTAACCTGTTCAAACCTTTTGTTCTTTGTAGGATTAAGAGGACCTTATGAATATATAGGTACACGCTTTAACATTGAATTTATTCTATATGTAGCTCTACACTATTGATGAGAATAAGAATATAATGTAATTATTATTCTAATACACGCTGAAGATGACAAAAGTCCACCAATCATAATCAAACCGCTCAAAAAAAAAAGAAATATCCCAACAACGTCCAAAAATCGCTATTAATTTTGAAGTTTCATAACTTAAGGTTGGTTAACACAGAAAAACCAGCAACCACCCTCGAACTGCACTGCACTGAACTGAAGTAGAAACTCAACCCCAAGTACGAGCCCACATACTACTAGCCAATCCCGGCATTTCGGACAAATTACCACTATTCGCAGCGCTCGAATTATTTTCCCTGCGTCTAGTTTCCCTGATAACCTCGGGGGGTTCTCGATTATCAATATCGAGGTTGATATTGATATTGCTCATAGAATCACTCAACTCATTATGATCTATTCGTCTTCTCTGATTCGAATTCGGATTTCTCCATTCGGCTCTGGGCATTGCAACTACAGTGCCCACTCCCAGTGCCTGACCCATTGCATTAACGATTGAGTAGTTATTACTTGATTCTCTTCTAACGTTAACGTTGACGGGGATGTTAGTGTTATTTTCTCCTGTTGTTGGGGTTGTTCTTTCGTTTCGGGGTATTCTGGCTACGGTTCCTATGTTCATAGCTACGCTTACTACGTCTGCTACTGAGTATGTGTTTCGCGTTCCCATCGTGATTGGGTCTGTGGTACGCCGATTATGGGTTAGGAAGTCCCAGTTGCGCCATCGAGGATTAATGGCTTCGCGAGATCGGTCTGTAGGTTGGGGATGGCTGTTTGCTTGATTTCTCATTTCATAGCTGGAGATATTGGCATTTTCATATGTGCGACGGGTATAGACGGGTGTAAGTTCCACAGAAGTAGGAGTAGCGGGATGACCATGCGTAGTAGTAGCAACAACAGGGGGAAGACGAACTCGAATAGCTCCCTGATGTGATCTAGGCCCTGGAAGATTTCTCGGATCGACATTACCCACCCCTCCCATTCTGGTTTGCCATCTTTGTAGTTCAAATTCATTCATACTTCTCCTACTACCTGAGGATGTCGAACGCGATAAAACTGTCTGGATGGAATTCATATCTTGCATATTTGTTCCTGTGATGTGACTAGGTTCTCGGAAGATGTCTAGAGCTCCGACGGAGTGAGCTCGCTGTATTGGTTGATCATATATACGTATTGCTGTTATTTGATGAGGCACGAGTTTTGTACGACAAAGAGGACAAGAATCTGAATGGAGAAGCCAACGTCCTAAACAGATACTACCGAATCTATGCTTGCAAGGTGTGATGACTGGCCATTCGGGCCAATAGAATTTCGGTGATGTAACGTGAATGTATCTGTTAATTGGATCATCTTTTCCCGGTGCAATCCCTGTAACTATTCGTTTTGTAAGTTTGAATTGTGATTATAAAGGGATAGATGATGTGATACGTACTGGTATCAAAACAAATAGGACAATTCTCTTTTCCATCTCCATTCGCCGTTGGCCAACCTTTTATAGCTTGCAAAACGGTATCAATGCGATTTTCTCCATGGCGCGGTTGAGATGAAGAACTTGCAATTACTGCGTCTTGCGGAGGAGAAATAAAGTCTGACATTGTCTGTGCTGTGTATATGCTGTATAATGAGATAGCCAAAAACGAGTGTACTTAGTTTGCATAATGCTGCTGTATAGATATTGTATTGATGTTTTGAGAAGAGAGATGAGGTTTGAGGTTGAAAGTCGAGTAGCCTCCGAAGCGTGGTTGTTGGTGCCTTCCGAATTGAAGATTGATACATCCATCATGACTACCATTCATGAGACGTGCAAAGTAATCGTGCATTAAAGTAAGCTTCTTTTTAAATTCTAGATATATAAGCTGAGAGAGTACATAGTTGTTGAATCTGAATCGAAAAGCATCCAGACCCCAAAGAACTATTAAATGTCAAACTACTGAACATGAAGAAGCATCTGATAATGGATGACGATTTGATTATCGAACCTTGCCTGGGGACAACAAGTATTATAAGGCAAAGGCATCTAGATCATGGTAGACACACAACTTTGGTGTACGATGTATTCCATCCATCGCGAGTCATATGCATTTAGCTTTTCTCGTGATGTTTCCTCTTTCAAGTTTTTCATTTGCAGTCATAGCTATTGTCATTACCTATCAAACCACAACCAACGCAACTGGTATAAAACTTCAAGAAAACCCATCTCGCAAACCTTGGTGTGCTCAATGAAAGGATATATATTTCGAATTCCTTCATAGGAAACCACTCGAACTTCTTCTCTTCCAGCATTTCCGAAACACAGATTTCAATGTAGCAAGGAAAGATTCCTTATTATCAATCTATCTAAGAGACTCTGAGATTGAATTGATTTGCTATGATGAGCTCATTCTCAAAGTAAAGTAATCTTAGATCCACTTGGAATAAGAGACGACTTGAACAAGCTCGAGCTCATAGGCGATCAAAGACTTTCGCATCGCAAGCTACTAAGATGTTATATTCGCACTCGAGAATATCGCTTACCAATTCCTCGTATTGGTGATTTATTAGTAGTTTTAATGATAGGGAATATTTGTGAAGAATTATGGGTATTTAGTAGAAAACTAATTCAAGGAGGTGTATATGATATCAGCTGGGACATATTTACGACCTACTAGTATTCTTGAATTGCTAAGCGTGAATAAGTATAGATTGAATGTGATGTACATATGCACTCCCAAGTTCGAGCTTATTTCTTAATTAAAGATGTATGGTCTTGATCTGTTTGTTTGATCGATGTGAGAAAAGTAATAGTCGTGTTGATCATGAATGCGCTTGTAGGTACACCAGGTACGAGCACAGTACAAGAATCGTCCCCGAAGTAATCCCGTCCCAACTCATTCCATTCCATCCCATTACAATTGATTTGATTTCTAATAAATCCCCCTCCATTTCCCCTTCCCCCTCCTATCCACATCACATCCAAACCCCTCAATCATAGATACAAAGTTCAAACTCACTACTACAACTAATATTAAAGATAAACCAAAAACACAACCTATAAAAAGTCTCTCCATCACACTTCTCATAGACAAACAAGCGGGGTAAATCGCGTGCTGCAGGAGGAGTAAACAATCACGACGTGGATTGGTGAGATGACCCTAGAAATATATGTTAGAATACCTAGGTATATGATGTGATTCCGATAACGGGTTGGAAATCCTTATCGTTTATTGTTTTGTTGATGAGACAATTGCTAGGCGTTGATGATGTTAGATGTTCACAGGTCATTAGTAGATAATTTAATCGGAGTTGCTTGATCACGAGGGGCTGGGTTGTGTATATATAGTTATTCATGTTTCATTAGTTTTTTGATTGATATTATAAGTTGTGTTCTTTAACTCATCCTGCTTTATCAGAATACTAAACAATATCAAACAATCATGGCTCCATCAGCAACTCAAGATCTCGCTATCCACCCTTCAACCAAGATCAAAGACCTCGCTTCCCCTTCTAAAGCTACTCTTCCGCTTCCTGCAAACACAAGGGCTCGATTGGAAAAAGCTGGTATTGACCTCTCGAATGGTTATCCTACACGTCCGGGTCGTCCTTTATATCGTATGTTATTCCCAATCATTCACCTTCATTCGTAACGTGCAGGGTATCCAATAGTCCGGACTGCAGTCCAACGAGAGGCTTCTAGATTTCTGAATTTGTTCTGAATATTCAAATCATTTGAAGTGATGAATTCTATTCAAATATTTATTACTTTTTAAATATTAAATATGATTTGAATATTTAAAGTATTTGAAGCATTGGATTATATTCAAAATTTTCGAAGAACTTCAATTATTGAAAGTCTAAGCCTGCCAGCCCGAAGTATTGGGCACCCTGAGATTCTGATTCACGTGCCGTACAATAATAACCTCGTCAACTAACCCTGTCTACCCTTAAAGTCCAAGATGTCTTCGATATCCGCAATACACCACGAGAACACCACGACGCAGGATCTCGTGCCGATAAAACAAAGAAAAACCTCTTTGATGCTATTCGTAAGAATAATGGCAAGATAGTTGATCTAACTAAAAACATCGGAACGGAAATAAGTGGTATTCGTCTTGATGAATTGACGGATGAACAGAAAGATGAATTGGCGTTATTAGTGGCAGAGAGAAGTGTAGTATTTTTGAGGGGACAGGATGGATTGAGTCCAAAGGTGCAAAGGGACTTGGGGGCTTGGTGGGGAGAGGTTGAGGTTCATGTATGTTTGTTCTGTGTTTTCTCTTTTGGAATGAATTTGTGCTAATGATGTGATGTATAGCCACAAGTACCGCATGTACCAGGACTACCTGGAGTAACCGTCATTTGGCCTGCTTTGCAAGCTAGTGAGACATCAAGGAAGACTGATTTTAGAAATCCAGGTGGGGCGAGTCGATGGCACTCGTAAGTTTTTTCTGTTCTCTTCTTCACTCACTCGAGTTCGTCCCAGGAATATCTTACTAATATAGAAACTTAAAGAGATTTGGTGCATGAACTCCACCCTGCAGGATTAACCCATTTACACAATGACACTGTCCCAGAAGTCGGAGGTGACACATTGTGGGCATCAGGATATGCAGCTTACAGTAAGCTGTCTCCCGAATTTCGGAAATTCATCAATGGGAAACAGGCTATCTATGTTTCGACGCATACCTACCTCGATCGAGATGATCCATCTGCTGGACCTAAACACATAGAACGAGTACATCCTATTGTGCGTGTTCATCCTGTGACAGGATGGAAAACTCTGTGGGTGAATAGGTCGATGACAAAGTCGATTGTTGGATTGGATAAGGCGGAGAGTGATTTGATTTTGGGATATCTGTATGATGTCTTCGAGAAGAATGTGGATATCCAGGTTAGATTTAGATGGACCGCTGGGACGAGTGCTATTTGGGTGAGTTTTTCCTCTGATTGAGACCAAGATTTGAAATGGAGGGGTAATAAGCGAAGAGATGCTAATTTGTAATGATTGAATAGGATAACAGAAGTACAATCCACAACGCCAGTTGGGACTATGAGGGAACAGAAGAGAGACATGGAACTAGAGTCACGAGTTTGGCGGAAAAACCTTACTACGAGGAAGGAGCAAAGTCCAGAAGGGAAGCTTTGGGATTGGATGATGACTAATTGGAAAGTTGTTGGCGTGGAACTTTTGAAACTTTTGAGGGGAAGTGTTATAAGTGAACTTTCAATATCAACTTGGAGCCCATTTCTACAATAAACGATATACCACCCTGCAGTGATCACTTTCAGCGATATCGTGGAAGAACGGAGTCTTATCAAGGAGATATCTTAAGTCCACCGGACCCGATGATGCGGTCAATAGTCCCGTCCTCTTTCATCTCCGTTCCCGGGTCACGTGGCAAGTTAGTGTTTGTCCTCTCTCTTGTTTCTTTTTCTGTTGGACAAGACGAAAGTCGCAACAGGCAGATAATGAGCCAAATTGATGGAGTTGGATTTGATTGTACAGAGTAGAGTAGTATTGAACATGCTTGGCGCCTGGGTGGGTTGCTAAGAGAAATGGTCAATTTTAGGGTCCGATGCCCGAGATTTATAATCTGGGGGAAGGTTGGTCCCATATGTTTGTTTAATTATTAGTAATCATACAGTTCGTGCGTTCCTTGCCAGATTGCGAGTACGAAGGCGAGTTTTCTTCTTTTAATTGGTCCGATATAGAGGGTGGGTCTAGATATCCGAGACTAATCCTACATTATCCTTTTGATCGTCGAATAGAGTTTTCGTCAAGGATATGATAGTGGAAGGCTTACGGAGTACCTACTCATTACCTACATTGTGATGCACACACAGTACGTGAAAAATTAAATAGGTAGGCTGGCTCACACCGCATTTGCTGATTATCAAGAAGATTCGATTTGAAGAGAGATTCGATAAAAGTTCCACGATAGGGGCTCGATTAGATGTATCATGTAACAGTTGAACAACATTCAGATTAACCTTCCTGGGCTTAACACGGCGGCAGAAGATCTTTGATGGATCTAGAATGCTTGTTTTTGTGTGAAGTTTCCACCCACGCCATACTTTATACTTGTCAGTATAGCTTAAAGAGTACCTGCACAACCAACAATCACTACTTGGCGTACGGAAGAGGATAATGTTTTGATATTTCGTTCCGTCACCGGTTGTCGAACTTCGGGACCGAATTTTCCCCAACAAAACATTACTTGTATGGAATGGCGTTCGTTGATTTCTGGATGACTGATATAGGATCCGAAAAATTCTCCAATCAGTTTACATTCTCGCTCGGCCTTCAAATATACCGATTGGCTTCTTCCACACCTTCCACCCTTTTGTTCCTTCCAACTTCTGCACACACCTGCAGTATTGGTAATCGTCGTATGGGTCTCTGACGCTAACACCTCTGAAAAAACATTTTGCCCATGTTAATTTTCACACTGATCTCCTATCAGGCTATCTTACCCTTGTCCGAGGTCCAATAGGGAAAGATGTATTATTATCCTCTGACCGCGTTTGGAGGCGATGGCCGGATTATAGATAAGACGCACCTCTTTCCCATCTAGAATGTTTTGTAAAGCTTTCACGACTTGCGATTTCCATCTAGTATACCTCCCTGAAGCTGCTGGTCTTTGATCAAGAAGTTCACTATGGCAGGTCCGCCTGATCATGAGAAAGAATTCGCCACTTCCGATCCTGCAGCGGCATTGGAAGATACAACTCATGAAGAGCCACGAGATGAGGATGGGTCTGATAGAGAGTATTTAGAAACGCATGGTGAACTATCGACTCATCAAAATTCACTCGATGTTGGAAACCGCGAGAAGGAATTTATGAAAATTTCAAGCCCAGGTGGTGTGGATAGCCATTCATCAGAGGGGGATTTCGACCATGAGAAACGACCAGACATAAAGCGGATTCAAAGTTATGCAACATCTAATAGTGCTGTAACGAGAACAGATTCAAATGTAGATCATCCTGTTGTCACAAAAGCATGGTACAAAAAGATCAATCCATTGAAATGGGGCTCTGTTCCTCCCGTTCCAGAAACCCGAACACCATCCAAAGAATACACAGCCTCTTTATTTTCTTTAATATACTTCCAATGGATGGCACCTATAATGGATGTGAGTCTTTGATTCAGACTAGCTTCATGCGCCTCTTATACTAATGATTTTAGGCTGGTTATCGGCGACAACTCGAACATAATGATATCTGGACGGTAAACCCAAATCGAAGTGTGGACTTATTAACGGAAAAATTACAAGCATCTTTCAAACGAAGAGTGGCAAATGGGGACAAAAATCCACTGATAGGGGCCTTGCACGAAACATTCAAATTCGAGTTCTGGGTAGGAGGAGCTTGTCAAGCTATGTCAAATATCCTCCAAGTTATTTCACCTTTTACACTACGATATCTGATTACATTTGCCTCAGACGCATACATAGCGGCACAAGAAGGACTTCCTGCGCCTAACATTGGAAAAGGATTAGGACTCGTGTTTGGTATCACTATAATGCAAATGTTGCAATCTCTGGGTACCAATCATTTTATATATCGTGGTATGATGGTTGGAGGGCAATCGAGAGCCGTGCTTATTTCGGCCATTTTCGAAAAGGCTATGAAAATCTCTGGGCGAGCCAAGGCCGGAGGTCGTTCGATCAAGAGCCAAGAAGATGAAAAGGCTGCTCAGCAAGCTCAAGATCTAGTCGAACAAGCTAAGGGCAAGAAAGGCAAGAAGAATTCGGGTCCCAAAGGAGCACCAGATGCGGGGCGGGGAATAGCAGGTGATGGTACAGGATGGGCAACAGGAAAAATCCTGAATCTCATGGCCACGGACACCTACAGAGTGGATCAGGCAAGCGGCATGTTCCATTTGATCTGGACAGCACCCATTTCTTGCGTTATTACTTTGATACTCCTTCTCATCAACTTGACCTACAGCGCTCTTGCAGGTTTTGGACTGCTGGTCGTCGGTCTTCCCTTGTTGACCAAGGCTGTCAAAAGACTTTTTGCAAGACGGAAGGCTATCAACAAAATCACTGATCAAAGAGTCAGTCTCACACAGGAAATTCTTCAGTCAGTGCGATTTGTGAAGTTTTTCGGTTGGGAAACGGCCTTTCTAGACAGACTTTCAGCCATCAGGAATAAGGAGATTCGTTCTATTCAAATCTTATTGGCGATACGAAACGCCATAAACGCTGTCTCCATGACTATGCCTATCTTTGCTTCAATGATAGCTTTTATCACTTACAGCTTGACAGATCACGGGCTTAGCCCAGCACGAGTGTTCTCATCTCTTGCTTTGTTCAACTCATTACGATTGCCGCTAAACCTACTGCCCATGGTCATTGGGCAGGTTATCGATGCTTGGTCGTCAATTCATCGAATTCAAGAGTATTTACTCAGTGAAGAGCAAGAAGATGATGCGAAGCCAGATCATAAACTAGAAGGAGCAATAGTCTTACAGGGCGCTGACTTTACTTGGGAACGAACAGCTACCCAAGATTCGGAAAAGAGTGGACCACCTGGAAAGAAACAAACAAAGGCCGAAGTCAAAGTTGAGAAAACCGCCATCACACCTCAGTTGAATCCTTCTCAAAATAATGACGACGCGAGCACTATTACCGAGGAGCGAGAACCTTTCAATCTACAAAATTTGAATTTCACTATTGGGAGGAACGAATTGGTAGCTGTGATAGGTGGAGTTGGAAGCGGGAAAAGTTCTCTACTTGCTGCTCTTGCGGGTGACATGCGAAAAACAAAGGGAGAGATGATCATGGGTGCCGATCGAGCATTTTGCCCACAATACGCCTGGATTCAGAATGCAACTGTCAAAGACAATATCTTGTTTGGGAAGGAAATGAACAAATCATGGTATAACAAAGTAATTGATGCCTGTGCATTGAGACCTGATCTGGACAT